AATAGCTTTTACTGAAGTCATGTACCTGCACAAAACTCTCAGACACTATAAATAATGACCATGTCTAACTCCTACAGACTTTGATTTCAACATTTGAATTTTTTTTATATTTTAAATTAATGCATATGTTTTTCTTTTTAAAAATTGCTTTTACAGTGAATGGTATTTACTGTAACATACATTATTTATACATTTATAAATAATGTATGTTACAACATTTGTCTCTTTATTCGTCTCACAACTGATTTTCTAACTCAAAAAATATATATATTAGATTCTAATATATAAATAAGTAACAATCTTGACTATTTTATGCAAGAACCTGCTAGACCTATATTGAAATTCACACACCAAATTATACCGCAATATATACCGTCTACCGTCTGTGTCCCAAATTATACCGCAATATGAATTTTAGGCCATATCGCCAACCCCTATATCAAATGTATTAAAAGATGATTTGGCCGAGGTCCTCAAGTGGGTTAAAAGCAACAACATGATTTTAAATATTTCTAAAACAAGATCTATGCTTGTTGGAAGTAAACAACGTCTACATGAAAAGTGTCAATTAAAGTTGACTATGGAGGGAGCAGAGTTAGAACAGGTTGAGCAAATTAAACTTTGAGGTGTTATAGTGGATCACCATCTCTCATGGTCACCGCACATTGACCATGTGATTAGTAAGATGGGTAGCGCTATTGGTGTGGTGAGAAGGTGTTCTTATTTTGTACCTACAACAATTTTGAAGCGGGTGGTCCAATCCCTCGTTTTATCTAATCTCGAATACTACTCCATTATATGGTCTGCTGCATGCAACACAGATACAGTGCCTTGCGAAAGTGTTCGGCCCCCTTGAACTTTTCAACATTTTGCTACATTTCAGGCTTCAAACATAAAGATATAAAATTAATTTTTTTTGTCATGAATCAACAAGTGTATGGAAGCCCGTTTCCGCCATGTAAAAAAAAAAAAAAAAGCCTACAGAAAGTCAAAATGTTGACTTTAAAACTCAAAATGTTGACTTTAAAACTCAAAATGTTGACTTTAAAACTCAAAATGTTGACTTTAAAACTCAAAATGTTGACTTTAAAACTCAAAATTTTGACTTTAAAACTCAAAATTTTTACTTTAAAACTCAAAATTTCGACTTTAAAAGTCAAAATTTCGACTTTAAAAGTCAAAATTTCGACTTTAAAAGTCAAAATTTTGACTTTATAAGTCAAAATATGTGTTGTTGTCTGGAACGGTCTCTGGTCATCCCTGTTATAGATCATGGATGATTCCCTGGATGATCATGGGTCATCCTCTACCCGCAGATTATGTGAAGATTTTTCCTACAGACAGTGACCACATCCATGAAGTAGCAGCAATAATGTTGTGGTAGTAATCGCGTTAAAATGCAAACGGTCTTTCCGTTTATGATTAGAATCCGCTTCAGAAGCCTCTATTTAATTTATCGGACTGTGGAAGATTAATAATAAAACACATGCGGCTGTTCAAAGTCATTGAGCATCAACTGGTGACATCGGGTCAGTATCACGGCTATCGATGGATGCACCAGAAATGCACTGAATGATATTATGACTGACAGAGAGACCGTTCGCGATGACTGGACAGTGAGGGAGGTCCGCAGACAGAGGCAGGTGAACCACAGTCACGGGCACTGACAATAATACCCTTTTGGAATTGCGATCAGTGCATTGAAGAGTATGTGACATGTTTGCGTGCACGCGGGGGTGAGCTGATGGCGCGAGCGTGCGGGTAAAGTTGTTGGCGTATGAGCAAGAACACAGAGACATATAGGGAATAAGTGCCTTGTCTGATTATTTTATTGTGACAAAATAAAGCCCACGACTCTTTTAGCAACAATCTGGAGAAATAACTCCGCAGATAACAGTGAGGGTCTTTGAAAAGGGACTTAAACCCATTATAGATGCATGAATAAAACCCCGTCCTCAACACGTAGAAAGCGCATCCTTTCAGCCGTGGAAAGACTCGCTCCGTGTGGACCCCTCTCAGCGTTATCGTCTGGTCAGAGTGGTCTACAGCAGATTGGATTGGAATCATGCAGATTGGATTGGAATGTCTCGATGGCTCATTTTCCTTTGATTTATTATAAAAACGTATTGCTCACATTATTTGTTACTATGTCGAAATAAGAAGTCGTTTGATTTAAATGTTGTATATATGTAAATTGAATTTAACATAAATAAATAAAAAGACAGCTCCCCCCTGCGTCCTACGACCGCGGTCTGGGGCTTAAACAGGAAAGTTTTACAGAATCAATCAAACAACATTATTTCTGGCTACTTCATGGATGCAGTGGTCACTGTAGGCAATATCTTCACATAATCTGCAGGTGAAGGATGTCCAGAAACCGTTCCAGACAACAACACATACGAGTTTTCAACTGCACATGCGCAGTTGAAAACTCGTAATTTTGACTTTTAAAGTCAAAATTTTGACTTTCTTTTGCTTTTTTTTTTTTACATGGCGGAAACGGGCTTCCATACAAGTGGGACACAATCGTGAAGTGGAACAAAATTTATTGGATAATTTAAACTTTTTTAACAAATAAAAAACTGAGGGCGTGCAAAAAGTGGGGCGTGCAATATTATTCGGCCCCTTTACTTTCAGTGCAGCAAACTCACTCCAGAAGTTCAGTGAGGATCTTTGAGTGATCCAACGTTGTCCTAAATGACTGATGATGATAAATAGAATGCACCTGTGTGTAATCAAGTCTCCGTATAAATGCACCTGCTCTTTGATAGTCTCAGGGTTCTGTTTAAAGCGCAGAGAGAACCATGAAGACAAAGGAACACACCAGGCAGGTCCGAGATACTGTTGTGGAGAAGTTTAAAGCCGGATTTGGATACAAAAAGCTTTCCCAAGCTTTAAACATCTCAAGAAGCACTGTGCAAGCAATTATATTGAAATGGAAGGAGTATCGGACCACTGCAAATCTACACACACACACCATCCCCACTGTCAAACATGGTGGTGGCAACATCATGGTTTGGGCCTGCTTTTCTTCAGCAGGGACAGGGAAGATGGCTAAAATTGCTGGGAAGATGGATGGAGCCAAATACAGGACCATTCTGGAAGAAAACCTGTTGGAGTCTGCAAAAGACCTGAGACTGGGACGGAGATTTATCTTCCAACAGGACAATGATCCAAAACATAAAGCCAAATCTACAATGGAATGGTTCACAAATAGACCTATCCAGGTGTTAGAATGGCCAAGTCAAAGTCCAGACCTGAATCCAATCGAGAATCTGTGGAAAAAGCTGAAGACTGCTGTTCACAAACGCTCTCCATAGATTGCAAGTTGTACAAAACAAGGCTGCAAGACTGGTTTTAAATTGTTCTTATTTTACCAGTATAAACAAAATGCATAAAATGTTATCCTGGCCTTTGGTTCACTATAAGCTACAGTATAGCCTTTTAATATTTCTGAAAAAAGTAATACTGACTGGTGAACAAATTTCAATGTTTGAACAAATTTCAATGTTTGAAAAAATCACATATGTACATCAGATCCACTCCCATTCTACTAGGCAGGCTCAAAATGCTGACTTGGTCGTCAATCGGCCCAGAACAAAATCATTGAAAAAGACTGTTATTTGCAGAGCGACTCAACTTTGGAATGAGCTTCCTAGGGAGATGAGATCAAACTTCTCTACATATTTTTAAAAGAAAACTCCAATATCAAATGTGCAATGCATCATTATAATGCATGGCTTCATGCCTTGATGCCTTGTGTTGTTTACAGATGCTGACTTGGTAATTGATCTATTTGATCTATGCTTTTAACATTATGGTAGTGAATTCATGTATTGTATTGAATAATGTACTGTATTAATGAATGTATTTATTTTTTTTATTTTTATTTTATTTTTTGTAATAGTCGTTTTAACTGGGACCCCAGGAAGATTAGCAACCACTTTGGTGGAAGCTAATGGGGATCCCCAATAAACGATAAACAATAAACATCAGATAATTTGTTTAGTAAACCTGCTTAAAATACTAAAGTATGTGTCTTAGCCAAGTTTTTAAAATGGAGTTATTACTTAATGTAATTATTTTTAATTATATTTTCAAGAAAATATTTGGTAGCGTCTGTACCACACTATAACGGATAAATGGAGGAAATACCAATTAATAATAAAAATTAAAAATTCTATTGAATTTGCTTAATCCTTATTTAAAGTGATAGTCTGTAACTCTAAATGAATTACAAATTTTAGGAAATGTGTTAAATTGACCTCCTGGCCTTAAATGTTGATATAAAATAAGTCATTTTATTAATTCTAATATTACGGGCAAGTCCCGCCTTCCCTGCTCTTAGCTATAGTTCAGAATCCACGATGCCGTCGAGGTTAACCAATCGAGTCATGCCGAGGGCTGTCAATCATCGGCGCTGATGCTCGCAGCTGCGCGCATGCTCAATTGTTTGTTTTCGCGGAGCCTCTATTAGGCTCTGGAACAACATGAAAACTGAAGAATTCTGAACATCCGCGCTGAGGTACTTATGTATATACTGAACCTATATCCATAATCAGATCCTCTGCAGATGTGTCCTATAATGTGCAATTCATGATAATAGCACTTCCTGGTTTGCCGCGATCGCTTTTTTGTGAGCATAAAAACATTTTTTTCATTAAAACGTTCACAAATAATTCTGAAAACCTCTGTGCATGTGTATTAATAATGTATATGTATAATATGTTCTCTGATTAACATTTCAAAGTGTTACGGAAACGTAAGCGTAGACCAATCAGAAAGGAAGGGGGAGGAGCTTGCGTCGTTTTTTTTCAAATCAAGTACCTCTCTGTCTCTCTGACAAACTCCTGACAATCACTTTAAAGATCTGGCATACATACTGCTGGAGGCAATGTTTAGAGCCATTTATTCAAAAATACTTTTAATGTCCCATCTCTTTCCCATTTTACAGCATTTTCGTTAATATTATTTTGGGTTTCAGACTGTTGGTGATGAGAATGCACAATCTTCATGGCACAGAGAAGGACTCGGGGGAAGAGGAAAGCAGCGATGAGGACAGTGATGAAGACGAGCAGGATGAGCAGAAGAAGCCGCAGATGGAGCTGGCCATGTTACCGCACTACGGAGGCATCAACAGAGTTAGAGTATGTTTTTCATCCACGCCATCTTCTGTTTATCTAGCTACATTTCGTGTTTTTGTCTGTTATCTATGAAACCTGTATTATTATGATTATTACCACGGCAACGGCTAGGGGGAAGGGTTATGCAGTAGGCAGAATTTATTTCCTTTGTCTGTGCCATAACTGAGAAATATATGGGAGCATTTGGACAAAATGGTTCTGATGGCAAAATATAGTGACCTAATTTTGAAGGTAATCTGAATCACTGTCTGGGAGTGGCCGTAGGATTTGTTTATGAAATGTTTCAATCAATCAAACTTTATAAAGCGCTTTTCATACAATAAAATGCAACACAAAGTGCTTTACAGCTGAGTCAAAATCAATACAACATACCCAATAAACTCCAAAGACCCACCCATAAACCACCCTAATTATTATATATATATATATATATACTGTACATCGAGATACACACACTCACACAATCACAATCACAAAAAATCACAACAGATAGATAAAACTATGAAAAGATATAGGGCTGGGTGCGGATGTATCCAGCTGAAGAAGCGCCATCCAGGGAGCCATCTGCACAAGGAGCAGAGAGCCGCTTGCAGCCACAGGGGACGACACAGGACCCAGACCTTCCCCAGGCCTCTACTAGATGCAAAAGCCGGACCCCCGCAGCCACAGCAGACCGCCGCTCCCAGTGCAGAGGGCTCCTCCAGAGGAAACACTGGGAATACTAAAACCATACAATAAAGAGTAAAACAGCTACCTAAAATTAAGTGACAAAACAGAATACATAAAATTAAATAAATAAGAACTGTGAGATTTCATAACACTTTTAAGCAACTTTTGTTAAAGTTAAACTCATCCTTATTTCGTTTGCACGAGCCAGTACTTTTCCCTTGTTTTGACTTCTGAAGGCCAAGCTATATGGCACCGTGGAAGCTGCTGATTGGAGGACTGCATTCCTCCGTGCTGTATAATACACTTGCTGTCTTAACATCCCTTGTTCGTGTTGTTCGTGCTGTCTCTACCATTGACGATAAAACATGTCTTCTGTCTGAATTAAAGATGCAAAAAAAAAACACACATTTTTGTGTTAAAAAAAAGTCTTCTGTTCTGTAGATGTTACAGACAATGCCCGCATCCTTCCACCACCTGAAGACGATGACAAAGTCTGGGATCGTGTCTTAAATTCAGACCAAGACATGTTTTATTGTCGATGGTAGAGACAGCACGAACAACACAAACAACAGAATGCAAGTGTATTATACAGAGCGGAGGCATGGAGACCTCCAATCAGCAGCTTCCACGGTGCCATGTAGCTTGGCCTTCAGATAGACAAAACAAGGGAAAAGTACTGGCTTCTGCACATTGATAGAATGATGAGTTTAACTTTAACAAAAGTTGCTTAAAAGTGTTATGAAATCTCACAAAACCAAAATAAGATCTGTCTAAAACACCATAAATACTAATCAAAAGCTAATCTAAAAAGGTGTGTCTTGAGCCTACTTTTAAAAATATGAGTGTTCTCTGCGGCCCTGAGCTCCTCCGGCAGACTGTTCCAGAGACGGGGGCCGTAGTGCTGGAAAGATACCTCGCCGTGAGTGTGTGTCCTGAGTTTGGGGATGGTTAGGAGTCTGCTGCCGGAGGAGCGCAGGGGCCGGGAAGGCTCATAGGATAAAAGCAGCTCTGTCTGGCTACTCCACCACTGCAGAGTGAGGAGCTAGAGAGAAACCTGGTCTGTGTTGTTTAAACGCTTTTCTAGTTGTATACAGGTGAAAATTAAGACGTTGTTCAAAAGTCCTATTACTTCTGTTATTCAACTTACAATGTGAAACTCGTATGACAGATTCATTACATGCAACTTATTTATCATAATGTTGATAATTGGCTTACTGCTGTTAAACCCCCATATCAAACAGAATTTTTAATATTGTTAATCCATTTTTGCAGGTGACTCGGTGTGGAGATGTTTCACTGGCAGCGTGTTGGTCAGATAAGGGGCATGTAGAAGTATTCGATCTCAGAGTTCAACTGGAGGCTGTCCACAATTCTGCTGCTATGACAGCTTTTATAAACCAGCAGAAAGAGGCTAATGCTCTGTTTAGTTTCACTGGACACATGACTGAAGGCTTTGCTATTGACTGGTCACCAACAGTACCCGGTGAGTATTGTTCTGCATTGTTCTGAAGTTTATGTTCAGGACAAGTAGGAAATTCCAAAATTCAAACGGATTATTTGATAAGATTTTTTTAAACTGCAAATATACAATAGTCTTATTTATTTTATGTTAATTAATTTCTACAATGATAAACACAGGATTAAAGTAGCAATATGTAATATTTGCATGTCAAGTCATCATTAAATGGCCCCAATATTTCACAATTAATTATTAAATCATGCTCTTTTTGAGTACATCTTTAACTGATAACAGTAGTTCAGCCGAGATAATAGAATATCAAAATTAGTTTTACGACCCATAAAAGTTATTGTTTTCATTTCGATGTCCTACCCTCCGCCGTTTCGCCAATCAGGAAGTCCATACTCCGGGTTGCCAGAACTAGCTAATCCCACTGGTGAATTAACATGTGGCCGCAGAACTAAAAAGGTCTTGTTATGACTCTCAAATCATAGTAATAATAATGGTAGTCTGGTTGTACCACACCTTAGTACAAATTACATTTCATACTAAGGTCTGGATTTGCTCCATTGAGCTCCGTGAACAGGTGGGAGGGGTTAACTCCTTTTGCAGATTGAAACAATTGGATCGGAGTTTACCGTGACGTATGTAATGCGCCCATAATATCACATTCTATGACTGATTGCTCAAAAACAGGTAGCTGCTTTTTTTGCAGATTATAGCTTATTGTAAAAAGAATAATTAGTAATAATAAAGAGACCACATGCACCCCAATTAAAATAATGTTAGTCTCTTTTTGATGTGGGACTTATACATGTATGTCTAAAAAATAGGGAATAAATGAATTTGAAGGGTGATATCCTCTGGAGGAAACCCTGATATTGATACGCTGAAGAAATATGTTCTAACATCCATTCTTCCCACTCATTTTGGACATCAATTACTTATTTATTTTGCATAATCTATGTATAATTAAATTGCTTTTATTTAGTTTTTCTTATCTCAAATGTCCAAATAAAAAAAAAAAACATTCATTCAACATTAGCACGGCTCATGGCAATGCTGACAAACAACTGATAAAATAATTCCTTGTGTTTGCTGCTGGATTTGGTGTTTATCCGGCAACTTGAGTCAGGGAGAGTGGGAGAGGACTACAAAATATTGACTAAGACTGCAGTACCACTTTTGGCCAGATTTTTACATAATACTCCTTTAAGATAATAACTTACATTATCGATCTTACTTGGAAATAAAGGAAAATGGAACTCAAAGTGTGGAAAGTTCCATAATGGTCGTATTCTTATCTCCTTTAAAAAAAAAACCCTGTCATCTGTGCCTGTGTTAGGTCGCCTTGTGAGTGGAGACTGCAAAAAAAACATCCACGTTTGGGAGCCACTGGAGGGAGGTGTGTCATGGAAGATCGACCAGCGTCCATTCAGCTCGCACAGCAAGTCAGTGGAAGATCTGCAGTGGTCTCCTACAGAAGCCACAGTACGTCCAACTGCTTTAGAAATGATTTTAATACATATGAAGATAATGGATATAAATAGCAACATATACACTGGATAGAAAAGATTCAAGCTGAGACTTGTAGGAATTTTTAATCTGAGTGTATGGGATAGTTCCCACTGTCATGTATGGGAATTGTGTAATGTACTGTACTGAAAAACAATTTTGATTTGTCCTCATGGCACCTTGTATAAGTTAACCGAATCTAATCAGTGTTTGTTTTGATCAGACTTTAGCCTTAAGTCACACCTGTACCTAGCATGATTTTCATTGTAAAATTGCAGTTAGACATAGGTCTAAAACTTGTTTTTGAATAAAACAGCTGTCATTGGAGTGCATTCAACATGCAAACATTAATTTGATAATTATGAAGTCATTGGATCATTTCAGGTTTTTGCATCTTGTTCTGTGGATCAATCCATTCGTATTTGGGACATTCGTGCACCTCCAAACTCCATGCTCTCGGCTGATGAAGCGCATACATCAGACATTAATGTGATCAGCTGGAACAGAAAAGAACCTTTCATTTTGTCCGGAGGTGATGACGGCCTCCTCAAAGTCTGGGACCTCCGACAATTCAAGGTACAAACCACTTGTATAAGAAATGTATTTAAGTCAGCATTCGCACTGTGGCGTCTTAACATTTTGATTATGATTCAAACACATGAGATAAAAGCAGAATTTATAACTTTTAAACGGCCTGGAACGAGAAAGTAAAGGTGCGTTTACCCTTAGTCAGGTCTGAGGTTGGGGCTTGAGTGCGAGGGGCCTTTGGACTCGGCCGGGTTCAGCCTGAAAGGACGACCAGTTACTGGTTCAGTAACTCCCTTTCAAGTGGACTGTCCCTGAATGGTCATACCATAGCCAGTATCCCACAACACAAAAAATATATTATTTTTCTTTGAAAATCATCAGATAATTGCTCATTGTATGAACACTACTCATACATACCGCATAAGTACAGCCCATAAAAATAGTTATTGTATTCACTAGAGAGCAGTTGCTTTACTTTTTCTTGAATGACAATTGATTTTATATCTTCATTACTACAGACCGGACGTCCTGTTGCCAACTTTAAGCAGCACAGCGCCCCCATCACTTCAGTGGAGTGGAGCCCGGTGGACTCCAGTATTTTTGCTGCTGCCGGCGCAGATGATGTCGTCAGTCAATGGGATCTGTCCGTGGAGTCATGTGATGTGGGGGCCCGGGTGGAGGGCGTGAAAGACCTGCCCCCTCAGCTGCTTTTCCTGCACCAGGGCCAGAACGAGATCAAAGAGATCCATTGGCACCCGCAGCTCCCAGGTGTTCTGCTTTCCACGGCACTGTCAGGCTTCAACGTGTTTCGGACAATATCCGTGTAGAGCGCATCCAGACTGGCCTCAAGAACTGAAGAACACAGCAATAATATGCTTCTCGTCCTCTTGGCTGTCTTGTCAGTCTTTAGAGGACAATTTGTACACAGTCAACTTTTCATACTAACTACCACCTAAGAAAGTGTCATCTTTTCAAGAATCACTTCATAAGCTAAAATTGAGGTAGATAACTGTATGGTGACGATTTGATAGATGCGGCTGTGTTGCTTCTAAAACATCCTGTCATACTGTTCCTTATTTAAAGCTTGTTGGACAATTCTTTGATTGGTTTTTCAAATTGCAGATTTTTACAAGTATTTTCATAACTGTTTATGGATTTGGGTATGAAGACTATTCCAGGACAAGACGTAAAGTCGGAAACCCCTGTAGTACAGAGTAACTTGTGACAGATGGAATAACTAACTTTTAGAGTGTAAAACCTGTAACAATATGTATGTTTCTCATAAATATTCTAGTTTTGCTGTTTAAAATATGTTTGCATTTCCCCTGCAAGCCTCAATATTCACTATCAAATGTCTGTTTTTAGATTTTCCCTCATATGTCTCAAATTTTCCCAAGCCTTTCAAATGTGAGCATCACTATCTGTGTCTATATGGTCTCCTATTTTATCTAAAAGATCCATTAATCTTTTCAACCCATTTCCCCCTTCTACATCTTTTGGAAAAATACATGATTCCATGAATCCATAACTAATGACTAACTACTGCCTTGATCAGTTAATGATTATAGTGATTACTTCTATATCAGTTGCTCTTTGGCCATTTCCACCAAATTATACATTGTACTTACATGCATGTTTCACTAGAAATATAAACTACCTAACATTTTTATTTTAATATACAATTTTGATCCAGGGAGTGGAGAATGTGTAGTGATTGGGGCAATAACGCAAATATTATATAAGACAAGATATTAGACATTCATTTGACCCAACAATTTAATTAGTTCAAAATGAACATTGTTCAAATGTACTGTTCACTTAACATTGCCAGATAAAAATACAGCTTTGACACCAGTTTGAGTATGAAACATTAATATAAAAAAACTCTTTGGTTTAAGGTTTTGCTCTGGCTTGTTATAGAACCAAACCATACTGCAGGTTTTTACCAACAAACCCGCATTCACTATAGTCCTGAGTTGGTCCTGGTTTAGTCTTTGAGTTATTCTCAATTTGTGATTCTCTTATTCACAGTTGGTCATTTAATCACATTTAAACGATTGTTTGATGTATTCCCAGTTTTTTTCAAAAAAGGAGGCATAATACAAACATTTATGATATAACAGCTTTGAGTTCATTTTAAGGCACTTAATAAATTCTTTGACTTGAAACGCTTTAACAATAGAAAATACACAATAAGTAAGGCTTGAGAGGATGTCTACTGAACATGTCAATAAATCTATGACGTGTTTAAAAGTGCTAACCTTTCACGGTAATATATGTTTTGGGGCTTTGGCAATAGAAGACAAATCTTGTTGTTCCAGTTGAGTAACATTGCCTGCAAATTGAATAGCTTAAGTATTTGAGTCAGTCCAGCTTGCATCAATGCTTGTCAAACTAGACCTGCCCTCCCATCTTAGGAAATTCATACACTGCAAAACTATATTAGAAACAAAAGGGGCTTGAATTCAGGATAGTTGTGTCATTCTTAATCCTATTATGATTTTGTTATAGATTTTTGATTTTTCTAACACTTGTAGAAATCCCTATATATACTGTATAAGATAATACTATACTGCTGATTTAGCTTCAATTCTTAAATCTAATTTCAAAAAAACATGCCAAGTGTTGAGACACTTTGTGGAACGACAAGATGGGGGAAAAAGCTAATTTGAACCGTGCACTAAAAAGACTTTTAAAAGCTCCCCTTCCTATGACGATATTTAACGTTCTGGAGGAAGATACCGCAGAAAAGATAAAGCAAACGAGCTGAAACTTTATGATAGATAATCTGGATTCAAGCCATTTTAACTTTTATATGTTTTTACAGTGTACCCTCTTTATCAACAGCAAAACATTGTGAAATCTTTCTATCACCTATAGACCAATTTCATCATCAAATTCGTCTTCAAAAGTGTACCCCTTTCCTTCTTCCTCCTCCTCTGAGTCAGTTTCTGAGTGGCAAATGTCCACCTTCCTTCTGTCCAGTGCAGTCACCACCTCATACTCCGAGCTGTGTGATGAAGCCGGACTTGGGGGCAGTTTGACTTCTGTGTTTTGAGCTCCCATGACAACGCCGCTCTCTCGCTTGCTGTCTCCTACCATGGGGCTCAAACACTCCATCTCATCTTCATCCTGAAAATAAAATCCTTGTCCCCCCTCCTCTTCAGACGCCTGTCGTATGATCTCGTCGCGTTTGTCACTAAACCTCACTTTGGGTCGTAAACTTTTTGGCTTGAAACTATTCCCATCTGGTATTCTGCTGTCTCCCTCCACTCCGTTCTCATCCACATCCAGCAATTTCTTTCCGTTTAGCTCATTTTTCAAATCCACAGACCTCTCCATGGCACCATTTGCCTGCTTTATTTCCACAGGCGAGAGGTTGCTTGTGGGACTGAACACTTCTTCCATTCCCAAACCGTCCATCACTCCTAACACATCTCCCAGCATAGACGGGCCAAGATCCAAGTCGAGATCTAACGTGAATGACGACACGGACTCTGAATGCAAGGCTTCATTGGTATCCACATGGTCGGCATTCACGTGGTTGGCATTACTGGTGTTTTCAACAAGTGAAGGCGAGATTTCCGAGCTCTCTGTTTCAGCTGTGCTTGGGCTGGGGCCAACGGTGGACAGGAAGGACGTGTCACCAAATGTGTCCCCTCCCCTCCCGATGTGCATTGTGTGGCGAAAGTCACCGAGAGGAGCGGAGATCATGGTCGGATCCAGCCGGGGGGCTCGAGTTGAAGTCTTGTGAAGTGGCATTGCTGGGAGCAGAAGAGAAAAGAATAATAGTTAAAGCTGGGGTATGGTTAAAACTTGTATGGTCTGCTTTAGGGCTCTGGGACTTTCCTTCAAACCAGTTTAAGTTTTTCTTATTTGCCCAACTTTTATGTTTTAGCTGTGCCAAAATTTGAAACATCGTAATCTCTTGAGTGGATTGCAAATATCGACACCTGAATACAAAAGATTTCATGCCTGAAGAGGAGTTTCACTCCCTTATGTTGTTGACACTAGTCTGATATGAACAAGTAATTAAGAATCGAGGATCACTGTTATAAGTTTATTGTGGACTCAGATTCCAAACCTTAACACTTGTCCTTACCCTAACCATATTGAACCCTAGCCTTAATTAACCTCTAACCATTACCCAATGAAACATTGATCCTGGGCAAACAACTTTGACATGTCTTGGTGATATCAGATCATGTACAAAACTGAATCAGGTAGACAAGCAGCAAATGTCTTGACCTCCACTCACTCATGTGTTGTCACATGTTACTGGCTTAATTATTATGCACAGTTGGGCAATACAACTATGGATTTGTCATACCAGTGACTTTGTTTTTTTGTTTTTCTTAGTGGGAGGTTGATATTGGTCAATATGTGGGTAAAAGGTGTAATTGCTCAGACAGAATTGTTTACATAACTTATTCTTATTAATTCCTCACATTACTACTTCAAAGCTACAAAGGCCCAGGGGTGTATGGTGGAACTGTGGCAGCAGATCCAACTGTCGCTTCAAAACCACATTCAAACGTGATTAGGACAGAAGTGTCTTGCCCAAGGACACAACAGCATGTGGTCAGAGTCTCAGAGCTTGTATTATCTTTATGAAGGAATATGTTAAAATGCACAATCTATACTTGCCAGTCCTACCACATCTATTGTCCCACTTGTTTTGACACTAGTCCTGGTCCTGGTACTTAGCTTTAGGTTGGTGTTGAGCAATTATGTGGGAAACCAATGTACTTTTTGCCATTGAGGCAGCATGCAGGACCATGCTGGGACTTGCACATGTTAGAGTCTCATGCAAAGTTAGCACATACTTTTCTCTGCCCTCGGGGTGTGGGGTAGACAAAAAAAAACACTGCAACTTTCTCTCTGAAATGTTATCCTCCATTACCCTATGGCAACAGTATTGGTTTAAATGTTCTGTAACCTATGATATTATAACCTGAGGGATTGTAGTAATTATGCTTTCATTACAAATCCACTACCATTTTATTCAATTGTGTATAACTCAATATATTGTTAACTAGACTTACAGTTTAGTTCAGTAACTGCCTGATAACATTGCACAGCATATGGCTTGCATCTGTTGAGACCACCCATAGTATTTCGCAGTAAGTAACATGGGTAAATAAAGGGGTGTGTAGGCCAGCCAAAACATCTAAAGTAATACATCGTAACCAACATTATGTATGAAATAGGCTACACATGAACAATGTAACTATAGACACACACCAATATAATGTTGGTGTGTGTCTGTACATAGACACACACCAACATTATAACAGAAAAAAAACTTACTTCAATATTTGTTGCGTGGTCTTTCCTTGCACTCTTTTGTGGTATCAAACTTGTTCATCTGACGTTTTATGTCTCTCGCCTTATCCTTTCGTTCTTCTCGCTACTGCTTGTGTGAATTTTCTTTTGCGCTTTTTTTCCAAAGGGATGGGCCCGGGCCGAGGAAGTGACGCGCAGTTATTGGGGAGAGTTGTGGGATCAAAGTTGTTCTGGTATGTTGGGATTGTTTTTCCCTCCCACTATGTGTGTGTTTGTACTACATAGACAGTTTGTATTAATGAACATCTACCTCTGTAATTACACCAGAATGAGTTCCCATTGTACATGCTTTAGTGGTAGGAGGAAACTATGCAGACTCCACTCAGGTCCTGTGCCTTCTACCCAGGACCTTCTTGTTGAGAGAAACAGCTCTAACACTGTGTCGCTAAATCTATTCAAAAACATCCATTTACTTCGATTAGGCCTGCAATCACACAGTCATTTAGAGTAAATGATGGAGAAATTATTAAATAGTCAATTCTGTAGACCAGATGTTTTAAGTTTTAAGACTTCTTTGATAAATTGCCTGGTGTTTATTATTACGGTCTGATAGATTTATTCTTCATTTTATTCTACAAATAGAAAGAAAGTAAACGATATAGAGCTACAGGCATTCTTTATTATATTTAAGGCACAACAAATATGAAACATAATACATAAAACAAAAAAACAATATTCCAACTATGTAAAAAAAAAAAAACATCTATATAAATATAATCACTTCAACAGATCTGTGAGTATCTCACCCTACTATCCTGTTTTCACAAAGTTGTGTGAACAGTAAGACACATATTTACTTGACAACATGTAATTCCACTGCCCTCAGAACTGTAAAACATCTAATTAGGGTGGAGGATGAATTACTGAGATTTTTGGAGTGCGCATAAAGGCCATTTTACCCACAAGCAGGGAGTCTTCAATGAGAGATAATTTATTTATACGTGACATTTATAGATGTTTAATCCCAATTTTAGTCCCAGAATTCCCTTGAGATCACCTCCATTTATTCTGTGCTCTTATCAAAGACAGTGCCACACCTGAAGCACGGGAGGTATTTGTGACATGATCTTGGTTTGCACATGTCACAAAATGTTGACATATTTGAGTGATGAAGGAATCTGCTAAGAAACATTGTGAACATTTGGCATGTTGGATATGTATTCCCAGTAAATGTATACTGTACATTAAAGGATAATTATTTCAATGTTAAGAGTGTCTCGGATTTTTCTGCATCTCAAATGTAGACTGTAATATTTTACATACAGTGACTGGTTGTGTAAGTAGTTGGGAATGATGATATATAAACAAAATTAAATTTAAAACAAAATCTGCAGATCTCTTTACCCATGACGCTTCTGTTAGATTTTGGACAGCACAACCAAAAGTGGGTTTGACATTAATTTTCACACTTCTTAAAACCTGTATAAAATGTATACTTTATATTATTCATATTCTCCTTCCACTAAATTTTAATAAACAAAATAGTGCTTCTTCCACCACTAACATGATGTCATTCCATGCAAATAGGATATACTGAAAGTACTTTAATAAGCCCTGTCCCTCAAATACCTCAACCTGCACCTATGAGTCATGGTGCGTTTCCTGGATCCAGAAGGACATCCTGCACAGCTGGACCTCCTTCCAACGATGATGTAAGATGAGAGTCTGGAAACACGTCCCCCACGGACTGGACAATACATCAAATCTATGTTCTCCCCAAACACTTCCTATATCTATTCCAAGGGAATGTGTCTCCATAGCACATTCATTTAACTATATAACTAATAAATCACATCATGGGCCTCAATGTTTTGATGGGGTCGGTTTCACAGTTTCTGAATTACACTAGAATTACACTAGATTAATACATTCCTAGGATACCATAGGGCATACATGGCATTATTCAGATCTGGTTCACTTGGATTTTAACAACAGGTATAGTTTGACTGACTAAAACAAAGACTCTAGAGTTTCCAGAGTTCATCACTACAACAGAACCGAATGTATACAGATTGGGTTATAATGCTGAAAAAACAGACCGTAGAAAGATATAGTATACATACAGTCCGCGTTTGTTTACTTCATGGCTGTACCTAAAACTCAAAGAGTGTATTATTAACCCATATTCTTGTCTTTCAGGAATTTCGTTTAAGGGTGTTTGTTATTTTTCTATAATTTTAGTACACCAAATTATACCTCTAAAAACTATATCAGGACTCTATCCACTGGGATGTGTTCCATATGGACATATTGAAGTCGATGGTATTAGTGTTCGGCCCGTGTTACCTGTCAGACAGTACTCAGGGCTTTACTGGTCCGGTCTCAGCTAGTTGTGTTATCTACCATTTTGTATCTCTACACTCAAACGAAGCGGACCGTCATTCGAGATCGTCAGAAAAATAACTCTAGAAATGTCTTGTTTTATGGATATAGCATCGGGGAATATGGCTATAATCGTTAACTAACTTGTCAGTGTATCGATTTGGTGTATTTGCGTACCAATTGTTTTTTTGTTCTCCTTTTGAGGTAACTAAGCGTTGGTAGAACGTTGAAGCTAACGTTGCTAACTATTTCGAAGTAGCGCTAGCCTGATGCTAACTTGCATCGAAATGGCGGCCAACACCACACAAACGGCACCCTCAACAAACTGGTATGTTAGTTCTTTGGTTGAAAGTCTTCATGAACACATTCGATATTTTTTCACGGAAAGGGATTTGGCTGTTCATGGTTGAGAATGACATGAATTCCTATTTGCTTTACAAATTACACCGACCGCAACTGCTATCTAGCCCATTTAACGCTAGCGCTTAGTAATGGTTAACCTATCTTAAGCCATATTTAGCCTCTGTCACTTCTAGAAAAATCCCATTCGTAAATACGTTACTTGTTCGTTGTTCAATGTTAACGTGTTAATATAGCAATTGATGTTAAAACTTCATCCACCTCAAATATTTAAAATCTGTTTTATGCCCATGTGATTGCCCTTCATTTCCGTTTCTAATCTGAAGATCATCTCAGAATATACTTCTATATGCACAGGTCTTACAGTGGTTCTTCTGAAAGCCAGGTGCACGAGAATCCAGAATGGGAGAAGGCTAGACAAGCTTTAGCCTCTATTAACAAAAGTCAGACTCAGACCAAGACCACATCAGCAACTAGGACAACTGAGGTAATATCTAATCTCCATGTATTGTAACAATGGTATCAAATTGAGATGTATTTTTCATTCAGTGTGAAGTTAATGGGTTTACAAAAATAATTCCAGACAGGGCAGTTTCAATCAGGAGCAACAGACACTGTGCAACAGCAGCAGTACTATCAATGGTACCAACAAAATCAACAGCAATATCCTGGGTATTCGTACCCCTATAATTACTACTATCCTATGGCACCGGTAAGTGATTTCTGATTGTTCCTTCCTTCTATGTAAATCTTCATGAAAACCAAACTTTTACCTAAAAGTGACTCCAATTATTTGCAGTATGGTGGAGCATATCCTCCAAACCAATATAATGCACCCCAAGGTCATTTTCCAGGATCACAAGCCACAAATGGACAGGTATATTTATAAGAATAACTTATTGAAACTGTTTTCTTCATAGCTTTTTTGGTTAATATTTTTATTTTATTTTAACAGCCTCCCCCAGTTCCTGGAATTGATGATCAGTCTGCCAGTTTCTCTTCTCAAACCCAGCCTCCCCCTCCTTCCACTCCCCAACCACCCCCAAGTCCCTCTGAAAAACCCCCTCCTCCCCCACCCATTCCTCCCCCCTCTAACACCCAATATCCCCCACCTCCTTCACAGAGTACCTACAATCCTCCAAACTCCATGTCATATCAACCTTCTGACCAGATCCAGGTTTACAATCATTCACAGGGAAGGCCTGGTTACGGACAGGGTTTTCAGGCTCAGAACAAGTATCAAGCTCCTGCTGCTCTGCAGCAGCAGTATGGCCCTGGTGCTGGAAGAGGAGATGCTAATAAAGCAAAGAACCAGAACCAAGGGCAGCAACTGTGGCACCGCATGAAGCGTAAGCTTTCATTTTATAAATGTTTGTGAATCTGTAAATCATTTAAGCTAAACTTGAATGTTCCTTCCCAGAAGCCCCAGGGACAGCTTCTCTTAAATTCAATATTCCCAAAAGGCCATATCAAGTTCCGGTCTCTTCAGGTAATCAGGCTTTTGCTCCAGGTGATCAAACTCCAGGAAACCATTCTCCTGCTTCACCTGCAGCAGCCAGTGCAGCACCTGGTGCTCCTCAGCCACGGTGAGCCATCCACCCTCACCCTCTGACTCTATAGTCTATTCTTACAGATATTTCATTCATGTACTTTTTGCAGACCACAAGACTGGCCTCAGGCCTTAAAGGAGTATGTGCAGCGATGTTTTACAGCCTGTGAGACAGAGGAAGACAAAGATCGAACTGAGAAAATGTTGAAAGAGATTTTGCAAGACAGGCTTAAGGATGGCTCTGCGTACACCATAGACTGGACCAGGGAGGATTTGCCTGAGTAAGTATTAGTTCAGTATTCAGCCTCATTTCAAATATCACCTCTGTGTGTGTGTGTGTGGTTGATGTTACTTAATAGTTGGTGACTGGAGCATGTCCAACTTTTTGTCTCTAGACTTAAAGGTAAATCTCGCTGGGAGTCTCCGAGGATGTCTGAGAGTTCTGTTGGTCGCGGTGGAAGCGCAGGAGCTGTCTCCAGAGGAAGAGGACATCGATTGGGAAATTATAGAAACATTTTCACTCAGAGAAGTCCCTCGTCTAGTTCTTCTCATTCCTCCTCCCGCTCACCGTCTCCCTCTCACGGTCGCCGCAGGGATCGCAGCAACCAAAGGCACAGGAGAAGGTATTTTTTCAACTTTTTGTTTCATGGAGCCCCCAGATGGAGTAAAAAAATATGTGATTACATGAAATACATTAAAGAAAGTGAAGGCTGCTGCGTAGGAAGTACCCTAGAAGCCCAAAAGCCCTACTTGGTGTCTAAAGGATTTAATATATTATTGTACTAAACATATTTAACATACTTTTTAGTGACTCAGGCTCACAGTCGGACAGCAGCATGTCCAGTGATCTCCGCCCACAGTTGTCGAGGCGCGGCCAGAAAGGTGCACGTGGCCGCGGTAACAACAGAGATCGGGGGCGAGGACGAGGGGCAAAAGCTAACAGAGGCAGAAGGTAAGATCTGACGTTAAAGTAATTGCATTCTGATTTTAGAATGTTGTGGAAAAAAATTGGTTCTATCTAATTACAGGAACTTGGACGACACAAGTTCCCCTGTTCCTAAGAAAAAGAAAGGAGGGAATGCAGGTCTTGACTTCCATGACCCGAACCGTGAGGCCAAGAAACAGAGTCGAGCTGCACGTTTCCACAAGCAGCTTCGTTCTGAACCCTTGGTGCTCTCCATCAATTCCCTGGAGGTGCCTGATGGCACACAAGAAAACCTCAACTGGGAGGACTGCCCCATAGTAGGAACGTGTCAGGACATCACCAAGCATTATTTAAGACTGACTTGTGCCCCAGACCCATCAACTGTCCGTCCTGTTCAGGTTTGATATTCAATAGATTCCATGATTGGAGTATGAGACTTTGACATTGTTTACTCAAGATTCAAACTGGTGTGATTTCTAGGTCCTAAAAAAGTCTCTTGAAGCTGTAAAACTCCATTGGAAAAATAAACAAGATTACACATATGCATGTGAACAGATGAAGTCCATTCGACAGGACCTGACGGTGAGTGTGGAAAAGGTTTTTTTAAATGCTCTGTTTTGTTTCTTTTTCCTCACCATATTTGAAGAGTTTGGTTCCAAAATTCTATAAATCCATTTTGATCAATTTTAGTAAAATTGTGTTTTCTTAAGCAAGAAAATGATATGATGAAAATCACTTTTGTCTGTTCCAAATCTTCATATAGCATCAGAAGGTTATAATAACCGAAAAAAAATCAAATCCAGATTTTAATATTTCAAGATTTATATTAAAAACAGATTTTTTTATTTCTCAAAACTCATTAAATCCAGATTTCAAAAGGCTATAACTTTAAAGTGGTTGAAATATAAAGGCATACTGTAAATGATAAATATCTTCAGTATGAACCAAAATTTGAAATGGAAGTTGATTTGTCGTCTTATTTACATATTATGACGTCATCAAGGTGGTGGCCATATTGGAAAATTTCCAAAAGCTGTAGTTTGAGATAAGAGAATACAAAAGGTCACAAAACATCAATGTGAAATATCTTTAGTATAAAAGGAAATTGGGGATGGAAAATTAACTGAACTGAACTTTATATATAATATTTTAACACTGGTCGGCGGCCATATCGAATTGTACTATTTTCAAAGACCAGTGCGCCAGTTCAAAGAACTAAAAACAGATTAAATGAATGGGCTCAGAGCTTGTCAGATCGTCTCCAAAATAAGACTCAACACTTCTGAACCACTTTTGATATTCTTCCTCTACTCTCAACAACTACAAGCCATCATTATCGTGTGTTTTTTTTCCTGCGGCTATTCGCACGTCCCCTGCGGTTTTTTCCACCCACATGTGCGGTGTTATCCCCTCCACCATGTCCCCTGCTTGGCGTTCACAGAATGCTTCCACCGCGGCCACACAGAGGTGAAACAGCTGCTGTACTGTGGCTGATTGTGGACTATGGAGCGCAAACTCTTGTCACTTATAATGTCCGTGTCGTCTTCACTGGACCCCTGCGTGTCTCCCTCCTCTAAATCCGAGTCAGTTAGTAGAAGTACTTTGTCAATGGTAAAGTAACTAAACTAAATGAAGAAAACACCAGTTCGCTCAGCTCTAGCTCCGCTCAGCACTACCGCTCCCTCTGCGCCGCTGAGCTGCAGGTGTCTCATTTTACTCAAACTTTTCATATAACATCACCCACAAATGCCACTCATATTAAAGGCACACATGTTCGCTAACTCCTGGTGAAGAGTATGAAAAGATTCTGCATCACATTTATAGATACAGCCTGTTTTATTTAGCAGCCCCAGGGCGGCGCCATTGTCGTTTACTCCGCGTAGGATGCTACGCTGTGATTGGCTGAGTGGATTTGTAGCGTTCAGCGGAAAAGGTGGACTGCGGTTTATCGCTGTTTGGAAAGAATGGGAGAAAGCAGGACTGAATAAAACTGGATATCACGTTTTGCGGAAAACTGAATATCGGGTTATCAACAGTGACCGAATACATTTCTGATTTTGGCACAAACTCTTTATTTTATTTTTTTATTGCTGTTTATCGCGTTTTGGAACCAACCCCTTCATTTATTTGTCCAGGTGCAAGGAGTTCGTACAGAGTTCACAGTGGAAGTGTACGAGTGTCATGCTAGAATTGCTTTAGAAAAGGTAAGCCTTTTTTTTAGTTTGGGTATGGCATCTATTTTCATTCATAATTTCACTAATGTTGTTGATTTAGGGTGACCATGAAGAGTTCAACCAGTGTCAAACGCAGCTGAAGGCTTTGTATAAGGATAATCCTTCTGAAAATGTTGGAGAGTTTACAGCTTATAGACTCATTTATTATATATTTACAAAAAATTCTGGGGGTAAGTTTCCAGGAACGCTTCATGTACTTTTATTTTATATTTTAATATATTTCTTGATGAACTGTCATTCCTGTTGCTGGCAGACCTCACCACAGAGTTGGTATACTTGACGCCGGCGCTCAGGGCGGACCCGTGTGTGGCACATGCACTGTCCCTTCGTGCTGCCTGGGCCTTGGGAAACTATCAGCGCTTCTTTAAACTCTATCAACAAGCTCCTCGCATGGCTTCATACTTAATTGACAAATTTGTTGAGAGGGAACGAAAAGTTGCTCTTCGAGCCATGGTCAAAACGTAAGTTGTGTCATCGGAGGTTAATTATGTCAATCCTAAGTTTGTCCACTGACTCGTGTGTTTTTCCTCTTGCAGGTTTAGGCCTGATTTGCCAGTGCAGTATGTTCAGTCCACTTTAGGCTTTGATTCTTTAGACTCCTGTATGGCATTCCTTACTGGGCTAGGTGTTTCTATCGCTCCGTATGACCCCCAAAAAATAGACTGCAAAGCTAGCACAGCCATTCTATCTGCCTTGTGATCGAGTGAGGTTTAGGGACCCTAAAGTATTATATGCACTGCACTTCAAATTGGTAGACCAGTTGACCCTTGAGCTTTCCCCTTGTAAATAATGTCCCACCCTCACACCTAGGTCGAAGCTTGTACCAAATCTACACACGACATATTAAGCATTTTCCCTCAAACTACGGCCGTCAGTTTAGGTGACGCAGGACAGGAGCTCAGTGTCCCGTTCAGTTAGCCACCATTAGATGCCAAGCTAACAGTGTTCTGTTATGTTTTTCCTTCCTCAAGTCAACAGTTTCAAGATGTGAAGATTCAAGCCTTTAATGGGAATACAATCTCAAGTTCTGTCATCTTCAAGATCGCTGTTCAAAGACTGACAAAATATAATATCAAGCTTTGTTCACCTGATGAAGATCGGATGGTTTGTATGTATAGGCCGACACGTTCTGCTTCGAACCAGGAGAAATGAAAAGACTGAGCTTAAAAGAATGGACAAATGGGGTAGAAGATGAAGAGATGCAAAGTATCTCTTCGCTGAAGCGGTTCGCTGTGGAATAACCTCTTCCTCAGGTAGAAGTCTGGATACAGCTTAAGCCAGATCATCATGCGGCTTCTCCTGCGGTGGAAATGGGCAAATCATGTCGAGCCCATTGCTAAATGTGACGACCTCAAGTCTAAAGAGCCAAGAGGTGTTTGAAGACGGAGCCCTTGTGTGGTTTGTATGCAGCGGTCGGTCAACTCTCTGGTAAGATGAAGACTCCACAGGAGGAGGAGCAGCCTTCGAGGCCCGGAGTTTCTCTTCAAAAGCTTCATGATTCAAGATACATGAGTCTGTTTTTATTTTATTATTATTATTATTATTAAATGAATTTATGCTTTTTTTAGACACTCAAAATTGGGAATACAAAGTGTTATTTTTTTCATCCATAGAAAATGAAATAATTTGTGGAATAGAACCTTTTGGAAGCATTTGGCCACGTACCATATCTAACCTGCAACAGATAACTTTTCTACCTTTTAGCCTAAACTACTAGCCAGATGTTTTAAGTGAAAGGCTTCAATTTTCTGCTGTGGAAAGCATTTTTTTTCTTTATAGTTTTTACTTGAAAGATAATGTATTTTACAAGTAGATAACTCCAGAAGTAGTTCTTATTTAGGAAAAAAGTACGTCGCAATACTGTCTTAACATGTGACCTAATGTTGAATCACAATTTGACAACTGACTGACCCTGTTTTCTCTTTACTCACCTGCCCCCTCCCCCTCACTCCTCTGTCACCAGAGCTCATGTGGAGCCTTGAGCGGGAAAAGCCAAAGCTGTGGTCCAAACACCGCAGCACAGAGCCAACTGTGAGCCACCCGAGTCCTTTGCTCCAGAAGCAAAAGCAAGGAAATGAAACGATAACTGATGCAATTTCTTATGATTGTATGACACCAATTTTTAATATTGAATTTTCTGTTGCTCCAGAACATGTTCATTTTGAGCCTTACTCTCAAGTTCCCATCTCTTGCTATTCTTGTACTCATATTTGTTTTAGTAAAATGTAAGGTATTGATTATTCATACTATTGTTGAGTTTACAAAAGTGTAAAAATGGCTGAATATGTATCTGGAACAACAGAAAAAAACGTGTTAAGTTTATGCAGTCCAGTCTTCACAAGCCCTAATGCTGTTGGGGTTTAAGTTTTGGCTCGAATGTTGTCAGATGGCTTATATTTCAAAGTTAATTCCCAGGGTGGTTTTTGTTTTTGTTTTTTCAAAGCTCAAAATGTTTTCAGTATTCTGTGCTTTCTCCTGTAGCTTCATCAATCTTTAACTTCCACAAAACTTTCCCTCACTAGTTAAAGTTTATTGTTTTTGTTTTTCCCTATTCTTTCCTCACTTTCTAGCTTCCCTTGCATGTTCTCCTCATCTCATACTCCGTTGCCCTGTGCACTAGTTTGTAATGTCCGCATTTTTGCTTTGTGGTTTTTGTTGCAGCTCACTAACGGCTCACTAAAGGTTTTTACTTGCTCTCCCGTTCATTTCGTACGCCTCCACAGATAATACTGCCAGCTTGTAAATATGTACATAAGACACTTTTGAAAATTAATAAAACTGCGAATATATACAAGAATATTCAGTGTTGGCTTTATTCATTTTTTCTTTTACATTAATCTTAATGTAGTGATAGAATGAGCAATAAATACAGGACACGTTAAATAGTGGAAATAAAGCTGTAAGTGGACAATGTAACAAAACATTCTTTTGCCTTTTTGTCATTTCTATATTCAACATTTTTATTTTTTTGTCTTTTTACATACAATTGTGAACAGAGTATGTTAAAACGAGAAATCTTTTGTATTATAGGCCAAGAAAAAAATTACATGTATTTGATTGGGAAATAGACACTCAGGAAAAGCTTGAAAAAAGTGGACAGAGCAGCATTTCAAGAAGTTAATTAGCAATAGTAGCGAGAGTAAAGACATGCGGGAAAAACACTGCAAATTGTGTAGTTAAGATCACAGGAGCAAGAGAATATTTAAATTGTCATAGACTTAATGGACTTGTTTTATATACTCGATATGCAATTCTGGTTGCATAACCCTTTATCCTTGTGCTTTTCATTTGAAATTGGCTTTTACTATGATAAATAGGCAGCTCCAGGTTAAGTCAAGAAAAAAGAAAAAAACATTTAAAATATAGCCCAGGGCTTGGTTAGTACTGTGATGGGAGACCACTGGGAACAGGTGCCACAGTTGGTAGGCTGCAGATAGAAAAAAATGCTGTTGGTGTATCTTAATGCAAGACACTTGGCCCACATAGCCTAGTATGAATCTGGTGTGTGTGTGTGAATGATTGGTGGTAGTCAGAGTGGTACATGTCAGATGAGTTCTATTGCCTCCATCAGTTATTCCCAGGACAACTGTGGCTGCAGTGATAGTTTACCACCACAGTGTTCTGAGGGAATGTGAAGTCTCTGAGTGCCACAAAAGGTGCTATATAAGTACTATGCATTTTTTCTTATTATAACAAAAATATATATTTACACCAAATATTTTGGTGTAAATATATTCACTTTTTCTCAATTAAAATGAGAAGGGGTGACAGTGGCTCAGTTGGTAGAGGTTCTCTAGACCTTCTCCACCGACTCTCACTGATGTCAGCTGTCGTTGTGTCCTTGGGCAAGACGCTTAACCCCACTCTGAAGCCCCCACTGAAAGACCAAGGCGCTGCTGTCACTGACAGAGCAGCCATCCCCTGTGGACTCACCACCTACGGGAGGATCTTTGAGGGGCTGTTGCTCGGTGAATTGGGTGCAGCTCTGACTTCCCCCCCAACCCAGAAATGGATGGATGGCAAGACAAAATTTTTTTTTTTTATGAATTCAGATTCAGCTCCAGTAATTTTAGCTTTAGAGGCAGTGTGTTAAAAGATAAAAAGGCATGCATGCAGAAAATAAAGAGACAAAGCATAAATAAACCAGCAGTAAGGCAGCACACAAGGAAATTCATAAATAATGAGACTTGAAAGGTTAAAACTAGATAAACAGAGGGATAGAAAGATAAAGACACAATAAAAGCCAGAAAAAAGAAGAACCGGTTTATTTAGGTAAACGTCACGGCAGGAAAAAGTGCAACAGGAACTAAAAAGAAACTAAAGATTATAAATAATGTTAGAAAATAACTTTAACACAAATGAGAAAAATACATCCAGAAAAATAATTATGATGGTAAATAAGAGCAGCTCGATGGTTCAAGTTGTGGCTGTGATTAACATTCATAAAGCAGGTAACAAAACTGTTGTGCATTTCTATATACATTTCCTAATGCTAGGATTTGGCACTAAAAGACCAATGCATGTGGTTTTCCCATTGGTATCACTATGTCTATACAAAGAAAATATACAACCAAGTTCTACTGTTGTAACCGTAGTGTGTTGGTGACTAGAATGAGGTGTGTACTCTGCACTTACCCACGTCTGGAAAAGAAAAGTTTGCACAAAAGATCTTTAACAGTCACAAGTGTAAGAAGGAAATGCCTCAAATACAAAATGAAGAGCAACAGACTTTATGAAGAGCTGAGCGTTTGAGAGGTAGATTGTAAGACAAAGGCAAAAGACTGTCCCTGTGGTTATCTGCGCTGAACAAACTGTTTTAAAACCATACATTTACAGTGTGACCGAAAGTCTCACAGCAGTTTGCTAAGGGGCAATATAACTGAATCACAATGTCTTCGTTGAAAAGAAAACTCTGTGCCATATACCCTGCTCTGAGTGAGTGACAGGTGGACGAACAAATCACAGTGAAGTGTCTCTGTGAAGAATCATCTTAAAAGTACAACTACACTTGCAAACACATACACGCTCACACAACATCAATAATAAAAACATAACTAACAATTACCAAATCAAAGCTTCAATCAGGATTAAATTGGGTTCAAACGGGGTAAAATAGTTTCTCTTATGCCTCCTCCAGGAATTGTATTGTAAATGCAGATTTCGGATTTTTTTTTTAAAAGAGCCATCAATATGTCATATGTCAAATATTTGTTAAGAAAAGCTATTTGACATGTGAAACTTTGTCAGCTGCATTTGACCAGTCCTTCAATAACACCAGACTAGGGCAACCTGTCAAGAGCAGTGATCGCTGACGCTCAGGGACATCTGCAGACGGCTGATTTTGTGTTGATGGGGGAAACCAGAGAGAAACCCACTCTGATACATAGAACTCCACACAGAAAAGTCTGGTTTGGCCCAGGGATCGAACCTGCAACCTCCTTGCTATGAGGTGTCAATGCCACCTACTAATGCAAGACAATCATGCATGTGAATACCATTGTTTCACTGTCAAACAAGAATTTAAATAAAACAATGAAAATCATAATATTATGCCCACACACAATTTAACACACACAATAACTTAAAAGTTCCAAAACCAACAAAAGATTTGTTTAAGCAACTATGAATATTTTACAAATTGATTTTCTTCCGAATAATGTCAGTAGTCAAAAAGGTTCCAACATATTTACAGCTCAAGGGTCCTTCATCTCATAGACAAACTAAGTCCAGAGCTTGATCCGTTTTCAGTAAGGGGTGAAGCGGTTGTAGCCTCCTCTATACAAACTGGCCTGTTGACACAAGAGTGGTTCCAGATGTCAAAAGTGGATCTCAAGAGGAAAAAACTGTTTAACCTTTTGTGCTATTAGTTTGGACGCAACTCACCATTGTCCCGACTCCGTATGTTGTTGTGGGTCCGACTGAGTGGTGATAGGGATCTGCAGCTGCGGCATAAACACGGCCGTATCTGAGGAAGACAGAGGGTTAACAAGGACCTCACAATACCACAATCAATCAATTGGAAATCTGTGTTCATAAAGCCCTACATCTTCATCTACAATCTTACCATGTTAGCAAGTTAAAAGCAGTCTTAATTAAACTGGGTAATAGGTATTCGATATTAAATTATTTTCTGTATGGGCCATCACATTAGGCCTGTCGGTTACCAACATGCCTACTGCCAAGAAGTCAGCGGAGCAGGGATGTAACAATACACCCAAGCCCCAATTTGATTCCTTTTCAAATTCTTGTTTTTACATTTTTAAAACACAATTCTTTAGATATTGTGCCATTGCCATTGCATTATAAGCAGCTAAATTAATCTTCTCCATTGTGAATTATTAAATTGTGTTGACTTCTATCTATTAATTACAATCAATGGTTTTCTTCTTACCGTTATATGTTGCTGCAAAATTCAATGTAATATAATCACACTTGCATATTCTATAATAAATGAAACAAGAGTGGGTTGAGTGTGTTGCAGTAAAAATCAGTCAATTTCATTTGCAGTCGTTTTCTTAACAAGGACTGCAAATACAATTCCTGCAAAGGGACCCACCCGTCACTGTACGCTGTGGCTGCAGACGCGGACTGGGCCACTCGGTAAGCTGCGGGATAGCCTCCCTGAAAACAAAAAGTATTACAAACTATTTTTCTACGAAGAAATGTGTTTAGATTTGTCACAGAAGGAGAAATATCTACAATGCATCAGTGTATCCATTATATTTGAATGTGTCACCGTTTAAGATTTTTTTTTTTATATCGGTTTGATATTCATCCTTTTGTTTGATGTAATAAGTCAATTTGTCGACAGATAGATTTATAGAAAGTTACTTGCGGGTTAGAAACATTATAGTTTGTAGGCACTTACATAGACTTCTGCTCCATACAGCCCGTCCTGATACACCACCCTGCAAAATAAAAACACAAACAACTTTAAAACCTGTCACATCCATCCAAATTTCTTTTAGTCTAATCTAAATCTCATGGTTGAACATATTTCTGACCCGGGGTAGGCAGGCAGGGCGGTCGGAGTGGCAGCAGCAGCAGAGCGGATGGTGTTGTAGACAGCTCGGCCGCGGCCTCGAAGAGCAGACCCCCGATAGGCTAATGTGGGAGTGGCCATAGGATACGGGAAACTGGCAACTGGACATTCAAAGCAAAGAGACCGGTTAAACACATGGAAACATCAACAATTATATGAACACGAGCTATGACTGTATCGATCTTCTGTCATGTTCAGTGTTGGGGAGGATACTGAATGTATTTAGATTTGTATGTGTTGTGTTGCTATATAAATAAACTTTACTTATTTTAAACAGAATGCTGAATGCCAGACTTACACATTACTCCAAAACTTATTCTGTGAGATGGTGCAATCAGAGTATTAATTGGCGGAGCTCAATTTTATATTATAATAGTAAAATGCAGCGATGGATGAAAAGTTTTCAACCGTTATAATTGTACATTAAAAAGGGCCAAACCACTTGCACCACTATAAGTGAAGTTTTAAATTTCATGATAAAATATTACATTGTATTCCTTAGAATTCTGTAAAGTGGAACCTCGGGATGAGCTAGAAAAGGGAAGTCCGGGAGTCCTTGCTTAGACTACTGCCCTTGCGACCCAGCAACGGATAAAACACAAGACAACGCATGGATAGATGGACAGTAATATGAATCTGTATTTTATGTATTCTGTCACTCCTCAACGCTGGTCACTTTGAGCACTTTGAGCAGCTGGTGTAAACATGCTATATATGGTGTAAACATTGACAAAACAAATCCAGAAAAACTGAAATGATACAATATGACTGCGTTTGCTCCATGTTCAGAAAGAGAACGTACCAGTGTAGAGTTCGGGTGCGTACATGGCTCCCATCACAGGGTTAATCTTCCATCCCGAAGCTGACGGAGAGAGACGAGTGTTTGAACAATAGAACTTCAGAGCTGAGAAACAATACGACAAAACTCACTGGACAGTTCTCCGTTCACCAGAGCCGTCTGAGGCTTCTTGGTCACAACTCTGGCAGTGGCATTATTTACCTAAAAAGATCCACGCAAGAACACTGTCAATATAAACACATTATTATTTATTAAAGGTCTATAGGAGGATTTTCCCAAATTTTAGGAAAGAACTGCCCTCTCCACTTTTTGAACACAACTCTCTGGCCTTATTTGATGAGCAAGTATCACCAGAAAGATTGACAATTGGAAGGACCGATAGTCTTGATTCTCCACTCGGAAGTAGAAAATCCCCCTATATAGCTTTGATTATGTTTTAAAAGGCAAAGCTAAATACATTTCAAATGTATTTTACTTTATAGTGCAGTTATGACACGATAAAGCTAAATATGTGACATCACACCTCAAGCATTTTGATTAAACCAACATAGATTTTCACAGTACAACCTTTATAACTAAATTAAAATGATTCTGAGACTACAAAGTTATATTAAGTATCAAGTAGAGGAGCACCTATAGCAACACAAGAATCAAATATTGGTGTAGTTCAGAATTTGTTTCAGTAAAAATAAATGTTAAAACACACTTGGACCAATATTGTAATATACAGAGGTCCCTTCACTGGCATCAGCCAGCATTGAGAGCCAAAGTATCAAGAGCGGTATCGGACATGAAAAAGCAGGATCGGTGAATCTACATGTCGGATCTATTTACCAGCAGAAACCCAGCAGTTTGTCATCAGTATTACTCCACAACTTGTTTATTAACTTTTAAAACATTTGCATGTATCTCTAGGGGCTGTAAACACATCATATTGCTATGAATTTCCATGGTTTTCCATTCAAAGTTATACACTATATTTCTCTTACCTCAATTTTCCTCCCTTCAACAATAGTTCCGTTTAATTTTTCTCGCGCCCGATCGGCCTCAGCCGCACTCTCAAATGTTACAAATCCAAATCCCTGTCACAACACAGGTGTTACTTCAGTTTTCATTCATTTTGACTTTGATAAAGATGTCTGCTCACCTTAGAACCTCTCTCGTTGAAGATAATCTCCACATCAAGGATCTTACCAAATTGCTGAAAAGGGAAAAAAGAAGATCATGAGTGGATTGGCTTTACACTATCAATGAGTTTATACACACTGGACCAGCATAAGGCCATACAGACTGTCCAAGCAATCTAACCCTGCACACAGCACCGCCTCTAAAAATAGAAGGGGTCTGTTGCTTATCAGATAAACTTTCATTTTCCAACTTTAAGCTGGGGGCCGTAACTTTATAAACACAACAATATGACTATGTACCATAATTAAATACATGTAATCTTCCCCATGATTTGTCAAACAGAAAAGTGAAAAAGAGAGAACCCCTTCACTCAGCATTTTCTAATAAGATGAGTAGCAGCCTGGGGTCTGATTTGTTCACAACATTTTACTTTTACAAGACTCTTTCGGTTGGACAAACACAAAATATATAAATTATTGGGAAGGAGCTTTAAAAACGTTCCCCCCATTCTAGTAACTTCTTTGTTATCTCACCGTCTGTTATGTTGAATAATAGACCTTGTTATTTTTCCTTTTATTTATCTGTAATGTGTGCAACTATGAAATTAAAATGTCACAGCTGAGGGACAAGTTTCTTTATCTTATCTGATCTCATCTTATTCAAAAGGTGGTTTGAAATGTTTTGGTGACATTTTGAGACTTGCCCCAAACATCTGTCGTAGATCGGGGTCCCTGAAGCGAAAGGGGATGTTGGACACGTGGAGGCGTTTTGGCTGCGATTTACTGGAGCCCTCCTCATCACTGCCGCTGCCAGCCCCACTGCCCCCTCCCGACACGGGGAGATTGGGATCCGAACCCCCCGCGGTAAGGCCGTCCTCCTGCTGCAGAACAACCAGGCGAACACAGCCAGAGAAAAGACATAATATCAGGATAAAGCAAAGATGAAGCCCTGTAAGAAAGGATTATCTATGAGAGTAAAAATGACTTGAGTTCAGAGGATCATCTTTTAACATGTGATCCAAAATCATTATTTACACAATCTTCAACAAACTAAGCATACAAACTATTCCTCTTTATGATAATGTATATAATCTATCAAATTTTTATGTATTTTTAGCTATTTAATTGAGCTTTTCTTCTTTGCAGTGCAGTAATATTGTAACTCAAGACTTTTTCATAGGTGGGACTCGGAAAATGAATCAAAAGTAATTTAAAAGACTTGTTTTGATAACCCTTGCGTTGAAAGATATTAGAAGACTGACTGTGAGTAACTTATAAAATAAAAGTGAATCGTTTTTTCTTATACAATAAAAACACACCTCAACAGGGAGATACAGGAGCATCCCAAATAGATTAGTTACTAGAACATTATTTTTTTCAATGTGTATCAAGTCCAATTTTGACAGTAGTAAATTTAGTATGTTGATGCACTAGAAAAGTCATTTTTAAAGCCTCAGTATATGTCTATCTTATTCTTACTGTTATGAGACTAAGACTTGGTTGAGTTTAGAGGGTGAAGTGAATAGAGAGACATAGGGTTAATATAATTACAAAACAAGACAAATACTGGACACATTCTGACCTCAAGTCATTTCCACTCAAACAGAAATTATTTCTTGCAGTGTGCAAGGGAGAAATATGAGTTCAGGAGTAAAAGAAGGAGAAAAGTGTCATTTCAAGTAATTCTCCTGTTTTTTTTTGCAGAAGCATCGCATGACATTAAGCAAAAACGGTCTGTTGTGTGATCCAAACCAACGAGCATTCAACAATCAGTGGTCCTTTAGTGAGGCATTTGAACACATGCCCAGAAGAAGAACAACATACACATAAAAAAGAGTCCTATAAAGATGGTTTACAACAGTGGCAAAAACAGTTATGAGGAAAACAGTTTCACATTTGAACAGTCGTGGTTGAGTGGCTTAAAGCTCAGTATAGTGAAGTGTAACCATGCACCCACTATTTCATCAAGACATTCACTATCCCACAATGCACCACGATGCTATGGCTGGACTCTAGGGCTGCACGATATGGAAAAATATGTGTGATAAAAAAACAAATTATTTTTCTGTTCAGATTACCGCTGATACCACTATTGAGCAATGCCAGTGTGGAAAATGAATGTTCACTGATAGCATAAACTATTATTACAAAATGGATAAAAATCTCATATGTAAAGGGTTATCATGTATAAAAAAGTGAAAACACTTCATTAGAACAAACTTAAGGCCCACCATGTCACGGAGCAAATATCCAAACATCACATTTGCTGATAGTGCATCCTTAAAAATGATAACTGTAAATCTTTCAGAACAATCTGTAATCAATTATTTTAGTGAAGCATTATACACCGATATTGAATCAGCCAAATGTGCAATATATTGTGCAGCCCTACCTTTCATACCACCACTGAACTTTGTATGTTATAGAAAAGAATACAGCTAAATAAAAAAGTTACTTGTGAACAGATTTGAGCTTAAGTAGCAGAGAGAAACAAGCAGGAAAAAGCGTGAAATAATGACGTAAAAAAGAGGAATGACACACGGTGAAGAAAACACCGGTAACATATGCAAGAAGCTGGAGGAGAAGCATCTGGGCCACGGTGCTGCTTTTCTGGCAAAGGTTAAAGTCAAGTGTCAGGGGTGCCATTAATGAGTTGGTGACAGAGAGAAAGGGAAGTGGGAGAGATGTTCACACAGGGTGCTTCACAAACATCATGGGACGCAGCCGCTGAATTACTCTACGCTGAGATCTGCCATCATGGTCCACACACAAACAGACAGGCACAGTGATGGTCAGGGGCGGGGTCAGGGGGCACGATGCAGTACAGTGCTCTGGACCTGTGTGGGACTCTGAGGAAGACGCGACGTCTCAACCTTTCCAACGAAAGTCAGCAGCGACCCAAGTTTGTCAGGGGCTCTAGTGATAAAATATATAAATGGGGCCACAGGTATGAGGGAGGGGTGAGCATCAGAGGGATTGGCCTATAGTTCTCCTAAAACTTTAATTACGTAGAATTGCATGGGCTTCAAAAGGTATACAATGTTTTAAGCTCATAAAGTTTGTGAAACCTACAGTTAAAAAACATTACCCATGTGATAACATTTGCTATCCTTGATACTATGGACCACTTTTGAATGTATTACAATAACATGACATATTTCTGATAAAGACAGAAGTCATTCATGCACGTTATGAAACTAACAACATAATTTGAATGGTAAACACATATTTGACATGTAGGATCTAAACACTGTGGATCTAATCACACACACTTCCTCTGTTTCATGACATGAAATGAGACACTGTGAGAGGAGCAGAGTGTCTTAAATGTCAGCACATTCCCGAACACGGACACCACATGAGGTGCTCTAAATATAGGGGAAACTCCACCATGTTGCTCTTGTGATGAGCATCTACCTGTGGCCTTTCAAGTCAGGGGCTGTCTTTCCCGTGCGATCAGGGTCCTGTGTTCTTACCGTGTTAGAGGAGCCCAGGCTCTCGGCCTCGTGCTGAGGGCCCTGGTACACCCTCATAGAGGCATGCTCGGGGTACTCTGAGCTGGTGTGAGGGGAACTGAAGTCCAGAGCCGGTAGGCGTCCTGCTGAGGAGGGTGGCCCCTGCCCTGGAGGGGGGTAAGAGGGGGGCGGGGCATAGACCTGGGACAGGGCAGGGTCAGCACTGCCGGCCTCCTGAGTGGGACCCCCCTGGAAACAGAGAAAAGAAGCTCATGAAACATAAACTCAAGAACAGTTTTCTGCAACACCAACACAGCCTCATTCGGCAGACCACTGCTGACACTGAACATCTGAGAGGCCAGAGCCACAGCCATGTTCTGTGTGTCCTGTAATACATTAATATATAATGCATGAATCATATGTTGTTATGTTGTAGCGGTACTTAAAAGAGACACAAAAAGTATACTTTGAACAACAATGTGAATTACAAACAAGTCAACGGATGCTTATATCACACAATAAATGTCTAATATTGATGAAAAAGCCAAAAGCTCAAATGTGTTGTCTTACCCCTCCTGAGCGTCGTGTGAAGTGTCTGAAGCATTGTCCCACAGCTGCTGCATGCTTTAATGCCTGACCACCCTCCCCCTGCACCATAAGTTCTTCTAATTGACCAATCAGATCACAGGATGGTCGAAAGGCCTGACAGCTGTGGTCCTGTGTATCCATCTCTCAACACTGAAGTCCATTACTTTCCTCAAAACAATCTGAGAGAAAACAGCTGACTGTGTTTCCAAATGTTCAAATATTTATACACATTTTAACAACTGCAGGGAACAGCTTTGTTTCACACCAGACATGTCGAACGTGTGTTTGTAGAAAACGAACACACTCACTAGAATGTTATGGCTAATTGTGTAACTTTTCATGATCGTGATCCTCTTGTGGATTTGATAAATTGATCAAATCTGTCATAATCTAAACCTGGTATCTAACTTTTAAACCACAAAGTAACAATGTAAGAAAATCAATCGAACTAGTTCCTCACTCTTAAAACTTTGGATCAGGTGTTTCAGAGTGAAAATAAGATGTTCACATTAGATGAAGACAGCATACTTGGTCTAATTTGTATATCTTACTTTTACTGGACTTGAGACAAACAACATGTATTATTGATGAAGACAGTGAGTTATATTCCCCATCTTTAATAACATCTCTGCAGGGTTACTGGTCTATGATGTGCAAGTCTTCTGTGAATATGCTTTCAAATTGTGTTTTGGGTTCATTTGGTCTATTTTGGCATCTATTCCTGTTTTAGAATGCACTTTGCATACACACAGATAACAGTTAAGACCTGCTTGTCATCTCCGTCACTCTCACAGACCCTTTCACTCCTGAATGATAACAAATTTTCCTCCCAGTATCAGAGGATTGAGCCGATTTTCTCTCTCTTCTTGGTTTAACAACAATGAAAACATCTGAGGTCTGTCTGTGTTATAACTGCTGCAAAACTTTCATTTGAAAAATGAGTGCGCTCCATTTTACCAGTCCTGTAGTACAGCCCAAAACTATTTTGACAGCGTGCCACATAAATAAACAAGGACAAAGCATAGAGCCCATTTCACGTAGGTTCAATTTAGCAAATAGTCCTATTTTTATTAGAACAGGTTTATAAATGTAGATGTTAGAATTAAACAGATATTCAAAAGCAATCAATAAATGGCTATAAATTGGACAATATAAACTGAGTGACTAAACTAAAAAAAGAAATCATATCAAGGCAATTCCTAAAGTGACTCTATACATCACTATTGTTGATGTGCTGTATAAAAAGACCTCTCTGCCAGACATAGTGTCCCTGTTTGGACTCACACTTGCTTCCTGTATCTCACTCACTACTTCAGCTGTCAATGTGAGGGCACAGGTCAACGGCTCGGAGCCAGGTGCACACTGGGACAGCTGCTTTAGGATTTACACTTTAGGACACTGACTGCAGATGTGTTTTAACAGAATTCAGAGACTGCTGCTCCACTGCAGCTAAGCCCAGTGTGAAACGGCTTGAGTTACTTTAGCAACACAATGGCCATAGAAAGTGTGTCATACAGTAGAGAAGTCTGAGGAATCACCCAAAACATGACAATCAATATTGATCAACAACAGCATTTATCCAGACTCAGTTGGCTCATGGACTTTTTAATAGACTTTTTGTACAATTTAGGCTAAAACTGAGAAAATCATTACAACAGTATGGAAAAGTCAGTCACTTGATATTATGTTATCTGAAGGTTGAAGTAAATGTTTCTATTGGCAGATTCTGAGGGGAACTGCTGTACTTAAGTATAAAACCATGTGAACGCTGGTCGTGTCGCTCGTCGTTTTTAGGATCAAATGTATTATTTGTTCATTTGTTCATCTAACTAATTTGTTCATCCTCTTTGTTTTTTTCCATTTGCGTAATAAACATCACGGTGAAAAAGAAATAAAGGTAGAAACAAGTCTGAAATTTAAATAATAACAAAACAAAACAAAAGAATATTCAAAATAGCTGTTCTCATCTTTATCACATGAATGAAGTTCTAATCATCATACGCATCAATTTGATTTTTATTGTGGTGATCCCAGGTTTTTTCTAAATCTGCACTAAAATATCACATTCTATAATAACTATATTCAGCTTACTTACACTTTTCTTTCCTCCGAAACATGTTTATGTTCAGCATCAAAAATTGAACAAATGTTTATATAACTTCCTCTGAGTGAGAAGATTCCAATGTTTCCCATAGTTTGCCAACCCTGATGTTGCCATAGAGAAAATAAGAGTAAAATGTTCTCTGGTCATTATCTTCCAGAGTGGTTAACTAAAAATACAACCATGTGACAAGGTATAGAGATAGCAGGCCATCAGTGGCATTAGAGGAACGTCAGGGACACTTCGGACTAAAGATAACCAAAAATGAGTCTGAACAGTTTGACCCCAGTTTGGGGGATGCTCACAACGAACTACAGACATTTCTCTCTATCGTTCATCATGTGTCATGCACTGACATATTAACAAGAGGTGTGAGAGGTGTTTGTGCCATTTAAAATTTGATTCTATGATTCAAGTAAATAATCTTCCTCCTAAAGATTCCAAAAGGGAAGTTTGAAAGAATGCATGATTTTTGGTTTAGAATCAGATTAACTGCATATAAACCTAATATTAATGTAAGTCAAAAGTTGAATTACAATGTTATAACTGCTCACCTTGAGTACAGTATTAATATATTATGCACCACTGGTGTTCGGCTCTGGATTTAAATATTGTTTTCTGTTCTTATTTGAGAAATGGGAATTATGAATACTAGGTAATGACAAGTTAGTTGGACTATTAGAAGAGTCTTCAACAACAGCTGAAATGACTATGCCTTTTGCATAGCTCTTGTGTTGACCTATATCTTAATTTGTATTTGCTTGAAAGATCATATCTAATTCCTTGCATTATTAAGAAAAGTCTAACTTAGCCTGTTTTTGACTGGCATGCTGTTTGGGATTCTGGACTTAGCTATTCTCAGGACATAGGAAATCGTTTTATAAAGAAATGTATGATTGGTCCAAATTGTACTTTATGCCATACTAACTCTATGGGGACCTATTTTCACATGATTTGGGGATGTACAGCAGTTTCACACTTCAGGAACATGCCAAAGTCATGCCAAAGCCTGGAGTAGCGCATTAAATCAACATTTCTCTGACTTAATTCTTATATATGTCTATGGTTATGTTTATTTTAAAGGTAACAAATGAAAAATCAAACTTGCTCCAAGTTAAACTTTTCACAAGTGAATACGAAAAGAGGAACCTTACCTGCACTAAACTTGGGTAGCATGTGGTTGTCTGAGGGTAGACAGGCAGTCCATACGGCTGGAGGATTACAGTGGGTGAGGAGAGCATAGCCCAAACACCACACAGAAGGGACAGGAAGAAGGAATAGGTTATATAGAAGATGAAAAAGTAATAGTACAAACAGAAAGGCAATAATGTTGCTCCAAAAAAACAGAAAGTGAGATCCAAGAAAACACAGTTTCAGTCTTAAACACAACTCTGCCAATAGTAGAACTTAATAAAACTCCACAACAAATGTAGCCCTGGCTGGAAAAGACAGGATTTGGCTCAGTGAAATAGGAAGCAGTGTGCTCCTGTGTACCCACCGGTGTGAGGAGGCCTGACAGACAGAGACACATGCACAGGGTCCCGTTTCAAATGTGTATAAATAGTCCTCCATACCCATCTCCTTATGAGTTTACCACCTAAACAACATCGTCTAAAGCATGCCCTTCAATTCTTGTTGTTGATCTTATTATAAACGATAAGATACTTAATGTCATTGATGAATTATAGTAGAAATACCACCCAATCGATTTGTTAAATATGTATTTTGATTTATTTTGATTTATTTATGTTATGTTTTGGTATGTAATTTATAAAAATCCTCTATGTGACAGGGCAGTAGAGGATGAATCGAACTCAAAGGTCGTTTCTTTTATTTTTAAAACTATATAAAACCAATAGAGGGCGGTCATGTAAAGTTGTATTTCTTTTCTGCTCGCGTGGTGTATTATGGGTAATGTAGTCACACTCCATCCTTTATAAAGAAGCGAGGCCGTGTTCACTTCCTCTTTACTGTGTGCGCCTGAAGCGAACAGGTACTAGCGGAAATTTTACAAGAATTATCATTATATTTTTCTTGTTAATGTATATTTCCTGCGTTATGTTGAAAAAGCGAATCGCCGTTTAACAGGAGTTGCTCTTTAAAACCTCCATGCGTATTATGTGTGTGCTGTCTGACCCAATGTGGATGCTAGCTTTGCTAAGCTAACTCAGAAAAAACGTGGTTCGTTAGCTAGTTCTGCGGCTTTTTTAATGATGAGAAAACTAATCATTATGACCTTAATGCTGTTCATTTCATCTAATTAGCGACAGTACGCGGTTTTGTTTAATTTTGTACGACATGTAACATTAAAATGTACTCTTACATTGACCATTGTTTCATTCCAGGCACTTTTAAGTCGCCATGCCCGTCGCCAGGAGTTGGGTTTGTCGTAAGACTTATGTCACCCCTCGTCGCCCTTTCGAGAAGTCTCGTCTCGACCAGGAGTTGAAGCTTATTGGTAAGTATTTTAAACCCCCTCATTTCAATGTTTCCTGATTATATAAAGTTCTTTACTCTTTATAGGCGAGTATGGATTAAGGAACAAGCGTGAAGTGTGGAGGGTCAAATTCACCCTGGCTAAGATCCGCAAAGCTGCCAGAGAGCTGCTCACTCTGGATGAGAAGGATCCTAAACGTCTCTTTGAAGGTAACACGAAATTATAATATACAATGTGATGTAGTGGCCGATGATTAGACAACCTTATCTACCTTCAGATTATTCCATGGTGTCACGAATTCCTCGTCAATGAGGCCATTAATGTGTTAGATTGCAGAGTCTGTAAAATAAATCGGTAAACTAAACAGCTTTCCTTCTTAGGTAATGCCTTGCTGAGACGCCTGGTCAGAATTGGTGTGCTTGATGAAGGAAAGATGAAGCTGGATTACATCCTGGGTCTGAAAGTGGAAGACTTTTTGGAGAGGAGGCTGCAGACTCAAGTCTTCAAGCTTGGTCTTGCCAAAAGTATCCACCATGCCCGTGTCCTGATTCGGCAAAGGCATATTCGGTAAGATGGAACTTAAAAGGACTGAAATGCTCCTTGGTTTTTTAAAGTGTTAAATTATACTTCCTCTTTTATCAGAGGACCACCAACAATTTAACACCCCTGTGGGGGTCAGTTAAACGTTTCCTCAAGGTCAATTCGGTATCAAAACCGTATACCTTGTTAGACAAAATGCCCAGAGCCAATCTCTGAGAGGGCCTGAAGTGACTGACTGGCTGGTCAGGTAAGGGATTGTACCTCGGGCATGTGTAGGATCAAGATTTTAGGCTACTTGGGCTGATGATTAAGTTAAAAAAGATCAGATTTCCTGTGGTGTCAAGAATTCCTCGTCAATGAAGCCTGTAGTCATTTAGTGCAGTTTCGAATTGAGCAGCAAGACCCATTTCTAGCACTAAACTTTGACTTTTCTTTCAGTGTCCGTAAACAGGTGGTGAACATTCCCTCCTTCGTGGTTCGCCTGGACAGTCAGAAGCACATTGACTTCTCCCTCAGGTCACCGTACGGTGGTGGACGTCCAGGACGTGTCAAGCGAAAGAACGCCAAGAAGGGCCAGGGTGGAGCTGGAGGAGCTGATGATGAGGAGGAAGATTAAAATGGAGATTCAGTGTGTAACGCTGCAGTTTCAATAAAAGCTCAAACGTTACAAACTGTAGTGAATTTATTTATTTTTTGCATTCAACTGTTTACTAAATGTAAAAGTTATCTGGTAAGGATGTGGACTCAATGTGCGTCTTGGGACTTAACTTGTTTAAACTGATACTATAAATATTAGCATACATGCTAATATTAATATACATACTGCTGAACTAAGTATAGAAATGGTACGATCCATCCGTGTACCACCCCTGATATTCTAGAGAAATGGTTCAGTCCTCGATGTGGAACCAGAAGTGATCGAAAACTTGTTCCGGGGGGTTGTGCATTTTGGCATCAAGATTTTTGCCTTAAATGGCATGCCTTAAGCTTTTGCCTTAAGATAGGCAGCAAAGATTTGGAGAAAAGGTAGGGGCTGTGAAATTAAAACTTAGCATTGTCCAAAGACCTAGCTATGTTGCTTTCCCGAACTGCTAGTCCATCTGTGGCTTCAACTAGCAGCCCATCATTTTTTATAAATATTTAGTTACGGCACAAACACCGAGCTTCATTTGATAAAACTGAGGTAGCGTTAGTTTAAAATCTTGTAAATAGTACAATCTTTAGATGCATGTACTATTGCCTACATGTTGATTCATAACATGTTGCTTGTGTGTGACAAATGAGACCAAAGAATGTTTCATTTTGCCAAACTATGTAGTACGAATGGTTGGAGTTTATGCAAAAGATTAACTGTTCAGCCTGTGTTCCTCTTCCGACAGATCTTTTGATACGATAACGAGGAAATTGCCCAATGTGTTGTGTTGTGCCACGACTGAAAGGGCGTTTTGAGCAAGGACATATTCATATATATGTATTTGTTTACAGCTGAGAAATGTCTCCAGAGGAGCTGGTTTACCTGGGGATACTCGCAGCCTCTATTCCTGTTGGATTCTTATTTCGTTTTGTCAGTGAGTAGTACCTTTAGCTACTGTAGTAAGTTCTTGAGATCAAGCTAATATGGCCTGTGTCTTTGAGCAGTAAGTTGTACACAAATATGACAATACAAAGTCAAAGGAGTAGTCATGGTAGGAGAGAAGAATGCAAGAGTTGAGAAAGTATGTTAAAAGTACTATAATCAAAAGGATTTTATTCATAATATTATAAAACCCATAACAACATCACCATCAAGACTGGAGAGCACATATCTGCCATGCCTGTTGCTTTGCAGCCCATTTGTGAAGATTAGTGAGTTTTAATCCAATGTAAATCTCTAGAGGCTATCAATGTCAGCAAGCAGAGGTTGGTTGAACCAACTCTGAGTTATAGAATAAGTTCTAAAGTTACTAAGTCCAATTCACGTTTAGGTTCACGAGTTGCTTCTTTGTCCACCCCAAAGTCAAATTGATGAGGCAGTTGCAGCACAGATCAGGTATGGTATAGAAAATAGGAGCACAGAGTAAAGGAGTCAAGCTAGAGGGAAGGGAGCTATCACTTCTCAGGTGATGGCCACCTCACCTTCTCTGTTCTTTCTTCTAAATAAAATAGTAAAGGCTTTGAGATTTAATTAGCACCCAATTAATACATTTAAAAAACATAATATTTATCAGCCTAATGGTGAAAAGACCTAATTATTCGCTTTTAACAGATGATGGAACTATGACAAAACATATTATTGTGAGATTAAACATAAAAATTCTTATAACTTGATTAGTTATTTTGAGAATACATATTCATGTGACACATCTCACATATTTTTACAAATCAGTAAATGTACATGTCACTATGCTCTCAGCTCATTGGTTCATGAACCTAAATTCTGCAATTTAACAAAAAAACAAAGAGTTCCTTCAAAGTAAACATGAACTTACTCCAAACCAACACCAACAGGCAATGAGGGTCTGTACTACAGCAAAAACACAGCTCAAGCACACGTCAAACTAACTAAAATAAATGTGGAGCAGATGACAGGACAATATGTAAATCTTGAGAATTTATAGATGCAGCTGTTTTGCTTATGTAAATGTGACTTCCATGTCTTATATCAATGTGATGGTCATACTCTCGTCTCACAGACTTACAGCCATCAATACTCCGAGGCAGTTGTGGCCACAGTGACATTATGACATAAAAACATGAAATAGTGAAACAGCGAATGGTGAACTGCTACTTTGTAGGACTTACTGTAGGGATATTTTAACCCATCTAAATCTGCCTGTTGAAAGTTGAAACATCCCTGTGTTGACATTTTGGTTGCATCACAGAGCTTTTTGGAGTTTTATGGAAACTAAAAGTTTGTTTGCAAAATGTTAGCATGTAAAAAGAAAACATTTGTTCTCACTGTGAATTTAAAGATTATTTTAAAAAATGTCTTTTAGGCGTACCTTAGAGAATAGGGATTTATACATAGTCACCATGTATAAATCATATTTGACCTTTTCTGAACAAAAGTTTAAAGTGGAGTTCCTAATTGAAAAATACAATTGCTGCAGAGGCCTTTAGACATCCTACTGTCTTACGAGAGATGGCTAAAGGCGGCTAACACAGCTCATGATCATGAGAGGCTGAAAAACAACTGAAAGACTGTGAGACCTGCAGTTTTCCCTTCACGCTGACACACACCGACGCATCAAAGTATCATGAGGTCACAATAAAGTTTATGGAACATCATGAATACTAGTAAACCTTTTCCTCCTGTAGGTCCTCCTGTGAAGCAGGGGGCAGCTCTGCTCCTTGGCCTCTCTGTGACTATTGCCACCTGTCATGTGCACACCCTCCATTCTCTGGTGACGGTGATCGGAACATGGATCATCGTGAGGTGCAGCTGGAGGTAATAAGAGACAACCATCTTTACAACAGAAGATGGGTCTGGGGGGGAAAGCATCATTGTTTCTTACTTTTTGTATTATTTTTGCGTAAACATTTTGATTATAATAGTAGTGGGGTTGTGAATTTGTTCAGGAGTGTGATCCCGTGCGATAACAAAAGTTCATCTCAATACTTTGGTATATATCCTTTGTTAGCATTGACAGAGCTCAAACGTTTTCTGTAAGTCTTCACAAGATTTTCACACACTTTTGCTGGTATTTTGGCCCATTCCTCCTTGCAGATCTCTTCTAGAGCAGTGATGTTTTTGGGCTGTTGCTGGGCAACAAGGACTTCAACTCCCTCCAAAGATGTTCTATGGGGTTGAGATCTGGAGACTGGCGAGGCCACTCCAGGACCTTGAAATGATTGAGGGAGATTATTAATGGTCTTGTATGTCTTCCATTTTATAATAATTGCTCCCACAGTTCATTTCTATCTACCTATTGCAGATTCAGTCTTTCCAGTCTGGTGCAGGTCTACAATTTTGATGTCCTTTGACAGCTCTTTGGTCTTGGCCATTGTGGAGTTTGGAGTGTGACTGTTAGAGGTTGTGGACAGGTGTCTTTCAGACTGATGAGTTCAAACAGGTGCCATTAATACAGGTACAAGTGAAGGACAGAGGAGCCTCTTAAAGAAGGAGTTACAGGTCTGTGAGAGCCACAAATCTTGCTTGTTTGTAGGTGACCAAATAATTATTTTCCACCTTAATTTGCAAATAAATGAAATGTGATTTTCTGGATTTTATTTTCTCATTCTGTCTCTCATAGTTGAGGTATACCTATGATGAAAATTACAGGCCTCATCTGTAGCTAGAATCCGCTACAAGCGCAATATGCAAACGCTATGTGGGTCGTCAGCACTTGGTTAGTCTACTCTTACGGTCTATGTTCTAGGCAAGGCAAGTTTTTTTGTATAGCACAGTTCATAAACAAGGCAACCCAAAGTGCTTAACAAAACAAGATAGAAACAGTCACACAAGGCATTGAAATGATAAAAAATAATTGTCCAAAAGTAGAGATAAAATCCCCCAGTTGTATGCACATCTTAACTGTTTTTAATCTGGATTTGAACATTATCAGAGAATAAACCTGTCACATTTATATCGGTCTATGTTTTCAGAGCGTGTTTTAAAACAATTAGTTGCTAACTGGAAAAGTGTAGCTAAAGAAGTGGGATTATTTAATCCATGTAAATGTTGATGACTAGTGTATAAATAATCAGTTAATTTTCAGACAATGGTTTGCTTTTTTTGTTAAAAACTGTCCCTTGTTTTTAGGCATGCTCCGGCCCTCAGTTTGGCCTGGACCTTCCTCTACCTCCTGTTCTTTCGGAAGGTCACATGGTTCAATCTGCCACCACCGACGCCATATGCCAACGCTGTGCAACTGCTCCTCACACTCAAGGTACTGGGAGAGAAAACTGTCCACTCTTTTAATTTAGGAAGGTTAATCTTTTAAGAGTTTCACTTCCTAAAATTATATTTAAAGTATAAATATGGCTGTACAAAAACAACCATTTTTGAGAGAGGACCAGAAATATGAATTGGTAAAATAATAACATATAGTAATAATAACAATATTACATCTGTTTCATATAGCTATAACTATTAATCTTACAGGATCTAAATACATTGTTGCTTATTGAGGTTCTGTTTATTTCTATTAAACAGCACCACCAATACATTTCATTAATGAAAAAATAAAATATAATAGTAGTCTGAATATTGAAATGAAAAAAATAAATGAAATGAAATGAAAAAAATAAATGAAATGAGACATTTTTACAATACAGATAATAACCCAAATACATGTACAGTATCTACATTTAAACTTTTTACTTACACATTCCTTACATCATATTCACTGCAGTGACTTTGAACAAATTTCAGAAACTATTGGACAATTAGTGTGTAAAAGAAAATTATCTTAAAGATGCAGTCAGCGATTTTCCAGATGCAATTTTTAAAATACTGTGGGAAAACGTCCCTAAACCCCAAAAGTAGTCAAGTCATCATGTGTTTTCAAATAGGAATGGACATGACCAGAGGCCTGCACCTCAAATAATAAATCAAACATATTTTGGAGCTGACCGATAGAAATATCGCACTTTTCGTCAGTGCGCACACCTGTCTGAGTTGTTATTGAGTCTGATTTTCTAAAACACCTACAATGGCTGAACCGAAAGAAGACTCAGGGCTATGTAAAGCAGGCAGTTGATTCTTGCTAATTGCTAGTTTATAGGGGAAACTAGTGCTTGTCAAGTATGGCAGGCAAATCGCTCACAGACTTGAGCCCTAATGTAGTGTAATGCTTTCACATATAAAGCACAGACTGTTATTACAGAAGCAGCATTCATGTGTGCTGGGAGGTGGGTTTGGTGGAGGGCAGGGGGGACGGGGAGTGACTTTGACTCGGATGCTACTGCTAAGTTAACAAAAATCCTTAACTGCACCTTTAAGAGCATTATCATTGCTAATCAAAAGCTTGAAATATACTCATAATTTTAGCATCATATTTGCACATAGATACAAAATAAATTCTGCTTAACATCAGGGGAATTGGTACAGGCTTTTTCAATTTTTCCTGTTTTATTTATGATATTTATAAATATAATATTTATTTGTAATATTTTGTTTTTAGATGGTGAGTTTGGCCAATGAAGTCAGCAGTTTCCACGTTGAGAAGAAACAGGATGTGAGCTCGTTTGATAAGCCGTCTGTGGTTGGTGGATTGTCCCAGGAACCGTCTCTTTATGATATTTTGTCCTATAGCTACTGTTACGTGGGCATAATGACTGGTGAGTGTATGGAAGTATATGCATCTATATTTGCCTTTCTGACGGCTACTTCTGTCCACATTAATTATATCTATCCATTTGTTTTTGCATATCTAACTGTTGTCTCTCTTTGTCTTGTTCTGTGTGCTCCATGTGCAATATAGTGTGAGTTGTTTTTCCCCCATTCTCGATGTTAAGCAAAAGTATATAATTGCAGGCTTGAATCTCCACAAATCTGACTCGAATTTATCCTGGAGGAGGGTCCCTTTATACTTGTTTCCATGGAAATCTATGTTCCTATGGTTATTCCACACCTTGACATAAAACTCATCACTCTTCATGTTGAATCTTCTTGATTTTGATACTTCTTGATACAGTTTTGACTTTGACAAGTATTAAAGGAATAATTGATCTCATAATTCACAATGACAGCCCTCAGATAAAACTTTAGTGAGAATAGTAAGTAATAGTAATAGTAGTATGTAACCTTTCTGGGGGAGAGAACTCTTCACAAATACTTTACTAATATCTATTATATAGAGACACACTTACATTTAATGTCAAATGCTAGTGTTTATTAGATAAGCGATTTGATGGCCTACTTCGATGCATTCCTGTATTTACAAGCATTTAGCCGTCTTACCCCAGAAAAGTTAAGCAGCCTTGTTTCTTTGTGCTAGTAATATTTTTGTCCATTCTAGCCTTTCCTTGTTTCGTTTTTCCCAAATTCCCAACACCTTTTTCCCCACGTTTTTTTTTCAAGTCCAAGATGGGATTATTTTAGTTCAGAAAACAGCTACTACCCAAAACAAATGTTGTATATTCATGGATATATTATTTCTGACTACAGATATTAGTTACCACATCCGATTAGCCTCTTTGAGAAACGAATTCACTTCCTGGAGAAGGTTGAGTATTACAATAGTGCATTCAATTATTGATTTCCCAAACAGTGTTGTTTTCGGTGGCTAAAAGCCCTGCCCCCCTATAGAGCGTCTGTATAAAACTCCCATCTGGGCCCTAAGCCAATTGTATGACAAAGGACGGCCACAAACAAGATTTGCCATAAAAAAGTAAGTTCTTACTTTGAATGAGAAAAACACAGGGGCCACCCAAAACAAGAGTGAAATCAATCTATAGTTTTAAAAAAGTTTGTCAAATTGGAAATTGATTAATTTGTCTCGTTCATGGTTTTACCTGTAATATTTGTTTCTATTCAGTCTGGCTTCTGACAATAATACTGTTGTTCAAGGGAAAATGCATGATTATTAGATTAGTATGGAATATTTTGGAAAAAGAAAACACAATTCTCCCATACAGTAACTGAACCTTTCCCCGCATCTTAAATTGAAATTCTACAATATGACAACAGTACAATGTGTCTGACTTTATTTATTCATATTTGTCTGTCCTTGTCCCTGATAGGTCCATTCTTTCGGTTTCAAACGTACATGGACTGGCTGAAGCAGTCAGACCCTCAGTTGCTGCCGGGGGCTGTGCCGTGTCTGCAGCGACTGAAGCTCGTGCCCGTCTTTGGTGCTCTGTTTGTGGCCGTCAACTATGTGTTTCCTCTGGCTTATGTTCGCACAGAAGAGTTTCACGACCAAAACTTGTTTTTCAGGTAATAAAGCAAAATAGTTAATACAATATTCACTCATAATATTCAACGTAAGACCAAATTTAAATAAGCCTAATTGGATATGCAAAAAGTAATGATACAAAATTATGTTATTTGTGTGAAGGAAACGGTTCGCCTAGCTTTTTAGCGCCTTGTACTCTAGACGCCTTCGCTGAGGATTTGGAGGATAACCTTTCTAATCTGTAACTGTTCAGGTTTTTCTACATGATTGCTATCTTCTTCGTTTTCCGGATGCGTTTCTATGCTGCGTGGTGCGGAGCGGAGGCGAGCTGCATCAGTGCTGGTCTCGGTTGTTATCCAGAAAAGGCCCTGTCCAAACCTGGAGGAGGCCCCACTGTCCACTACAGGTGGGAGGGCACGTTCAGTAAAATGTTAAGGCTTTTTGGAGAATATTAGAGGCTTATCAGATATAGAATTTAAAATATAAAGAATGGAAAGCAGTTATGTTTATGACTCAGGCTCAGGGTAAAACAAATCTGATCGATAAATCTGTAGCAGCCATTGAGATCGTAAACTCAATTCATGCATTTCATGCCCGGACCCCCTCGAAAAAGAGATGATTCATCTCAAGGGGCCATTCACAATAAATAAATAAATAAATACATTTATTTTTTATAAACATAATATGCTGCTTCAGAGTTATAAATATATTGTTGCCCACATATAACACAGCATCTGGTCTCTTACACTGTATTTTTTTCCTCTGCTCCCAAATATATACTTCCAAATATGAATTCTCCTGCCTCCTAAATTAGTAAATCTTGATTTCCCAAAAAGGCGCAAATGTCTTGTTGCATGTCTTTTTGTTTAGCCCTGATCCCAGCACTGAGGAAAAGTATGACTTCAAAACCGTGCAGAACATTGACTGCTACAACACGGACTTCTGTGTGAAAGTGCGACATGGGATGCGCTACTGGAACATGTCAGTGCAGTGGTGGCTGCATCACTACATCTACCCCAACGCCCCCTTCAAGTCCTACACTCTCAGGCAAGAGAAGAGCCTTAATGCCATTGGCCGGCTTTGTATTTCACTTTGTATTTGAGTTTGAGTTTTGTTTTAATGCTACAAAAATCAATATGAATCTTGAACTTGTAGACTACTTTTGTAGTGCATATGATAACGGTTGCCAAAGTCTTGGTTGTTGCAGCATCACCCACTAACTATTTTGAAGAATATGACAAATTCTAATATGCCTGAAATGTACATTATTGAATTGGTTCTGACCAAATATTTGTGAATTGAGCAAATCCACTTCGGGAAGTACTGACTTCACAGATCCTAATCTATCAAGCACAATATAAAATAATTCGGTGTCTTTCTTGAAGTTAAAGCATCAAATAATTCTCAATGTACTTGAAATAAAAACCTGCAATTTTATGGAAAATTATGTTACTGTTCCAGATTATTGAACTAATATTGATAGTTAGTGCAAAAATATACATAACCTTTAAAATCATGCTCCTGTGGACTCACCACCTGCAGGAGGATCAGTGAGGGGCTGGTGCTCTGACTGCCACCCCCCCCGACCCAGAAATGGATTAAGGGGAATCATTGGAATACTGACATAAACGTTTTGATGTCCCTATTCCAATGATATATCTTCACACTACATCCCCAGCCCACACTTACAATTAAATATTCAGATCTATATTACATTATGTCGTTCTCATTATCTTGCACAGAACTGCAATAGTGGAATTCCAACATGATGCTTTCTTTCAGGGCCGGCTGGACTATGTTCATCAGCGCGTATTGGCACGGGCTCCACCCAGGCTACTACCTCTCGTTCCTCACCATCCCCCTGTGCATTGCTGCGGAGTCGGCCATGGAGGCGTCGGTCAGATCCAAACTCAGTCCCAGAGGCCAGAGCGTCTTCGACTGCATCCACTGGTTCCTGAAGATGAGGGCTTACGACTACATGTGCATGGGCTTTGTGCTGCTCAAGGCCGATGACACAATCAACTACTGGTCCTCCATCTATTTCATCATGCATGCGATTGCAGTCTTGTGCATCATCGTGGGAAAGGTCTTGAAAAGTGGTAAAAAGGGACCAAAAAGTTATGAGGAAGTTAAGAACGAAACTGGGTAGAAAATGGACTGATTGAATGTAAATGTTCTTATGTCATTGGGAGAAGTGTACTACTCTTTGGGATTGTTCTGTATATACAGTTGATATTTACGTATTTTTGACCTATGAAACATTTCACAAATATTGACATACTCGGAAAAGTATGCTCCAATGTTTTTCAATGGCCTCCTTAAACTTGAAGGCAGGGCGATTCAACTTAATATTCCAGAGGGAGGTTGTCTCTCATTCAATCTGGTTCAATAATGAGTTTTGGACAGCATTTGTTATGTCTTTTTGAAAACCAATGAGTCAAATCATTGTCTCGATCAAACCAATGAGTCTCTATCAAACTAGTAGACTAGTGGCTATCAGATTTAAGCCACACATTTGCATAAATCAAAATTAAACTAGGCCTAAACCAGGACTGAATCGGTACACAAGAGATGTCTATTTTCTGTCATACTTTGGAGAGTTGGATGCAATTTTTTGATAGTTCTGACTTTGCAAGTTGAATAGGCCTGCTTTTAGTTTTTTGTTGCAAAACAAAACTATATGTAACATTAATCAAACGTATCGTGTTGAAGTTGAAGGGAGGTTTCAACTTGGAGACCACTGGTTGCTCGATATATAACGTTTTGCACCACTGTTACTTTGCTGGCAACTGTGTTTTGTACTCTACAAAACTTGTACTAATATCGTTCACATTTTTAAGATATAAACTGTTACATGAGGTGACCAAAACTCCATATACAACTTCTGCCTGCACAAGAAACATGCACAAACGGGTTCAAACTGGATTACATGGATCTGTTGAAGAATGTAACTGTGAGAAATGCACATACTTTGTTTTTATAATAATATGTGAGACTTTCTATCACTGTGCTTTACCTGCGACTGTGTGCCATTTTCAATATTCACTGCCAGAATCGTTCAACTGCCATCTCACTGTCAACGGACCAAACACCAAAATATAAACTTGCTCATTACAGAAGGAAAGTATATGATTCAAGATTCAAAAATGTGTCACTAAATAATTACATTGTGTCTCTTTTTGTCTGACATTTTGAGGACAGTGGTTGGGGGATGAATTGATCCAGAATTTTCGTTTTTTTATATTGATTCTTTTGCTTTGATCTTCTGCTGATTAGTGATACCAGAACCACAGCAAAGGAGAGAAACACAACATATTAATGTTCAATAGAGCTGTAAAGTCCCTCCCACTTGGCAGGTGGCTCAATGTCCGGGAGTAAAACAATACATTTAATACACTAGTTAAAGGTATAGTGGTATCTGCTGCAACAAGCCTTTCAATATTTAAAACATACAATTTGGCAAAATGTGTTCATTTCTTTGGTTTCTGTGGAAAGCATACATAACATTAAAAAATCGTTTTCATTGTGCAATCATTGAAGATGTTATTTTCAGAAAGAAAAATACATGCCGCACATTGATCAGACCAGAACTGATTCATCGTTTGTAAAAAAGAAATTCTGAAATACGTACAATCAAAATGCTTTATTTTTAAACTGTCAGAACTTGTTCTCTATCATAGAAACAATAGCAGATCCAATCCAGACGTATTTTTGTATTAAGTTGATTTGGAATATTCTGACCTGGGTGCAGTCTGTTGGAATATTGTAATCTAGATACTGACTGTCTACGCATGTTTTATTCTTAATCAGACCTCTGCAGTTTCAGTAAAACAAATGCATCTTCAAAACAGTTATCGCAATTTTCCATTTTTCAATATATATATCTCGCTCTCCTGTGTTACTATGGTTACTTATGAATTGAATTTTCTCGGACAACATCTGTTTTTTATGTTGTAAATGAGACATTCACTGTGCGTTTGTAATTTATCACTTTACACACTTTCACCCTCTGTTTTTTTTTCTGTTAAATTAAACATTTTTAAATATGTATTTGTTTATGTTTTATGATTGAGTATTATCCTAATTACATCTCTTGGTTGGACAGCTGGTCACATAATGTTGCTGGGTTTCATGTTTCATCATCTTTTCAGCAGCTTGTAATGTTTGATCTGCGTATTGGCCACAGGTAAAATTAATGTTATATTCAAAAATTTTGAATTGTTTTAGAAACATATCTAAGATGCTCCTATAAAGACTTGAAAACCTGGAGCGGATCTTTAAAAACATTTTGTAAGCCCTTGCAAATAAATAAATACTCCTAAATAAATAGGTCCAGTAAGGTCCAATAAGGATGTTTGCAAGTGTGTGTTATTAGGCTCATCCTTTGTTAATAATCACCTAGCAACAATGGGTTAAAACACACAAGGAAGTAGCTTTTCATGTTGGGAGTAAAGTCCAGGCGATGAGAAAACACAACCACACTTCCTGAACAGGAGAGATTGAGATTGACCAGTTCAATTAAAATAGACACAAAAGTTTGGAGGCACAGATGCAAGACTCTGCTTACAACAATGGTATGTATCTCAATTCATTTTCCATTTCAGATCATTTTATTCTCAACATTGAATAGCTGAGTTGTTATGAGTTATTGGTGATACATCTCTAATAACTAACAGGGTTTTAAAGTGTAATTTATTCACTTTAACTGTATTATTCTTAAGTAGCCAACAATCGTTGGTATATTTAATTATTTGAGCAGGTTTAATGAATCAATGAAAAAACGTGTTTGTTATATTTCAAGTAATTTATATTTTCAGTTTGTGTTTGTAAATATTATACAAACCTGTATTTTTTGTTTGTTTTTGCTTTGTCTGAATCGAAAATCAAGATATGACAGTTTCAACATGCATTCCTTGGGGACTATTGTACTATGCATGTGGTAGGAGAAACCGGAGCACCCAGAGGAAACCTATGCAGACACATGGAGAACATGGTTGTAAACAATGACATCACCAGAGGGATGTTACACCTATGTGCCAATTATAATTACTATAATTAAAACAAGTTTTTAAAAAAATTAGTAGAAGTAAATGATGACAAACTTTATGGTGAACTGTGAATCTGCCTTTTGTGAAATGATCAGTTCTTCCCATAAATGTCAACATTAAAAATAAATCTTCATAAACTGTGGCATTATCTGTGTAAAACTGATGTCACACACCAGAAACATTTTCACTAATAATTATAGAACAGGCCATCCATTGGAAGGAGATTTGTACTTTGCTTGAGATAACAATGAGCTAACATTTTTCAAATCATATTTGAGGTCAGTAAATATACACATAAAGAAAATGTCACGTTGACTTATTCCTTGCAAAATGTATTTCAATCTCAGACATTTAGTTTATAACTTTTAACAAAATACCACTAATAAAAATCTCTCTTTCTTCACTCTGAAATAAAAGGAAATACAAAATGTCTGTAAATTCAAACTTTCTGGATCCCTCTCAGTGTCAATTACAACACTGCTGGATTGTCTCCAGGAAGTTAAAACTTGGCTGGCCCAACATTTTTTTATTCTCAACGAGAGTAAAACTGAAACAGTTGTTTTTAGCTCCAGCCTCTGCAAGAAACTTACTGTTGGAGTTATTTTCTATAGCACCTTCAGGATGGACAAATTAATTCAGTCATCAAAGCCAGTAGATGACTGCCTTTGATGACTGTTCAGTAAAGCAGCTCCTTCATTGGAAGTTTTTAAGTCTAGTTTAAAGACACATTTTTACGCCTTGGCTTTTAACACCAATTGAGTTTTACCATTTTACTTTTACATGTATGTGTGTGTATTTCATTCTGTTTTCTTTGGTTTTTTTTTTTTTATCTTTCATGCCTGTGAAGCACTCTCTGCAGCTGGTGTTGTTGTAGATGTGCTATATACAAATAAAATTGACATTGGATTGTGGTTGAATCAGTGTTTTTCACAAGATTAATGATATTGATAATAATAATTGTTAGGGAGGAGGTGGACTGTATAATGCTAATTCAAGGAGGGGTCAGACATGAAACAAGATGGGGCGTCGGTCAGAACGCAGGGAAGGAAAGATGGGGAGAGACCAGGTTGAAGTTCAGGTATTTTATTGCAGCCGCCACTGCTGCACAGGTTGCTTCACACAAACACACAGTCTGCAAATACAGATAAATACAATGAATAATCAAACATATTATTCAATAACTTTTACAGAGAAAAATGTTCTTATAAAGCATGCTCACTTAAATACACACTCTTATTAGTACAAACAATTAACATCAATAAACAGAACATACATAAACAGCATTAGATGGCTGCATAATGAAGTCCCTGAACTTAATGCTGGCGCAGAGTAATGGCGCCCTCTAGCGGCCGCGGAAGGTCATTACATTAACTCGCGGCACAAACGTGACACATTCTTACTAAGATTCAACATTAAACAACTGCATATGCTCCAGAAATGGTGAGAACTTACATAGATACACTGCAATGAAGGTACACACATAACTAGCTTGTCACAAACTCTCACTACAGTAAACTCCACTCGAGGCGAGGAGCGCATTTACACATGAACCAGACCATTGTGTTTATAGCGAGGAAAAGGTAAATAGCACAACAATATACAACATTAAACACTCACGTTTCATCAGTGACTGAGTTTGAGGTAGCAGTGGGCTGGAACTTCCCACAAAGTGAGCTAACTGTAGGACACAACTTAGCTGCCGTTACAAGAACCGCGAAACGTAACGAGCCAGGCAGTCACGTAAGTTACGTAAGTCACGTGCCTCCCCTCACAGGGCTGAGCCTTTATTACAATAATAATAATAATGATAATAATACACTATAGTATAACACATATTTTACGCCCCTCTCTCTCCGTTAATAAACCACCACCCAAGGAAATCATCTCAAATAGTTCAACTCACACACATTCCCTTTATTCCTCTGTATGTTTTTGGCTTCTCTACATCAGGACTTGGCGCCCACAGTGACCGGCAGTCGCTGAGGATGCGCCGGGCTCCGTCTCGATCGTCCAGTCGAAAATATCCTCACCTCGACCCGAGCTCTGACCCAGACCCAGACGAGGACAGCGATGATGGCCCGACCCGAGACCTGAGGACCATCCCACTGCAGATGGGCCTCAAGAGAACCGTGCGGTAAGACAACATTTCAATACAACGTGGCTACTTTAGAATTTATACTTAAAGGGGATATAACATGCACTTTTCTAAGCTTTTGACTGTGTTTTACACTTACTTTCTGACTTAATTTTTACGCCAATTGTCTTTTCTTGATGATCTCTGATACAATACAACAATTTTCCATTCACCACAAGACCTGAGAGTGAAGTGAGAGGCGTGACACGTGTATGCATTTAAGTTGACGTTGTGTAAAGGGGCAGAGCAAAGAGGGATACAGCGGGACTGAATACGAAAGTGTTGTGAAACATTGCTAATGCTTTATTGAGGTCATGGAAATGTTGGAATTGTTTTAAATTAGGTTTGTGAAAACTTTAACCTATTGTTTTCTAGTCAGGCACAACAAATGCAGACCCCAATTGTTTCCGATGGATATTCCTGGAAGAAAAAAAACAAATCTTTGTTAAAACTCAAAACTGTGGCCATAGAAATTCTCCACTTCTTTACTCTATGGAGAAAATCAATGCAGAAAATTGGAGGTAACGTGCCCAGTCCTCATGGTTAAACACCATGTGTCCTTTCTGTTCCATAATGTGTACTTGTATCTCAGGTAACTTTGGAGGCGGGGTCCTGTCTTATTTCTTGTTCCTACGATTCCTGGTACTGCTGAACTTCTTCTCCTTCTTACTGATTGCTGGATTTGTCATCATCCCAAGTGTCGTCTTTAGATCTGAGGAGGGCAGTTCTGTAAACAGCACAGGTGATCTCATGAAAACATGAAAACTCCAGTTCTAAAACTATGGGTCAACCACTTCTTCTGAATGAAAAATAAGCTAAATGTGTGAATTCATTTAAAGGTGTAGCCTTTAAATGATATAATAACATGTAATTATAGTTCCTCACTCTCAAAACAGATTGGATCACATTTTTAGACAGATAGTGTAAGAGAGGCAATCACCTCCACTTGTTAAAGTATTTGTAAGATAGTGCAGTGAAATATGCAGGGATAAATTTATCCTGTGAAGTCCAAAATGGGTGTTTTTCGTGTGCAAATCTGTATGCAGCCTCATCTTTTGTTAATAATCACCTTAGCAACAATGGGTTAAAGCCTCTATTTTTGACTTTACTTTATAGTCACTCAACACCCACTTACATGCATTCTTGTTTTATTTGAACATTTTATGGGGAACTTCTTTGTGACCTGTAAACCTTGGAGTTAGACTCACATTTACAGCAGGGGTACCTCACTTTCTCGTTGTTTATGAGTAATGTTTGTCCAAACAGAAACAGTCAGACCACAACATTCATTTTAGAAAAAAATTTCTGTGTAATTGTGAGTCACTATATGACACTTTGGGCTGAGAGCTGCTTGGCTGAGTTAGGGTGGTTCTCTCGTTTTCACTGAAAAATGGCAACAAAAATATATGGAAACAAACCTTTCTGACATTGACATGGATTTCATTTTAAAGGTTTGAAAGTTAGGTACACCAGTTCATATGGCTTGGTAATCTCCATGGAAACAAGCCACAAAGAATACATAATAATCCCTGGAAATAAAAAAAGATGTATTTTTAATAGTTTGGTGATTAATAACAAGTTGGCTTTGATTTGGCTTATTGAACACTTCTTTACCCTGATTATGGATGAGTCCTATTCTAGTTTAATTGTGATTTAGCTACTGTATAATTTAGTCCTGCTTTAGATCTGGGTGAGTGTTACTTTTGAAAGCTAGAAGTTGGAAAGTCAACATTTGTCCGCCTGGAGTGGTATTATTAAAATGTGCTTAATAGGGAATGTTCTTCTCTATTCCCTGTTACCTAGCAACACACTGACTATTCACATTTGGAGTTGGTGCTCTTTATGTAGTACAAAATCATGTCTAAGTTTATTGTTTGGATGTCACATTATCATTTTGTCTAAGAAAACAAGACAGCAAGTGCCACAATTCAGAAATGCACAGATATTACTCTGCACTGTCTTATACATTTACTGTAGATAACCACGGGGGGTTTAATCGCTTATGTTGTTCTGGTGTTTTAGGTCGTGAAGAATGCATGGTCTATAATCCTAATCCTCAAGGCCTGGTGGTTTTCTATACATACTTCTTGGATTTTCTCTCTGGAACGGTACAGTAGCATCTTTATTACTTTGGTGAATTATAAAATGAAAAACACTGAATGAACAATATTCACTTAACTATCTGAGTTATCTGAAGAATAATACACTCACTAAAAACGCCATTGTAAAAAAACATTGCTTGAAATACAATTCTTTATCAAACTGAAATGAAGTGAAACAATCTTATGATGGAGGAAGATTTTTTAACTTTATTGAAGGACTCGCACTGAAATAAGTTTCAAAATGACTCTTGTACTCGAATTAAGAATAATACATCTTGTCCCTTTAGAAGATTTTGATTAGTTTATTCTACCTAGAAACTATGGAGGAATTAGTACTCTTTAAAACATCTGGATTGAGTGATGCATATAACGTAAAATGCTTGAACAATCAAAGCATAAAAATCTCAATCTGTGATGTATGAATTTTCTGTGTTCAGGGTTTTATTGAGTTCACATACCTGTTCTATGGATTCTATAACAACAACAGCAACAACATAAACGTGTCGTACAACATCCCGCTGGCGTATCTGTCCACTGCAGCCTTCTTCCTCCTGTTCTGCCTTTTCTGCATCATCATACGGTGAGTTCCCCAAAACACATTTCTCATATCTAACCTGATCTTTCTGTAAATTAAGAGGTTTTCTTTGTAGTTGCTGTGGTTATTATTTCTTTCTATGTCACTTCTGGTTTCCATGACCAACCAGAACGTAAGATTGTAAACTTTACTGCATTTCAGAAACAATGGAAAACTATGCAAGGAGTTGAATCATGTTTTATTCACAGTAAATGAAATAACTTGAACATATTGTGTATATTCGTTCTTTTCAACATAAACTTAAAGACTTTCTGACCACATTATATTACATATTATTTTTACTGTTTTAAATGTTTGTGATTTTGTCAAGTAGGGAAGGACATAGCCTCAGCCATGGCCCTATGCTCATAAACCCATGAACACAATGCATGAAAATAAGTAAATACATCTAGTTTTGTGGCTCTGATAGAATGGGTACCACAGCTCGCGTTGCTGTGGCGACGGGAGGCAGCGTGGAGGGAAGCTACAGCATGCTGGTGTTCACCGGCTGGGACTACAGCTCGACCGGAGGACAGGCCACCAAACTCAAACAGCAAAACATCTACTACAGACTGCAGGTAGCACACCGCTTTAAAGCTGGGGCACCTGACTTTCAAGCCACACACATGGAATGTATTCAAATCCATCTCACTCGTTCCTTCACGATAGATTGGTCCTGATATTAGTTTTCACACGTCACTCATAGACTGTAAAAGAGAACATGTTTTCTAATAGGATGTTGTGTTGTTTACAAGAATGGGATCAACATTCTTTAGGACAAAACATTTTAAGACCACATAACGTCAACATTGATATTAGTATTTCAGGTTTTTTTCTACAAAGTTTTAAAATAAATTGCTTTTCTACACATGTATGTTGGTTTTTTTTATCAAGCCAACCATTATTTACTGCTCTAAATTTCCCTGAAGTCATTGTGCATTACATTCTCGCTTTATCTCTTTTATTCCTGACAGGTGGATCTTGAAGAGGAGAGGATAAAGAAAAAGAGTGCCTCTCTCACACAGTGTCAGAAAGTCTCTCTGTACTCTGGGCGTGTATGTTTATTCATATTGGCTTTTGGTTTCATTGGAGCAGCTATAGCCGGAATCTTTTTTGCCACTAACTTCAGTCAGGTGAAATTTGATATGCATTTGTAGTAATTATTATTGGTATGTTGGTGTATTCAAATGATTCATTTTATGTGAATAAAATCACTAATATCACTAATATCACTGCTTCTTCTTTACAGCAAAATTCCGATCAAGAAGGCATCCTCGGATTGTTTTATGAGTACTTACCATCCATTGTGATCACAGGAGCTAACTTCATTGTTCCACTGTTGAACGATCAGATTGCACCATTGGAGCGATATTCTCCCAGTGTCACAGTCATCATGGCCTTATTTAGGTAAAAAAAACCTCTCATATGTGCAATGGAATACTGTATTTGATAAGAGTATGGAGTGTTTGTCAAATTTGTCCTTTAGGTCAACACACCAATCAGAGCATCAGAAAAATGTGTGTCTAGGATATCTCATTTTCAAACCTTAAAATAAAGGAAACTATATCTGACTAGTTCTTAGCTCACATATACTGTATTTTTGACCTCAGTCACATCTATAAATCATTCCTCCTCAGCCAATCAGTTCTCAGCCCAAAATGTCTAATAGTGACTCTCATGGCTCTTTATGACCCACTATTTATTTTGATGCTGAATTGACCAAACAGAGACTTCAAAGCACCACTGCACTTTCATGTAATGTTCGTTTTATTTTTTGTCATTCATGCAGAGCTGTGTAGCATTGTATCCTACAGCAAATTTCCCTTGGGACAATAAAGTTTATCTTATCCTATTAACACAACACAATGGACAAAACAATTATGCATGATTTGAGTCTCTGCACACTGGTTTTTCCGATGTTGTTTGAAATGTTCTGATTCTGAAGGACCCCACCTTTAAGTTGTATTTGGCATGTTTTTTTCTGTATAATGTGATATTATAGTTTGCACCCATGTGCTGTCTGTGTCCAGGGCAGTGCTTTTGCGGCTGGTCAGTTTGATTATTCTCCTTTACACTTTGTGGCGTCAAATCACATGTGAAAAAACACCAGAAGACTGTGCTCTCTGCAAATACAACGTCAAAGTGTATCAGGTATTGATGATCTAATTAATATATTCTAGACTTCAGACTGCGATAGTACTTTTGAGAGACTTTGATGGTTTGTCTGTGTTTTGTCAGTGCTGGGAGACGCGTGTGGGACAGGAGATGTACAAGCTGACACTCTTTGATCTGATCATTAACTTTGCTATGCTCTTTTTGGTGGAGATTCCGCGCAGGTGACAATTTCAAAAATAACAGTCTGTTGTAAAGATTAAGAGAGCCTTTATTTATCCCACAGTGGGTAAATTTCAGTGTTGCATCACAAGAGACTGACAGTAGGAATCGGGAGCACACAGCACATGATGAATGAATAAAACTCTATACAAAAATAGAATAACATTTCCAACTCTAGAATAAAAATAAGCAGTATGAAATCGCTTTAGCAGAATAAGGAAAGAACTCTAAAATCTCCAAGACTTCAGAACAAAAACCCCTGATAAAATCCATCAAACTAGTTCCTCGCTCTAAAAAGCAAAACGTTTGGTGTTATCAGATTTCACAAGCCTGTATTATTTGACCTCTGTGACTACGTGAAAAAGAGAGGCCCACTCCGTCTCAGCCCAAAGCGTCAAACAGTGACTCACATGGGTCTTTAATAGGTATGCAAAAGATAAAATATCTATATAAGGACAAAAAATGGAGAGCAGAACATAATAGATCTTTCCTCATTAGTCTGTAAACTAAGAGGCCCTTGTCTTGATTGTTTACTGAAGAAGATTTTAATTCAAGTGATTTATTCAGGGTGATCCAGAGTCCAATAATAAAGTTGAAAGCAGAGGCAAGTTTGTGACTGATTGTTCAATATGCAACAAAAAGTAGAGATTGTCTATTGTTATAATTTTGTATTATTATTATTATTATTGTTGTAAGGTAAAGCAATCTTATTATAAGGTGATTTATCTTTAGAATTAGTCTTGAAATTTTGATCATCAATCATATAAGAACCAAAAGCCTGTCAGTCCTGATGTGTTTTCTTTGTTGCAGGATTGTTGTGGATAACTGGCCCAATAAGTTGACTCGGTGGGTGGGACGGCAGGAGTTTGTTGTTCCCTACAATGTGCTGGGCCTTGTCTATGGTCAGACTGTTGTGTGGACTGGGGCCTTCTTCTGCCCTCTTCTGCCCCTGATCAACACCATCAAGTTTATCATTCTCTTTTACACCAAGAAGGTACATGATTCAATTGTCTTTACTGTTTTGACAACAATTGATACTGTTGTCAAATTATAAAACAAAAGATGCAGAGAGAGAGTGAAACAATAAAACTGGACAAGAGAAGGTCTGCTGTGTACTTTACAGCATGTCAAAGGTTATCAAAATAAAGCAGAAGATAGTTTGATGATCTCTAGTCATTTTACTACCCTTTCCTGAGCTTATATTCTTTTCCAGACAACACTCTTCACCAACTGTCGACCTGCGCTCAGGACATTTCGATCCACAACTTCCAGCTTCTTCTTCTCTGGGATTCTGCTGCTGGGACTGTTCCTGGCTTCTCTTGTGATGATTTATAGTGTGGCTGAGTGAGTGGCTCTATTTTATTGTGGGATGAAGGCGGGTTTGTGCCTTACAAGTGCAGACTTAGACATGGTAATATAAAGGAGAAGTGTACCTGATTCGAAGATTCTCCACTCAGTTCTATTGGGAACTTGGGCAACATAATGTACCTATGCATGTGAACAAGAGATGTTTTGTGCAGGATTCATCCCTCCATGGCTTGTGGGCCTTTCCGAATATTTAATTCTATGTGGGAAGTGGTTCCTGTCTCCATCACCAAACTCACCCAAACCACTCGAGAATTCCTCTTCTTCATTGGCTCCCAGGCTTTCTCCATCCCTCTGTTTGCTCTATCCTGGTAAGTGACAAGATAGAGACACTGATACCAATTAAAAATGTTAACTTTATATGTAAGTGTGAAATATTTCCATTACAGTTTGATGCTGTGTTATATCGTAGCCTTATCGAATGTCTACAAGAAAAGCGTTACTTTGCTAAAAACTCAACTAAAACTGGTAAATGTATTTCTGTGATCTATAACACATTGTCAAAACAATTGAATTAAATTATGACAAATGTGAAATTAGTAATACTTAAAGAGTAATGTTGTGTTTATTTTTTGTCTATAGGAAGGACAGGATAAACGATTCTTGGTCAGACAGATCGAGAGGTTCAGCAGGATGTGATTAGTTGGTGAAGAGGACTTTTACAAATGTGTATGATTTGTAAGATGGTTGACTTTTTACATAATTTGCAAGGTTGTTGAAATAATATTAAATGTGTTGTGGTTTTTTATTATCATTATTATTATCATCATTGTTTGTTGCTTTCCAATTAAATTTGTGTGTTGGGACCATACATCCATGGTTGGGACACTAAATGATTTCTGTGAGTGTGGCTTTGCAGGTATAAAGGAATTCCCCTTATATATAAAGGACAGTTTGTTGAATTTGAATAGGGACAGGGCATTTCCAAGCTACATAATGTAAATTATGTTTTGTTGATTATTGTAGATTGCTAAATATATCATAGGTGGTGTGTTGGATAACACACATTTTTTCTTAGGTTGAATAGCTCCCTCTCGTGTCCAAACAACGGTACTGCGTGGGGGATTGTGTTTACTTCCGGCGAGGTCCCTCCTCTTCCTGTGTTCACTAAACTCTCGGCTGTCGGTAGAGAAATATCTTTATTCACATTTCTACAAAGTGATGTATTTATTTATGAATGTAATAAGAAATAGTATAATATATGTTTACAAATTACGTGTGTTTTTTGACCCGAAGTAACTTCAAACAAAAATAAAGGTATGCTAATGTAAGCTAGCTTTGGTCACGAGCTAAGTTAGCTGTTTACACTTTTTGCCATTGATATATAATATGGTGTGAATGTCCCGTGCGTTTGGATTAGTTCATTAGTCAGTGGCATCTGGTTGCTGTGCGTTATTCTAACATAGCAGACTCGCTATAACTCTCTTTAGTTTATGGTTCTGCCACACGTTGTGATAAAGCTGCAGGGACTATGAACATTCTCCCCAAGAAGAGCTGGCATGTCCGCAACAAGGACAATGTGGCTCGGGTGCGGAAAGACGAGGCCCAGGCTGCAGAAGAGGAGAGAGAGGCCAAAAGAAGAGTGGAGCGAGCAGAACAAGAGGTAAAAGGCCTTCGTTAGCTTACACATTAAAAGTACTAGAAAGACACTGGTTACAATTCATGACAAGAGGAGATTTCACATACTCAGGTGGATAAAAAGAAAACAATTATAGGATAATTTAACAGAAATTTTGAAAGATTGTAGTTTCTTTGATTGACTAGGTTCTTTATCCTCTGGTGGTAAAGTTGCTCTTTCTGCTTATCAATAATGTCATTCCGAAAACAACATTATTTGACATTAAATGGCTTCACACTACTAACGATGAATGAAAAAAGTCTTTGTGTTATCTGTATTCATAAAGTCCAAGAGTATTACCGTGAAACAAGCGTGTGTAGCTTCTTTTACAGAACAAATTTACATCTAAAGTAGTGGTGTTGCATTTATATTGATTGATTTCATTAATAACAGGCTCGTACAGAGTATATGAGGAGGAAAGCTCGGTGTGCACTTGATGCCGCAGGGGTGACCAGGACTGAAGGAGGAGGAGAGAGTGGAGGGGGCACATCTGAACATCTGAACCTGTTTCCTCTGGAGGAGTCCTCAGAAAAGAAGGGAAACGAGGAGTATATCAAAGACAAGAAGGATGAGAAGGTGAGTTGGAGGTTTCATGTATTCCCTTTGTCTTTTTATTTCTTGTAAATACTAACTTGTTTCCAATGATTTTCCTACTTGTTGCATGGAAAAATGTGTATTGAATGTATTTTGAATGTCTTTTAATTGAGTATCAGTTTAGGCATGTAATCGAATAACAGCAAGCCAAATGAAACCATCATCTCAATAAACAGATTTGTTTGTATGGGATCAATAGTTCTTATTGGACACAGCTCTAATTGCGTTTTAAAACAACATAATAAGCGTTCACTTAAATTCTACTGATCTTAAAAGCTTTTAAAATGGGTATAAAATTTAACTACCAGGTTGTGCTTATATATAAGTATATATCATATATTTATTTATTATACTGTTATTTTGTATTAAGTGCACATTTTGTGTATTCATTCATCTACCCAGAGATTACTTTTGGTACAGATCTTTTCTTGATGACTGTACATAGCCCAACAAATTAATATTGTTTTTTGTCCTCCTGTTGTTGCAATTTAGGGCTATACAAAAATAAATTGAATTTAATTAAAACTACAGAATAGTGTTGTATTTGGTGATTGACATTTTCCCCCTGCTTTTGGTTTTAGGAAAAGCAGGAACGTGCAATTGGTTTACTGGTGTCACTGGGACCACAGCCCGGAGAGGAGGTGACCCCCTGGTACATGAAAACCAGCTCCGAAAAAAGTGAAGAGAGCAAAGAGAGTAAAGAGACCAAGGAGAGCAAGGAGAGCAACAAGAGAACACCACTGTCAGAGGAGGAGCGGGAGAAGAGGCAGCGGCGTCTGAAGAACTTGTTAGATCCTCTGAACGACATGAGGAAAGGTCTCGGCATCAAGGACAGAAAAGAACATAAGAGCAAGAAGAAGGAAAAACACGACCGTGGACAGAAGAGGATTCACGGAGAGAGGTGAGCACTATTAGACATGTGTAAGAGTAACTTTGTTAGGTTCCTTATTTGTCAATATTATTATTATATGTATAATGAAGTAGAATAAGAGCATACTTTCTTCTAAATTTTACACTTGGTGAAGAACAGAATAAACTAAATTCACCTAGTGGCCGTTGGAGGTGAAGTCTGAGGGGTTATTAATCGACTGCTAACCTCATCTGCATCTGTAGCTTTTTAAATATAAACAAATTATTATTGTCTTTTAATGTGTTTTGGTATTTTACAGTGGCTTGGACTGAATCAAAACTGGAACAAAAGCCAGGATTAGAATAGTAGACTGCTCTGGCAATTACTGTTTGTTACTTTGTTACTCGTGGTGCTATAGATGCAAATATGTAGTCTGTTATTTGTGGTTTATTGCAGATTAATGTGGAAATTTTAAAATAACATTGCATTTTAATGAAAATATTGATAATAGTTCCTCGCTCTCACTACTTTTCACATGCATGTATATTTGACCCTGTCACTGATGTAAAGATGTGAAAAATGTGATCATCTCTCAGCCCAAATATTTTATAATACAATGAAGACCGCATGATTGATTGATATGTTCACATTTCTTTTAAAAAAATCTCTCCGTTTAAAAAAAAATTATTATTGGAACCCACAATATAGAAATGTGAATATTTATCATCCTTGTTTGTTTGTGACAGCTCCATAGAGAGGCTGAGGGCGGAGCGTCTGCAGAGAGAGGCGGAGGAGCGGAGGAGGGCGCAGGCTCTGATCGACCAGAGAAAAGGAAAAGGAAAAGAAGACGCATCCAAGAACATAAACGACAGAGAGCGACCGTACAACAACGCGTACTTCCCTGAACTCGCCCGCAAACGACAGAGGAGAGATAGAGACAGCTGGAGGGACGAAATCTTGAAATCCTGAGCTGTAGTTTTCATATGTAATGTACTGGAAAAGACCGGAAAACGTGTCTTTGAAGTAAAGTGGTTGGACTTTTCGGTGTCGTGCAAAAACTGATTTGGACGTGAAATAAACCAAATCCTAATTATAAATTTGAAAAAACTTAATACTCTTTTTTTTTCTTTTTTTTTTTTAACAAATGCATTGATTTATTTTGCAGTTTAATTCACATTCAATTATATTTTGTTCTTAAAATAATTAATTTTGTCTTGAACAATGAGAATGCATATTAACATAGAACCACTGTTCCTTTTGATTTCTATGTCTAATATCTCAAATTTTGAATGAGCAAGAACACAGTATTGTCCACATGTCAATCCAATGAGATGATTTTATTCAAGTGATTTGAAATAGACATGTTTTTGTCCTTGTGCAGACGGTAGAATGTGCTGCACACAGTTGGGACAGTTTATTTTTGTGCCTGTGCTCAGTGGAGAAGGCTGAGGTCAGAATCAGCGAGTTGAAAGCTTCAGTGCAGGTATTTCACTTGCACTGTTCAAATGGTGAGTCACATTTTGTTGAAAAAGATCTGGCAATTTGAGTTTGCGTAAACTCTCAGTCGTACAGGGATTAGTCAAAGCAAAGGAAGGTTTCTCACCCATCTTCTGTACTTCTTGGCAGGTTTTCCCAACGTTTCGTCCTTAATCTAAATAACTTTTTCAAGGGAATGAAAAATTGAGAATAAATCTCCAACTTGCGGTCTGCGCTTTCATTCCCTTGCAAATGAGCAAAATGTTATGTTTCATGAATTTCTTCTTTCCTTTTTCTATGTTGAAACCTATTACATAGTAAATTACTTTTTTCCTTCTTTTTGCCACAAAAGTGTCTAGTTTTGTCCTATCTTCGAGTAGTGCACATTCATGGAAATAATGTGTCAAGACATAATTAATTCAAGACATGAATTTGGCCAGTGGAGGAGCAATGATTTGAAGTGTTTGATTCTGGGTCTATAAGACCAGAGGGTTATAGTTCATCGGCAAAGAATGACTCTCGATTGTAATTTTAATTTTAAGCAATAATATCTGTAGAAAGGACCATGAAAAGTCCATGTCTTATTTAACGTAGACTTGAGTATTTTAGAGGGTTGTTTAGAGGTATTTTCACCTGATACAAAATTCTGCAGCGAGGATTGTGACTTAAACAAAAAAGACGTTACAGACTTTCACTGACTCCCAGTTCCTGGCACTGGTCTGGGACAAACTATTATCTTTTATGACTGGAGCAAGTTCCTGTTTTACTTTTATAACACAATTTGTACATTGTGTTAGACTCATTCAATGTACTTCACTAAACAATGCACTCGTGGATTATGACTTTTTTCAGCAAACATCAATTTGGTGCTTTGTTCTTCAGTTGTAAAAGCGCAAATGAAACAATAATATTCCCATGGTGATATAGAGTGATGATAACATCTAGCACGGTTAAACAGAATCTCTCTTGGATTTGAGCATTATCAGAGTAAAGGTCTGTCTCACATTTTCAGGAAGACTGATGCTGCATACATTTGAAACGCTGACTCCCTGTATTGTATAACATGTTACATTGTAATACCCTCTCCTTGTCGAATTTATTATAAATATCCTATACTTGATCAATATAATCCCACTTCATGAACAGCACTTTAGACTCCCAGAGGGAATATCATCCTTGAGCCTTTTGATCATCATGAAGATCAAGAGACCATGACAATGCGCCCCGTGCCCCGCGTCTGACGCAGCTGCGAGAGCAAACAACACGGACACACACATTCTCAACCATGTGAAGACGCGGACAGCGAGAGGAAACGGAGAAGGAGGCTGAGATCTTTAAGTGAACCGAGCGCAGGTTGTTTTGGCGAAGGAAGACGTCACCGCGAGGACGCACAATAGGGCACCGCGCGCACCGTGTTAAATTGCGGATTAGGGCTTTGAGGGGAGGAGGTGGTGGCTTTATTATTAGGAGAAACGCATATTCGGCACGAGGGGGGGAGTCGGGGGAGACAACGTGACAGACCGTGGCGGGGGCACCGGAGGAGTCGACGGGGAAAAGGCAGCGCGGCACAACAGCGCGCGTCTCCAGGATCGCTGCTCGGATGGTGGAGGTGGCGGTGTTATTGTCGGCCCGGACGCCACTACGATGCGGCCGCACTGCTGGGTGATGGTCCTGCTGGCGGGGATCATGTCGTACTTGAGCCCAGAGAAAGCGCTCGGAGCCCCGCAAAGGGAAGGTGAGGCTGGAGATGGTGGACCGGAGGGGGGTCGGAAATCTGTCAGTGCTGCTGCGAGAGGAGAAAGGATTTAGGAGCCTGGCAAAGGGGGTGTTGTCGCGTTTCAGAAGGGCCTGTACGTTGAAATGAATACAGTGGGATGTGAGCGAGACTGCTGCTGGTTGTTATTGTAGGATGAAAACAGGAGCAATATTGATTTGATGATGGGAGGCTAGAGACAGACCATACATTTACATCGAGGTGTAGCGTTCTGTAATACAACGCAGCACATTCCAGTTATTGGTGCTCAGTGCTGTGTGTTTTCAACCTGTAAATGCCCTTCGCCTTGACTGATACATTAGGCTCATTTCCTCTGGTGGCATCTTAATTTCTTGTGTGCAATCTGCCTGCACATTTGGCACTTTGTTGTTTATGTCGCGCGCCCATCAATGTTTTTAATAGATGCGTTTGGCACCGGAGCTGTCGATGGAAAGGCCTCTTCCAGGAACCTATTTATATTCATTGTCTGTCTGGACATCTGTCTAGTGAAAGATGAAAGAATTGCATTGTATTTGTGCGTCAAGAAGTATATGAGCTCAGAGACGAGCGTGTTGTGTTTAGGCGACATGCATAAGCTGTATGCTGCAGTAGTTATATGACTTTATTCCATGTGTGTGTTGTTTTGATAGGTCGGTTCTTTGTAAAGTTTTTAAAATATATGTATAGATTTTTTTTTGTGACCATATTCTTTTGCTGGAAACCAAAGCCTGCTGCAAATTAGACAAAAAGGCCCAATATTATTTTCTTTAAATCTTATTTGTTATTTTAAACCTACAAGATTCTGTATTTTGTAGGTTTTGTGAGATTTCAACAATGTTTACACATTATTATTGTTATTATTATCATACATTATTTTCATATGGTTACTTGAGCATCAACATCTTGGCTTGTGTCTTGCATTATAGCCTCCAAATCACATCATACAACTTGTAGCTGCAGTGTGAGCACTGTATCTTTTGCAAAGGTTTACAATATTTATAAAGTCCCTACATTTTTAAACAGTTTCTACATCGCATGCAGTGTTTTTAGCATGAAGATCCGAGTGTAATCCACAGTGTAAATCTGATCAAGTTAATAAACAATAATAGTTTATTCATGTCAAAATTTTAGAAAGATTGTATCTGTATTCAGGAACAGAGCAATTGTGTGTTTTTAGTATGGAAACATTCAAAACGTTTCCATTCTGTCCCATAAACAGTTTTGCAGCAGGCTGCTCATACTGAGTTTCTAATGCAGGTTATTTCCATCATGATGTAATTTCTTTTATTGTAATGTTCCAAACATCTTGGAAAAACACACATTCTTCTCCTGTATTTCTATATTTATCAGCACTTATGTAAAAGACTCGCTCTTCCACAGGTCTGACCAGTAACATGGTCTGATGCTAGTTTCCACGGAGATAAGTTTACTAATATGGAACATTCCATGAAAATCAATAACATCATGAAGACAAGCAGGTGCCCTGAAGTTGGAGTGCAGCTTTAAGATGAAAATTATGGGTTAGAATTAATATTATCTATGTGGCAGTATGTGCTACAGTAGAACATTTCCATTTCCATGTATAAATACCATAAATATGTAATTTTTTACACGCTATTTTTGTCAAGTCAAGTGTTACTTAGTAAAGGTATCAAGTTGAACTCCTGCCCCCCTTTTCTTCTTCACAGATGGTTCACTTCTGTCACTCGACCATGTTGAGGTACAAATATAAGAATGTCCCGACCCCACCCTCTCTCACCCGACTAGTTCTTAATTTGTAATGGCCACGAGCCTAATTCTTTTCAAGTTTTCAATCCTTCCCAGTTAGCGCTCCTCTGTTTTACCTCTGAAATGACAGCAGCCTTTTCCCCTTTTGCTTCTTAACCATGTCTCCCAAGTGGAATGCCATATCCAAAAACTGTCCCTCCTCCCGTACTCTCTCCTTGTTGGAATGGTATTATATCCACTTTCAAACTCTTGCCTTACACAATGTTTTGTATCTGGAAGTAAGCTTTGCTCTCTGCTTTCTACTACCCAAACTCCCTGTTGCAAGTTCTCCATTGGGGTTTTCTACTGTGTCTCCAAACTGCTGCTCCCAACAAATCTCCAATGGTTTTGCACTAAACAAAATACTTGTCTGATTAAGTGAAGCCTTTGTTTACCCTCTCTCTGACAGAGGTGGGTAGAGCCAAAATCGTATATAGAAATATGAATAGTCCGGAAAAGGTAAGAAGGGAACTGGATCTAACTCAAACATTAGTCATTTGGATGCAGCATTCTTTAATATTTAATAATTAGGTTTACATTTAACGTATTTTTGAGATTATTGATTGTCAAATATTGAAAGGAATTAATATATCAAAATGTTTGCATCATTTTTTTTGTACAGTATCTTCAATCTGTTGGTTCAATATTTGCATATAATCCTTTAATGGTTTCCTCAACCACTTGGTGGATCACTTTTTGAGTCACTCTATCGACCTGGAACTAATATCTACCTAATTGGGGCATCTCTATCACTTGGTTTAAGGCACTTTTACCATCAAACTTCTTCTATCAATTGGTAAAGGCCTATAATTGAAAAAACTAGGGGTCCAAGGGGGGGTTTGCTTTTTTCAAGGAGTGAACATTAAAGAGATAACATAAAAATAACAAAAAAATCAAGAATTATATTTTCATAATTTAAAAACAAATATTCCATTAGTTTATTACCAACATTACTGCATCTAAATTACACACTCAGTAATACAATACAGCAATTTCTTCCCAGACAACAATTCAATTATGGGCATTGTCCAACTCTACTTCCAATCACAGCATTAAATATAGAATGTAAATATTCTAAACAAATAAATTAAACATTACACAATACTCAGACATTTATTTTACATTTTTACATTGTGTAATTGCTTTCCAATGTATCAAAAACATGTGAATCATGTAAAAGAACCTCACAATTCAAGTATTTTGTGACAATGTCCATGTCTTCGGTGATAATGCTACCCACCTCTGTCCTCCGGCTCTTCCCTGTGAACTCTAGGCCACAGTCGGTGCATATGAAATACTAACAATTCGCCTGTGTGTGCGTGTGTGTTTGCACGTGTGTGTGCATGTGTGTGTGTGCAGTTGCTCAGTCCAGAGTGGTCTCTCTGTCACCTCCGCCGTACGTGGTCATCCTCATCTCGTGTTCGGGGCTCGTGTCGTTCGTGCTGCTGCTGCTCACCTGCCTCTGCTGTAAACGAGGAGGAGTCGGATTCAATGTGAGTAACGCTCAGACGCACAATGAACACTGTGTATCATTCACCTGAACTCATGCCGACATGACGACAACTCTCAATCATAATAATCTTAATAGAATAATCATTACTGTTTTTCAGATGTTCTCACCTTATCATAGAGCCAGAGAATATTTAATTTTCTGCAGATCTCTTTTTTCCCCCCTTCATTTTAATAACTAACCTTAATTGTTTATTAAGGTAATAGTTATCTCAAGCACTCAATCTAAGGCTGTATTGTACTAAATGTATTTTGTACAATCTTACAATACAGATTCACTTCATAAACGTCTACATCTATTGCTTTATTGTTGTTGTTGTTCTTTCACATTTCTTTCTCCTCTTTAGAATCAAAACACTGGGTTAGGCTTGCAAACTAGCCTTGGCTATAAATGTTGTAGTGTTTCACATGTTGATTGTGTACACTTGTCCCTATCAAATAAATAAATAAATAAATAAAATAAATAAGTGATAATCCAGGAGCGTCACCAGACTCATTGCTTTGATTTCACTTGTTTATCAGAATCAGAATCATTTTTATTGCCACGTAAGTAACAGGAAGTCACAGACTTGGAAATTGCTTTGGCTCAGTGCAACAGTCAGAAAGAGATAATAAAAATAAAGAATAAAAATAAAGAATAAAAAACACTTCTAAGGAATACATTTACATTTAAAATAGAGTTACAGTTACTATTTACAATGTACAAGTGTACATGGTGCACACAATGTAAGGTGACAGCAGTACAGTGAAGTTTATAATGTCTTACAGAAAATATTTTTTTATTTAATCAGACACAATAGTCAATAAGGCAATGAAGCAGACCTGGCCATCCACCGTGGTTAATTCGAAAGACGGCAAAGTTTGGAAGGAGACAGGGAGTCATTACTTCAGCCTCAGTGCATTCTCTGTCCGTGCTTCCAAATCACCATAGATCAGTGAATCCAAAGATCCAATTTGATCCATGACTATTTTCCTAGATGAATATGCTCAAAATGATTACATTAAATCTATTTAATATTGAATCTTCAGAGGATCTGAGTGGGTAGCGAGCATACCTCACAGCAAGAAGGGCGCAGGTTTGATCTTGTGTCTGGGCATTTCTGTGAGTTTGCATGTTTCTCCCTGTGTCTGGGTGGGTGTCCTCCAGCACCCATCACATCCAGTATAGTCCTGAACAAACCAAGAATCAACATCTGCACCTTCTGTTAAAGACTGGCCACAATGATCTACAAATCATCTGCAGTGTGAGTAATTTAATGCAGCTTATTTGGTCTCTGCAGGAGTTTGACAATGCAGAGGGCGAGGACTGCTCCGGAGGCTCCAGTCCGATCCAGGAGGACAGTCTCTCCTCCTGCCCCTCGCTGCCCGATGTCTACACCCTCCCCGTACGGGACCGGCCCGCCTGCCAGGGCCCACACGCACATGACATCTCCGGTACACAACAGCTTTATTTCACACTCATGTTTTGAGCTATTGATGGAAAATGCACTTAGGATTTGAGTTCAGTTGAATTGCTATTGCAGTTTAAAAACATTGGATTACTCTGCATAAATGTGCATGAAACTGTGAAACGATTCAAGTTGAAATGTAAATGTATCTCTATATTCCAATAGAATTTTCCAGTATGGGAAGAAACAAAAGTATTTAATTTGATAATGCAATGTCTTCTGAATGTGAAATCATTCCTTAAGTAGGAAATATGAATAAACATGTATAAAGATAAAGCATGGTCTCTGGGTGTGATGTTCTACTTCTGCCACCAGAGGCATGTAGAAACGGTCAATTTAGAGGCAAGACATTTGTTTCTGAAGGTAGAAAATGACTTTGATGATGAAGTAGTTGAGTAAGGATTCATCCTAGCATACCAGGTTTAAGGCAGGAGCATGCATACAGAAGGGGCGGTGTGATGTGTTTGTGCCAGAAGTTCCGGTTTTTAGCATCGATGGATCTGAAACAACTCAGGTCTGTTTTTGATCAGTGGACAATGTTCTAACATGGTTAAAAACAAAAATGAAAATTAGGCCCAACATTTCTCCTTTAACACTGAAAGATGTTCATGATCTGACCATGGTTAAGTATATTTAGTTCTTAATACTACCTTCAACATCCCATTTGCTTTTGTCATCTTAAATAACATAAAATGTAGTTGAATTATTTTATTTACATTTGGTTTTTGCACTTATATAATCTCTGTAGAAACAAAATCCTATTTGCTCATTGTCAGTATCCAAATGGAAAAGTTTACTGTGATTTTTAAATCACAGCAAACTCTGAGGCTTTTGCATCAGGCATTGATGCGAAAGCCTCAGAGTGTAAACCCATGAACACTGGGCTCCTGCGGACTTCAGCGATGCAGAAAGTGTGATCTCTAAACGATGCTGAGCTCTGCATGTGGCAGTGGTCCCTGTGGAGGCTGGACAGTGGATCAGCAAAAACTACAATCAAACAAATTTAACTCATTAACACAAGTATATTTCAGAACGTACATGAAATGATTTCACATTATCATTTAATCTTTCTTTAGATGCAAGGTCTCAGAGCTTCAAACGGCACTCTTTGAACTACCTTCAGGAGATTGGAAACGGATGGTTTGGAAAGGTAAAATTACAGTTGATCCAGTAGACTGAATATATGTTAATAATGTCATATCAGTAATGGTAATATTTAGGATCCAGGTTTTCATGTACAATATATATTTCATGTGGATTGGCCCACAAATTACAAAGAAATTACCTTTGAACTAGAAGTCTGATTTTTTTTAATTTTTATATTATCATAGTTACCAGGAAGGATTTTTCAGATGCCCTCTACCACACAATTAGACAATAGCTCTATATAAACTATAGGATCACATAAACGCAGCCTAGTGCTCCTCAGTATTGGTGCATCATTACCATATAATATGACAGTGTTGCTTATTATTATTATGATGGTTTGCTTCAGTTCTTTATTGTGTAATGAACTAAGATAATTTCGTAAATGCTGCTGTTGTGGTGGATGCAGGTGATCCTGGCTGAGGTGCTGTGTGACTGCAGCTCGTTTCAGGCCGTGGTGAAGGAGCTCCGCGTCAGTGCCAGTCCTCTGGAGCAGCGGAAGTTTCTGGCCGAGTCCGAGCCCTACAGGTGACGCTTGTTCTCTATTCACTCATGGACTTGGACTCATGGATTACACAATATATTATTTTGAAATGTTAGCAAAATAGGAATTTGTTTTATGGTCATTCTTGATACAATTCTTGTTTCAAATGCTCAAATGTTCAAACTGTATAACTGTATAATGGCATGATAAATAAGTGAAATATGTGTATTGCGGATTTAATTATTATTATAGTTATTTTTATGTTTCCCCCTAAGGATAGTCCTTGTAATATAGAATTGGTTGATTCTTATCGGACTGGAAAACCCGGTGCTGGCTTTTTTGTGCTTGATTTGAAAATCACAGATTAAAAGTATTATACGCAAAAAAGCATATCTAGGTTGGCATCTAAATAGTTAAAGTTACATAAGGCTCCTTGTATCTGGTGGTGAGTTGGGCTGTGTGTGTGACTGCAGTTGTGCGTGCGTGCGTGTGTGTGTGTGTGCACGTGCGCATGTGTGACTCAGAATTATATTTTGGCTGTCCTCTGGCTTTAACATTCTCTGAAGGACACTTTACCTTCATGCTGCCTGAGGCCACGTATTTTCTCAGTTTGTCTCTTTGGCTAAAAACGGACACAAACTCAAAGGTTAAAGGACATCCTTTTCCAGTGGTTTTTTACTCATGATTCATTCTGACAATTCATGCAAACCGCAACATGTGTGTTGATTGTATACTGTATAGTAATACATACAGTACCTGTGCTGGTAAATGCATCTTAAACATATTTTTTATTATTTCATTTGATTAGATTTTTTGATGGTGACTGGAGTAATTATAATCCTTTATATATAGTTACTTTTTGCTTGATCCTTTTGTCCCCCAATTTTTCCATGAGGTTTCCTGTGCCCTTATGGACCATAGTGCTACATTCCATCTGTACTTGATGTAACATTGAAAACCTTTGGGAGTACTGTAGGTGATGACAGCGCAGCCCCAAGGGACCCATCTCCAAATCTTCAGTTCGGTTCATGGTCAGGGAGTCCTTATTCAGAGGATTAGCCTATTCTGCATGTTTTAGATTAACGGGGGAGCTGCTGTACACAAAGGAAACTCAACCCAGCACCGGCGTAACCGAGTCTAGTCGGTGTGATAAAACTCAGATTGAGCATAATGTTATTATGTTTTTCTAAATCTAGGATTTTTGCCATTAAACATTTTATTGATTGATATAATTGGTATGTATAACATATGACAACAACAACAACAACACATTTGCTAATCTTTTCATTCTAGGAGCCTGAAGCATCCCAACATTCTCCAATGTCTGGGACAATGCAGCGAAACAATTCCTTACCTGCTGGTTATGGAGTTTTGTCAGCTAGTAAGTTCTTTTTTTATCCTTCAGGAAAACGGACTCATTCCCTATTTATGTTATATGAGATCAGACATACAATTGTTAATAATGTATGTTTGATTAACAAGTGTCTCGAGAACAACTTCGCAAATGTATGTGGAAGTGACCCACCATCTCAAAATGTACAAGGAGATGCCAAGTGAGACAGGTTTTAGCGGATATGCCAACTAACACTGTATTTGAAAAATACATTAAGGGATTGGAAAGACGCTTAACTGCCAGAAATTGACTTTTTCACAATCACTTTCAACGAGAGAGATCCCAGAATGATACTCCTGGATTGATAGTCAAAAGTACACTAATGAATATATAACATTAACAAATTTCTAATGTTTGGACAATTTATTAAAAAGATACAAAACACAAAAATATGTTGCTATTATTACCAAGCCATTAGAGATAAAATCATATCTTAACATATTTTTCCCTAGGGTGACCTGAAGCGGTATCTCCGAGCACAGAGAAAGTCGGATGGAATGACGCCAGAGCTGCCCACTCGAGACCTCCTGACTCTGCAGCGCATGGCCTTTGAGATCACCTCCGGCTTGCTGCACCTCCACGAGAACAACTACATCCACAGGTCCAGCACCGGAGAAGAGAAAGCCCCCTTTTTTGACGTGGCAGAAATAATAATTATGTGTAATGTGTTGACTTGTCTGCAGTGATCTGGCATTAAGAAACTTCCTGCTGACGTCAGACCTCACTGTGAGAATAGGCGACTATGGTCTTTCTCATAACCATTACAAGGTACACGTCTGATTCATCCAATAAATAATAGCTTTAGTGGATATGCTTTTGTTCTGCAAAGTATGTTATCTACACATCTACTTCCTCACTTCTAGGATGAAACTATTTGCAATTCAAAAGCTAATAAATGCAGTCTCCTAGTAATAGAAATAATGCTACTACATGACAATTATTCTGATATTTTGATCTGTAATACAATACACATTTTTATTGAAAATGTATGTTTCTTCAGGAGGACTATTACTTGACACCAGACAAGCTGTGGATCCCCCTGCGGTGGATCGCTCCAGAGCTACTGGAGGAGTACAGAGGGTCAATCATAGTCACAGATCAAACCAAGTCCAGCAATGTGTGGTGAGTGAAATTAGACCAAATTGCAAGCCGGATACGAGTAGCCAAATCGAGATTATTTTTAGCATTTCACAAATAGATACAGTATATGTAAATTTTTCTTTTGAATCATAAAGACAACGTTTTCAATAGAAATTCTTATCAACCGATACTCAGAAAGCACTGGTGAGAACCCCGAGAACTGTGTCTATCTTTCTTCCCAAATGGAAATGTGCTTTTGGGAACATGGTCACAAAGAAGCAGCTCAGAGTATGGCCACTGCTCTTCCACGTTAAGAGTATCTAGCTGAGGTGGCTTGGGCATCCGTTTTAAATACTGAGCATGCTCGACGAGGGTAGACTCTGGAAAAGGCGTAGGAGGCACTTTAGGGAATTTGTTTCTTAGCTGGCCTGGGAACGCTTCAGAATAAGACTAAGCGTGTGTGGAGAGGGAGGTCTGGGTGTTTCTGCTCAGACTGCTGTGGTTGAAAGTGGATGGATGGATGAACCTCTTATTAGGTTGGGATCAAACATTCATAATTAAATAAGTTTGTTCATCTCTTCCCTCTGCTTCCTCAGGTCGTTGGGGGTAGTGATCTGGGAGCTGTTTGAGTTTGGCTCTCAGCCGCACAGGCACCTGAGCGACGAGGAAGTGCTGACGTTTGTGATCAGAGAGCGGCAGATCACACTGGCTCAGCCCCGGCTCAAGCTCTCCCATGCAGATTACTGGTAAGAACACATGCCCATAAGATTATTTACTGTTATAAGACTATATTTACTGTATAGTCTTTCTCACTTGTATGTGTTTGATTTTATTGTAGAAATTCATAATGGTTGAAACAAGTTTGGACACCCCCTTGATATATAGTGCCTAATGCAGGCTTTGAATTATGTTATTCAAAGCCTGTAAATGTAAGACACAGTCATTATCCATCTATATTGTAATCAGTTTAAATGAACATAACACCAGCCTGCCCAGGGACAACAGGTGGAAATTAGCATCTCTGCTATAACCTGGTACATGCATCTCTCCTTTTGTGTTAATGCTTAACTGTACACTGTCCCTGTTCAAATAAAGTACATACAATACAATACAATACTATCCTTGTTTGTAAATTATGGTTTATGTATTGTGCATATTTCTAAAAACATCTGTAATGCATAATATGTTAAATGCCACTTACTTTAATAACCTCTATCCATATCCAAAAAAGTCACTAAACATTTTTAAAACTCATTCTTTCCTTCCCGTTTTTAAGGTATGAGATCATGCAGTCGTGCTGGCTCCCTTCAACCCAAAGGCCCTCCATAGCCGAGGTTTTCCTGCTCCTGTCCTCACTGCTGGCAGCTGAAAGAGGCACATCCAGGGGCCAAGATGAGGATGAGGAAGACGAGGAGTTTGAGGGGGGCAGAGGAACACGAGGAGAGAGTGAGGAGTCGTTTGAGAGACGCTGGGATCTGCTCCGGCCGCCTGCTTTTCAGATTGCTGCAAACGAGCGACGTAGAGAATACAGCAGAGACGATAGGGACAACTCCTACCCTCTACTGGACCCTGTGGGGAACTGCATCACGCCCACCTCCACAGAGCTTGATGACATCCTGACTGTGACCGAAACTAGCAAGGGCCTGAACTTTGAGTACTTTTGGGAGAAAGCGCACGCAAGGAGAGGCTACAAACCACTTCCTCCTCCTCAGCCAATTCCGAACACAAGCAGCAACCATAGACAGTCACTGGACACGCCCACCGTTGTACCGGTAATAAGCGCTCGTAGCCCTTCCCTCGCGAGTGAATACTACATCAGACTAGAGGAGCATACGCCTCAAGACAGGTCCCCAACTCTGATAACAAAGCATGCCAATTCTTCTTGCCCTGGCGATGTCGAGTTGGTTGAAATACGCAGCGGGATGCTTGGAAAAGAGCACATTCCTTATTGTTCGGAAAGATGCGGGAGCGTAAAAGGAATCAAGACAATAAGAGCGAATGAAATACAAATCCAGGTGCCTCGAACTGGAGTGGCAGAATTTAGAGACATGTCGAGCAGAGTGACGGATTTCTCTATTGTTGATCTTGGCGATGATGAGGAAGAGGAGAATAGTAAAAGCAAAAATGTTGTAAATAAACAAGCTCCGGTGCTGCCCCCAAAGCCTCGCTCTATGTCCATGTCCTCAGGCAGCCAACTCCACTCACGCCCACTCCCTGCCCCTCCGCATATGGGTTACAGAGGACTGCCCCTTTATAATATGAGTGGTAAAATTGAAACCGATCCTCATCACATCGTCGGAAGCTGCCCACCGTTCGCTTTTGACCACCTGGGGTTTAATCGTTCCAGACAAGCTTTACCCCCCTCGCCGTCACTTTCTCCATCTCTACCTCCATCCAGTCACCCTATCTACCCTATGTGCCCGCCACCCCTGCCCCCCCACTCCAAACAAGGCTACAACAACATAGACTCTCGATACAGAGTGCAATCAACAAGAGACCCGCTAACTAGTGAATTATCTGAATGCGAAGGAAACTTGAGGTACAACGCAAAAGAAGCTACTCACGCCCGCTCTAAAAACTTTGAATCACCCATGCGCCGCGCAAACCCGCTCCGTCCGATTTACCGCAACATTCCACGACCACAAAACCAAGACCTTGAACACAGTCAATCCTCATCAAGTCCGACTTACTCAGACGAGGATGACTCCCCGTTTGGTTCGCCGGATAAGTTTGGTGGCACCACAATTGCGCACTCGAGTTTATCTGAAGACGCGGACCCATCCTCCTCTGAGCATTTTTCTCGCGGTATGAAGAGAACGCAATCTCGCCTCGACACAATTCTACCTGCGCTTTGGAAGGAGGATGCTGAACTTCAAGCTGCAGCTAGGAAATCACCAATGCACTTATTTCTTACAGAGATATCGACCGTCCCAGAAACAAGCAAGTCCAAAGCCGAGGTCTTGTCGAAGGAGGATAAAAGTGAAAGCTGGGGAAATTTTGTATTGCCAAATCGCGGCATGAGACGCTCCCGGTCGCTTTTAACCGAGTTGTCCGGCAAAAGTAGCTGGACAGGCACAGACGAAGCAGCTGTTGTGAATGATCCATGCCAAGGCGATTTATTCTTGACGGAAGTAGATACAGGAAGCATTGAGATAAATGTTGAAGATGAGTCCTGTAACAATGACTCTGTGAAATATCTGTACCCAGGTGGTCCCAGGTTGAACCCCTATGCTTACACTTCCGAAGAGGCGTCAAGAAAAGAAGCAGAGGAGGCTTATTCAAAAGGTATGCCACGTTCCAAGTCACTCCTTTCTGAAGCAACTACAGAAAAGCAGGAAGAACGGACACGAACTGAAATGACGAGAGAAGAGTTCTTGAAAGAGATTCAGTCAGCAGAAACCTTCTTGACGGAAATTATGTCCCGACAAAATGCAGCTACGAACAAGAAGGAGGTAGACCATTCGCCAACGCTTTTATCGCCCGAGTATGAGACAATATGTATAGACCCTGATGCCGCGCAGACCATACGTTTTCAGACAAACAAAGGCAAAGATGAGACGAACACTGAAGCCATTTACGCCCAAGTGACCAAACGGGCAAAAAAGAGCGACGTAAAAATTTCCGTAAAGCCCGACATCCCAGTTCTTCATATTGCTTCAAATAATTCCCTTGAAAATCAGGAAAGTAACAGAGCTTCTCACTGCCAGTCTGACGATTTTGTCTTGTCAGAAATCATGCCAAAAAACGGGCTTCTGCACAACCAAACAATCTCCAGTCCGGACCAAGACGATGAATGCTCAGAGGCGCCTGCGTTACCTGCCAGGGGAGAAGACGGGTGTAAGCAGCTCACGAACGACTCAGACACTGTTATTATGCGAATGAATGAGCTTCTCCTCACAAATGACTCTCTTACAGATAATGGTGAAATAGTGAGGAATGGTATAAGCCCGAAACGAGAGGAATTTCTTGTGGACCCAACGGCAGACATATTTCAAATTGAACATATGGATTTGTCCACCAGGGAAAGTGAAAATATTGACTGTTATCATAGCACCTCTGATTCTGGGACACCTTCTACTCCAGATTGGGACCGCTCCTCTTCTCTCATGACTCCGTCTGACTCTGTCCTATCGCCAATGACCTCCAGTTCAGCAGGAGGTCTGACTCCCAGTGATTCTTGGTCCGGGGGAGGTGGTGGCGACGGAGGTGCTGGTGGAGTATGGAGACCTCTTGGGAGTGAAACACTGCACCGAGACTCAGCCTATTTTTCAGACAGCGACTGGGAAGGAGATGGGAGCAAAAGGGGCAACAACGATGGCAGTATGACGTCCAGGCCTTGCAACGGGAGAGGAGCGGGAGAGCGAGGAGCACTAAGCGGGATAGAGGAGGAGGTAGCAGAGAAAAGTCCTTTGAAAAGTGTGCATAAACTGGACAATTCTGAACGTAAAGATGATGGTATTCTTTTTGAAGATGGTGACAGAATCATTCAAGGGCTCTCCACTACACAACGGGACAATTCTAGCCTTCTCCACAATAAAACCGCTCTGGATAAAGACGTGAAAACCAAGGAATGTGTGGAGTTTATTGACAAATTATTCTCTAAACTAGATGATGAGCCCTTGAAGGGGCTACATGTTAGTGATGGCTACCCCAAAGACCACAACGATGGCATCATTTGTAAGATAGCAGATAGCCAAATCCGAGACTCTTCTGAAAACAATTCCAATTCACAATCAAAGACTAAGGTAGACACAAGTAATTTGATGGAACATGCAAAAGAGGATATTTTAATGGCTAAAAAGTATGCATTGCATCATGAAAATGATCATTCAGATATAAACAATCTGAAATGTACAAATGAAGTTCCTGAGATAGAGCTCAAGATTTGTGATATACAAGATGACATTGCAGCCCATGTGTTGATAGTGGATGATGCTAAAAGTTTAGAAATAAATCACAACGAAGTAAGCCCAAGAAATCAGCCTTCTCCCCACAGTGGTGAAAGCCTATTAGATACAAAGGAGCTTTGTAGCAGCGATATGGTGGTCATATCTCCCTGCAGAAGAGCAGAGATGTGGAGAGATGGTTCCGTGGACAAAGAGGAGGATAACCGGCGGAGGCTAATGTGCAGCCAGGACGAGGACAACGAAGCGGGCAGCGGTGTTGTCAAGGGAGAATTTGATTGCCACCGCTTTTCCGAACCAAAATCCCAGTCACGCCCAGATGAGAACGACCAGTGGGCCTCTCCAGAAAAGCGAGCCCAAGACGCAGAGCTCAAATCTGAGTTTTTCACAGGATTCCATAACGCAGAGTGGGGAGTGAGGGAAAGAATAGTTATCTGTGAGGATTTCTGGGAGGAGAACGACGAACTGGCAGGAAGCGAGCCCCACCCAGCTGCTCTAGCGGAGGATGAGGACACAAGCAATCATGAAGCTCGAGAACATAACACAATTGGTATCAAGCAAAAGTCAGAGCAACAAATTGTTTTAGATGTGCAGCAAGAAGAAAATATGGAGGATTTATCTGACAGTAGTAACTTGCAAGAGAATGAGGAAGAATGCTTAGAAGTCGAGAACTTTGAAGCCCCAGTGAGAGAGCCTATGGGTAGAGGCCATAGGGGTCCAGACCATGAATTGAACTGTACAGACATGGAAAATCAAAATTTCAACAAGTGGAGCGGTAATGAAATTAAAGAGCAGGTTATGAGGGAATTCTGTGATGTGACAAGTATATCTGTCCTTGACTCACAGACAAACGAAGAAAACCTGCGAGAAATTGAAAATGTTGAGTCGCCTGCAGATCCAAAACTTTCCATGAGCCAAGTGAAACATTGCGATGATGGAGCAAGCTCTATGGAAATCCACAGAGACATGTCCTTTGAATTACAACCCGGTGATGTAATAATGCAGGACACTTTAGACCAATCGCAGGATAATTTTAGCTCTGTAGATTTTCCCAGTCCTCCGCAGAGCATTGACCTTGACGTGCAAGATGAAAAAAGTTTGGATGATTTGTTCCCCAGCCCACCGCCATCTGTCAGCGAAGAGTTTATAACTAACATGAATCTAGAGGCACTTGTAGCCAAAACAGAGACACACTCATATATTTCTGCAGCTCCCAGCGCAGGAGTCCCAGAATCACCGACTACAACCCGTACAGAAGTAATCTCCTCTGTGCATAGTAAACCAGCCCATGAGGCCACACAAAGCAACACTGTTCATATAACATTGCCTGATATTACACAAGACGTGTGCACAGTTCCCAAATTATTGATTTCCGAGTGGAAAGATTTGGACGAAGAGCCATTAGAGGATTTTGAAAAACTTGAAAAATTGTGCTGTATTTCTGATGATGAAGAAGACCTTTTTTTGGGAAATCTTGAGCTTTTGGATTCTTTAAAGAAAAGTCCAGCTGGAAACGGAGGAACTGCATATAACTGTGAAGATAGTGGTCCTACAGCTCCAGCAGAGTCTGCATATGTGGAGCCTCAAGAGCAGAGAGGACTGGAGTCCGCTGATGTCAAACCCCTGAGCTCCAAGACTGTGAATGGTCTGATGATGCAGGTGAGTTCAGTTCTGTTGGAAGTAAAATCTGTTGTGTGTGAACACAATTTGTTGCCCAGACAAATTGTAGTTTACAATTTATTTATTTTGTATCTGATATTACTGAGACTGGTATGGTGTACTTGAAATACTTGCAGGATTTTTCTTTACTGTATCCAACCCAGGGTGATTTGCAATTGTATTTTTAGGTCTGTGAGGAACACCTACAGTTTTCACTCAGTGAGAATGTGAAGACAAACATGTTATTAGCAGAGACCATAAAGGACACCGTGGATTTGCAGACGTGGGGGGAGCAAGTCGCTGAAGTTGTGCAAACTGAAAGCAATGGAGAAGTGGTCAATGAAGAAGAAGAGAAAAGGTCAGAGTAATAATTTATACATAAAGGTTTGCTGTTACGCATGCTTGTCCAGCTGTTTTGCTTATACATCTGCACTGTTTATATGCAGTCAAGAAAATCAGGATGGATTTTCAAAAGCTGAACCATCTGAAGAGAATCAAACTGAGCCACTCACTGTGATTGAACAACCTGATACTACATCAACGGCTAATCAGGCAATTAAAGGTATTCTTAAACCAGATTATTTTGTGCCCGTTTCTAATATACTATTTAGTATTTCAATGGCAAGTCTATCAAAATTACATGTTTTTTCCAGCAAAGTTAGCCCGTTTGTCTCTGGCACTGCCTCCTCTTGCTGTGACTCTACCTCCAACGGGAAAGGGCTTCAGAGATGGACCACTCGGGAGTCGCCTCGGGCGCCGGAGAGGCCTCTCCCCGACCAGCGATGAAGACGAGGAAGAGGAGCAGGAGGACGAGAGCTCCCGACGAGTCATTGTTGTGACAGAGACAGACACGGACAAACGAGTGGGCCTGAGGAGTCTGCTAAAGTCCCCTAAAGAGCCTCTGGATAGACAGAGGGACATAGGAAGAAATGTGTCCTTTTTTGATGATGTCACCATTTATCTTTTTGATCAGGTAAATGTAAGAAATGTAACTCACAAAAAACGCTCTTCTAACCCCATAACTTTATTGTTTTCATTTTTCTCCAAACAGGAAACTCCGACCAATGAACTGAGTGTCACTACTCCCACAGGACCACCTCCTGTCACTGTCAAAAACTCTAAGCTGGATGTTCGGGGTAAGTCCAGCTCCCACCGAGCCCTTCAGAGATTATTCAACTCTGCTTGGCAAACCACTGTGCTGCTGCTAAAATAGGCAGTTATGTAATTTTGTAGTACTTCAAAAGTGCAGATGGATCAACTGTTATTTTTATCTTGGTGGTTTTTATTGTTTTGTATGCTATACTGTGATGACATTATTTTATTCATGTTAACTACATCCTTCGTTTTCATTTGTTAAAGGGCCAAATTCTAAACGCAGGGACTCAAAGAGGAAAGAGGAGTACTCGGTCAAACCCAGGTCTCCTCTTGGGACAAACTCTGTGACGTCGTCTCGTTTCACTGTCAGCCCGGCGGACGACCCTCATACGGTCTGACGCCAGTGCCCGAAGGGCAGCACTTTGAGCTGAACTCAAACTACCAGCCATTCACCAGAGGCTATTTTTATATTGAAAAAGCACCTGAAGGAAAAGACTCCAGTTAGCTCTGGACTCAGTCCAGGTTTTACCAGCGACAGGATTTTGTATGATGGTCTGCAGAGCTCCAGTCTGTGTGTTTACAGAGGTGAAACTCAGCTGAGCTCAGAATCTGGAAGAGCCTGGAGTTTGTAAAATCGGACACAGATTTGACAGCTATGCACTGAGAGTCCAGCTGAACCAGCGAATCTTTTTCAGGCTTCATGTCTTATGTTACAGACGGTGTACATTATATTCCAGGTGTGTGGATTATTCTTTCATGTGTCAATGATGACACCTCTCATGTCTTAAAGGTTTTTGATTGCAGTCATACTGTTCTTGTAGGTAGCAGTCCCTTCACTGTATTTATAAATACTCATTGTATAATATCATCCAGCAAATGTATCCAAAACCATTTTAAAACTGGTTTCTTTATCTATATTGTTAGACTGCACGGCAAGATAGTTTCTTTTTTAGTCTCTGCACACTTGACTATTTATTGTTTCATTATTTATTATATTTAATTTAATGAATTATGCAATATTAATTAACTTACTATTTATTCGGTTTTACATTTGCAACGTACATTGATATTGCTTATTTTGGGACTGAACTCCTTCTATGGACTAAATGCATTGAGGATATATCTTTACAACATTTTCTTTTAACAAATAGAGATATTTTCCAAGACATCATAATTGCAATTAAAGTATTTTGTATAATTTAACTTATTAATATATTAATGTGTATTGAAGAATGTTCGCTCTTCAGTTTCCCATGCCTTTACATCTTAGAGCTGTCAAGTCTCTGTTTAGCTTGTTTAAGGACTATAAATGTAGTTTAGCATGAAAACTGAATAATTTCATCCGTAAATGCTATTAGTTTTCTGTGTATTAGTTCTTTTAATCTCCTGTCTTCATAAAGTCCAGATAAATCCAGTCCATTTGTCTTAAAGCGTTGGTTTGTATTTGTATTGTTTAATATGATTTTAAAGGAGTGTATAAACAAGGGGAATAAAACAGTAAAACGGAAACATATTTCTGTAAAATAAATTTCTTTGTACTTGTAGACTTGGTCTCTGCTCAAATATTATATTTCTATTTTTTAAATGATCGATGGACCACGGTCCAACTTACGTCATTTCGAGTTCCAGACTTAATGAAGCCATGAACTACATTTCCCAGGGTTCCTTGCAAAGGACGTTACGTATTTATCCCGCGACCATCAGCACCGGTCGAATAAACATTCGTACATTTTTAAAGCTGGAAGGATTCTCTCCTGTAAACGGCTTACTTTGTGAAACTGCGCTTCATAGTTTAGTGCAGAGTTAATCTCGGAGGTAAGTTTTTCAGACTTCAGATAACCAATTTATGTATATATATATATATATATTATCTGGCTCCGTTTCACCAACGTATGATAGTGTTAGCTTAGCTTTAGCCTAGAGTGTTTGACTGGTATCTTAGGATTACTTCACAACCATAAATATGAACTTGCTAAAGAGAAACTAAATCTAACCATTTACTATGAACGTTTACCACAAAAGCTGACATGTGCTGACTTGGTTAGCCACTGCAGATCTCACCCCTCAATATCTGCTTCTAGTTAGATTTGAGGTTTTCTTAATCGTTCACTTGATTGACAATAACATTTATAGTAACATGTATGAGTATAAAACGTGTCTTATGTAAGTTGAATTGGTTACTTGTGATTCAGCCAGGTAAAACCCATCAATTTGAGATTAAACATAGATTTTCAGGAGTGACTTGGCCACAGTGTAGCAGCATTCTAGATATCAAGATTAGATTCAGCTCGGACTCGAGGGAAGGAGCCGATGTAGATCCCAGGACTTCCTTATTTTCTGTCTAGAATATTTCAAATCATTGCAATACCTCTTTTTACTATAAAGCTCCAACGTGTTAAGAATTTGGGAGCTGGGGGGTTTAGAACTGCTTGTGTTCATTCATGATGAAGTGTTTGGCGTTGATGTGCTTGTCCAGAAGATGTCTCTTGCGGACGAGCTCCTGGCCGACCTGGAGGAGGCGGGAGACGAAGGGGAGGACGGGCTGTATCCTGAGGATGAGGAGCGAGACAGCGATGGGGAGGCGCAGGGGGCCAAGGGGGGGCTGGAGGACATCCCTGAGGAGGAGATGGAATTGGACTACAGCAAAGCAGAGAGCGTCACGTCCATCGCCAAACTACGCAACAGCAAACAGGTCCTGAGTTTTCCTGGGAAGATATTTCACTCATGTGGCTTCCAATGAGCCAATATAAAGTGATTCTGAGACTAGACAAAAATCATTTTCAAACATACCCCTTTTTAAGAAACCGTTACAAAACTTACAATACTGAAATATGTACTAATGGGCTTCAATGCTTTTTAATCCTATGAAGGACATACAGTGTATTATAAGTGGCACTTACTGACTCGTGTTTCTTATTTCTTCAGTTTTCAGAAATCATTGACAAAATATCAGATTATGTGGGAAAGCAGCGGAAGAATTCAGAAGGTGAGTTTGACTCCTCCATTTAAAGGGGACATATCATGAAAAATCCACTTTTTGTGTCTTAAATGCATTATGTTGTGTAGTTGGAGCCTCTAGAAGTGCAAAAAAGTTGAAATCAGTTTCTTCATGGGTTGCAGAGAACACTTCATATTCTGTTTGGTTAAGATTTTTCAACCCGTTCTGATTTTGTTTGGAATTATTACGTCACAGTATTTGCAGCGAGACTGCCATATAAGGGCATGGGCGTCTAACAAAATACTTCGGCCCAGCCCTCCTCTATTGTGCATCACTTTGAATTTGTAGTCCAAGCTCAAGGATGCCAGCGAACATGTACAGGGCTGGACTGGCCATCGGGCGTACCGGGCAATGCCCAAAGGGCCGATGCCCATATTTGGGCCGGTCTGTCTGCCTCATACAAAACACATGTTTATGAGAAGTGTAAATCCGTTGAGAATTGTTCGAGCGGGGCGCCTGCTGTATGCACTCGAACGGGATTCCGCCACCTCAGCGGCCGCAGTGTTCCGGGGCATCTGCGGCCGCTTTGTAATGAGCAGCTTCCGCGTCCAGCGGCTGCGAGAGGCTGTGAGCGTCCAGCCGCTCGCAGCCGCTCCGTGTTGTGGCTGAGCGCGCAGTCTCAACGTGGCCATGTACCCAACCCCATAAACGTGCACAGGACCATGCGTGTCTTTGAGTAATCTGTGCACAATAAATACACTGCTGCAGGAAACAGTCCGCGTCTCCCTCTCCTCTCGAAGCGCGATTAAACGCCCTAAATAAAGCTCTGATACCTAAATTTTGCATTGCATTAAAAGTTCATGTTTGAGCCCAAAAGTAATATGTTGTGAACAAATTAAACAGATTTAGAGCCAGCTAATGGCTGACAATATGCATTTCAGTCTTTTTTGACCAATTCTCATCCCTGTAACAAACAATAGTGTTGTCTGTGTCCACCTCCCTCACTCTGAGACATGTTTATTACTCTCTTGTAATGTAGACTATTGCATTTTATTTTATTGTTGAAACTGTACATATCCTGATCCTCTACAGTATTTGCTTCCACATACTGTATAAAGTAGGAGTCGGCAACCTGCGGCTCCGGAGGCGCATGCGTCTTTTTCCTTCTGTAGAAGGAAAAACGTTCTTAACGTTTTTAAATGCTGTAAAATTGTGCATAAGTAATATTCAATTTAAACATTTCTGTCAACGTAGTGCGTCTTATCCTGCGACGTAGGCCCGCGCCAGGCGGCCGCTGTTGTAAACAAACCGGCATGTGAGCTCTGCTTGTTACAAGTCTCTCCATGGCCTCGCTCCAAAATATATTAGTGACATGTTAGTACCATACGAACCAGCCCGGACTCTGAGAAGCACAGGGACTGGACTCCTTAGTGCCCAGAGTCAGGACTAAACATGGGGAGGCTTTTCAGATTCATGCTGCTAAAATCTGGAACAGTCTTCCTGAAGATGTGAGACAGGCCTCCTCTCTGACAATGTTTAAAACCAGGTTAAAAACAGTTCTGTTTAGCTGTGCATACAACTGTGGGATTTTATATTTTTATCTTTCTTTTTAATGTACTGTGATTATTTATGATTTTAATGCTTTCATATTTTGTTCAGCACTTTGAATTGCCTTGTGTATGAATTGTGCTATATAAATAACTTTCCTTTCCTTGCCTTGACTGTGTGCATGGATCCCAAAGCTAAAAAGAGAAGAGTCGATAATAAGAGTGGACTAAGAATGAAAATTAACATTTGCTTTCAGTCAATGAGGAAGGCCTGCTTCATGTTTGCGATGTAATGAGAAGTTTCTATGAGATAATTGTATCTGTGCTTAGTAACTACAAAAATGGCCGCTCGGGGTGGAGTTGAACCTGTGTCACTTGATGGGGGCGTGGTCAAAAGCGCCTCATTTGCATTTAAAGAGACAGCACCAAAACAGGTTGCTCTCAGACGCACCTCAGAACAGGTGTAAAAGAAAGGCCCGTGGAGCTACAAATAATGAGACTCAGACCCAGGCATTGCAGTTACGCTTTATATAGACCACAAATTAATGATCTAGATGTAAAAATCAATTATTTGAAAACACGATATGTCCACTTTAAAGTGTGTGACTTGTGACATTTTTACACTAGGGATGACTTTTCTCTGGTATATCCCCTGGTAAATATTTCTAATAGTTTTACATCCGTCTAGTAGAACTTTACTCTATTTACCTGGTTGCATTTAAATTTCTCTTAGGAATCTGGCATCATATCAGAGCATCATATCAGAGCAATCTACACACCGTAAAGCTGTATCAAACAAAGCAAACTTTATCATTTAAAACTGGGGAATATGTTTTAATCAATTTGTAGACCCCTTTTCCTACACAAGGTAACACAAAGTGCTTCACAGCCCTTATGACATAAGGCATATTTCATTGCATAAATCATTAACATTAAAATCACACACAATATTAAAAACATAAACATAACAATCAATATACTTATACTTATATTTATACCACAATGCATTAAATGATGAAATCCATCAGTTGTATGCACAGGCAAACAGAACTTTCTTTAACCTGGATTTGAACAATGTCAGAGTTGAGCTCTCTCACTTTTTCAGGGAGACTGTTTCTGATTTGATCTGCATAAATCTAAAACACTGCCTCCCTACCGTTAGTCCTGACCCCTGGGAACCAGCAGGAGGCCAGTTCCTGTGCCTCTCAAAGTCTGAGCCGGTTCATATGGCACCAACATGTCACAGATGTACATAGGTACAAGGTCATGGAGAGAATTGTACACCAGTGAAGCTGCTTTAGTCTATTCTCTGAGCCGCAGGAAGCTAGCGCGGAGACCTGAGGACTGGACTAATGTGGTTTTCATCAGGACTCGAGCTGCTGCATTTTGGACATACTGTTTGGCCTGAGAGCAGGCCATTGCAGTAGTCTAACCTACTGGAGACAAAAGCATGGATAATAATCTCCAAGTCTGCTTTAGACACTATATTTTCAATGTTGGCAATGTTTTTAGGTGGTATAAAGCTGCAGATTTCACCGATTTTGATGTGGCTAAAATTCCAGTCCAGTATTACCCCTCGAGTTCTGACCTGATTTGGAGGTGACCGATGACTCTCTCTTTTGTTTCTGGGGGCCAAAGACTATCCTTTCAGTTTTGTCTGCGTTTAGCTGAAGGAAGTTGTTTTGCATCCACTCACTGATCTGTTGGGCGCAGTGAAGGAGTGAGTCCAGTCAGTGAGACTTAGATCTGAGTGTCGTCTGCATAGTTGTTATAAGACACTGTTACAGGGTATTAACTGGCCTAACTGCAGCATGGGCTTTACATTTTTTTTGCATTTCTCTTTTAGTTTCTGGACCAGTGGAATCAGATCCAGAATACAGACTCATTGTGGCAGCCAATAATCTTACAGTAGAGATCGACAATGAGCTAAGTATGTGATTTATATTTACATATTATTATTTATTTAGTTATAAATATAAATAAATAAAGTTGTTTCTGCAACTGGCATCTTGCATTCATTTGTGCGACATTCTCTTTCAGATATAATTCACAAGTTTACACGAGACAAATACTCCAAAAGGTTTCCGGAGCTCGAGTCCCTTGTCCCAGACTCCTTAGACTATATCCGCACCGTGAAGGTAAGAAGATAGCAGCAGGTACACTCCCATTTCCACCTGTGCTCTCTACCATTTAAACATTTGTTTCTCTTCAGGAACTGGGAAATAATTTGGAAAAATGCAAGAACAATGAAATACTGCAGCAAATTCTCACCAATGCCACAATTATGGTCGTCAGCGTCACGGCCTCAACCACACAGGGGTATAATAGTCATGGCAGTAGTAATAATAATAATAATAATAATACAGACTTCAAAGTTGTTGAGGGAAAAATTAATATTGTGGTTTTATTTTTGAAGGTCTTTACTTGCGGAGGAGGAGTTGAAGCAGCTGGAAGAGGCCTGTGACATGGCCCTGGAGTTAAACCAGTCGAAGCACAGAATCTATGAATATGTCGAGTCCAGGATGTCTTTCATCGCTCCAAACCTGTCAGTCATTGTGGGAGCTTCCACAGCAGCTAAACTTATGGGTAAAAAATAATCACGTACAACAACCAACATTTGAGAATTCTCTGCTTATGTTAAAACTCCTTTTCATGGTTGAGCTTTTCCCCACATCTAATATATAAACAAGGAAGTCATGAAACACAATCTTAAACACATACTTTCAACAGTTCCCCAGTATTTAGACATTCCAAATCCAGATACACACTCACACTCTCATATACTCACCAGTCACACTAACACAACTATTACGTCATTGCGTTTTAAAAGCCAGTGATCTATTGAGCTAAAAAAACAAAACGAATACACAGTAGTACGATGATTCTATAAAAAAAAAAAAAAAAAAAAACATTGCTTGTTGCAGGTATTGCTGGAGGACTCACAAACCTGTCCAAAATGCCGGCCTGTAATCTGATGCTGCTCGGCGCTCAGAGGAAAACCTTGTCTGGCTTCAGCAGCACGTCTCTGCTGCCGCACACTGGCTTCATCTACCACTGCGATGTGGTCCAGTCTCTGCCTCCTGTGAGTCCTGTTTGAGAACAGAGTGTTTTTACGTCATTCCATCTCCTGTTTCACTTTATTGATCTTTTGTCGTCAGGATCTCAGGAGGAAAGCTGCTCGTCTCGTTTCAGCGAAGTGCACCCTGGCAGCGAGAGTGGACAGTTTCCACGAGAGCTCGGGCGGAAAAGTTGGTTCAAGCTTTTTTCTTTTTTTTTTCTCATGCACCGTTTCTGTCCGGCAATAATTAGGAATGACTTTTTCCTTGTTGTATTTGTGCAGGTTGGTTATGATCTCAAAGAGGAGATTGAGAGAAAGTTTGATAAATGGCAGGAACCCCCGCCGGTCAAGCAAGTCAAGCCCCTCCCTGCCCCCCTGGATGGGCAGAGGAAGAAGAGAGGAGGAAGGAGGTGAAATTGTCTTTTAGTATAATACGTGACATCAACACATTCCAAAGAGCCGATGGTTGTGGAGGGCAGCTGAGAACTCTTTCTTGGCTATGAAACAAAAACGGTCACAAGGTCAAGTCTAATTTTAATATTGTGATAATTTTACAAATAACATGCAGGATGTTGTCATGTAGAAAAAACTTTCAGACATCTGCATATGGCAGGTTTGGGCATCTAACTGCTATCAAATAACGGAAAAACCTTTTGAACATTTTTTTCTAATTGGTTTTATTAATTGCTTTTTTCCCATAAGATTGTGTCCTGCCCTCCAGCTGAGAATGCAGCCTATTATCTTCATTCTTTTATTATTCTAAAATATTTTATTATTCTTCAAAGCATTGCTCACACCTCTCACTTTTCTGTTTGTGAAGGTATCGAAAGATGAAGGAGCGACTTGGACTGACGGAGATCAGGAAACATGCCAACAGGATGACATTTGCAGAGGTTTGTCTGTGGAAGATTTGTTGTGTAATCAAGATTTTGAATTTTTAATTGGCATGATTTTTTTCCATTTGAAACTTGAAAAAGCATGTTTGAATATATTTTTCATTGCATTTCAGTCACTAAAGATTCAGTTTACACATTTCAAAATGACATATTTGCCTTTTAAAATATTCAACGTTTAGTTTCGAGCCCTCAAATTTATGGTACAGTGAAATTTGATGAAAAGAAAAGACTATTTGTTTCATCAGGTTTTGAATTTTAAATGGACCTGAATTCATGTATTTGAATTTTTCCATCATGAATCTTTTTGTCTGCGAGTTTCAGTCACTGTTTATAAATGTCATAAATTGATGCATGCATTTTCAAGAGCTTAAATTCAACAAGAAGAAAAAATACGATAGTGAACACATTTGCATGACACACCCGGTGTTATGACTAGTTGTGTGCTCTGTCAGTTAGTCTGCGGAAGTGAAGTCGTACTGAATTCATGTTAGTTTAACCTTCTGTCAGTTAAAGTTATGCTTTGCTTTGATGTGGACTCGATACATCTTAACTGCAAATGAAAACATAGGAGTGTGGGAGCCAAGTTTAGTATATTAGTGTTACCTGTTGCTTGTTTAATTGTTATGAATTAGTAATAACTTATTTAGTGTTATTTGTTTGATGTAAGGTGTTGTCACAGACAGAGCAGCCTCCTGTGGACCCTCCTCCTGCAGGAGGACCAATGAGGGTGGTGCTATGTGACTTGTGTAGCAGCTGATTGCCACCTCCCTGACCCTTTAGAACGAATGTAGATTTTGTTAACTTGAATATTTACGTTACCGTCCTTTTCAGAGGGAGTGAGAGGGGTTTTGCTTTGTTTACTGAGGGATGGCAAGCGGAGCCGAAAGGGCACTTTTTGTCAGCTGAAGAAATACGGATCACATACGGGTTTCATACTGTAGTTATTTTATTTCAGATACAACTCTGTAAATATCATTTAGTGTACAAGAGTTAAAGCTGTGGAATGTTTTTTTTCTTAATTCCTTTACATGGAGTCCTGTGGGAGTTTTCCTCTTTTTAAAGTAACACGAGTGAGCCATGAGCCCTAACAGTGGTAACTGCTACACAGGAAAGCAACGCTACACCTGATAGACCGAAATACTGTATAACGCTACCGACAATAATACTGTCCTTCGTTGCTATTAATGTTCAACATGTGATGGTTTTCCTGAACATAAACAAACACACAGAGCCTAAATAGATTAACGGGAATATACAGCCATAATGATTTGGAACAAGCACTTTTTGAAGAAAAGGTGCAAAAGTTACTTTACCACATCCCATATCAAGCTGTTAGATGCATGCTATCCATCCCATAGACCAGCTGTAAGCTAGCAGCTGTCTGTACCTCAATAAAATGATCTACCATCGTATTTTTTCTTGTTGAATTTAAGCTCTTGAAAATGTATGCATCAAATTATTTTTATCTTGAAATTAAAAACATTTTGAAATCAGTGACTGAAATTTTAGATGGAAATTAGAATTCAAAATCTGACACAAACTTCCATATTTGTCTTTGTTCTTCTGTAAAGCCTAGTGTATACTTGCGCGGCGCAGCTTACGTTAGCGGTTGCGGTGGACCTACGTAAGCACAATGGATGTTATACTGGCGCGTTCCCCTTACGGAGTTTTGAGGAGAATTTTGTAATCCCACAACAAACCACATGAGGGCGATCACACAGGAGCGGTCCCATTTACGCTGCTACTTTGTCCTCTTCAGAACAACAATAACAAACAAAGCTGTTTGAGCTCATTACACGTGTTTCTACTGTAGGTTTATGTGATAGTTTTATGGATTCATTATTTTATAAGTCATTTCAACTGTGATGTTGTGAATAAAGACAAAGTTCTTGTTGGAAACATAGTTATTATTAAATAGTTTTCAGCACAAACAGCAAAACAATAATAGTGGTAAATATCTGACATAAACGATTTACGAGTGCAGGAGGAAAGCAACAAACGCAGCTACGATTCAAACAAAGACAGGAACAGTGCAAAACAAACGACTGCACAGTTTATAAGTTATATAGATGTTAGATAGTCCACTGTCTCCTGTATATCAGGCTCTGAGCCCAAACTGCTTTTCCTTCGAAGCACAAAGCTCTCTGCTCCATAGTGCCTCGTCCATGCTCCTGCTGCAGCCGCTCCGTGCTTCCTTCCAATACACACACACGGACCAATCACAGCGGAGATTCCTTGCGGCGACCCTTACGTAGTTAGAAAATTTCGATGCTGCGCGCAGGCGACGTAAGGGCCTTGCGGTGACCAACGCGTTGCGCAAGTGACGTCACGTCACCTCCGTAAGCTCCGCGCCGCGCGAGTATAAACTAGGCTTAATTTACATATTTTGTATTTTTTCGTCTTGACCTTTTGTGGCTGGTTGCAGATTGAAGACGATGCTTATCAGGAGGATCTGGGCTTCAGTTTGGGGCAGTTGGGGAAAAGCGGCAGCGGTCGTGTCAGACAGGCTCAAGTCAACGAGGCCACGAAGGCCAGAATCTCCAAATCCCTCCAGGTATGCGATCGCAATAATGTGAGTAATGTGTGTGGATGTGTTCACCCGTTACCTCCGACTGTGTTCTGCAGAGGACGCTCCAGAAGCAGAGCATGACGTATGGAGGAAAGTCCACCGTCAGAGACCGCTCCTCTGGAACCAGCTCCAGTGTGGCCTTCACTCCTTTACAGGTACTTTACCAGAGTGGCCACAGAACCATTCAAAGCTTTATATTTGACAAAAACTGTTACATTTGGGAGATTGGAGCATTAAATGTAACTAAAGTAAATATGCTGCATACGTCTGCATAATTACCAGTTTGATAACCAAGAAGCCTCAGTGTCAGCAAATAAACATCCAACTGGAGATAGTTAATACATGTTGTGACATGGCCTAAAGCAAAGAGCTGTCCTGTGTTATTTTTATCAAAGTGATGATTGCAATCATTTACATGCTGATTCTTTTCACAGGGGCTGGAGATAGTGAACCCACAAGCTGCAGAGAAGAAGGTGGCTGAGGCAAACCAGAAGTATTTCTCTAATATGTCAGAGTTCCTTAAAGTTAAGAAGGAGCCAAAATAACCAAACTGGATAACTGCACATATTACGTTTAAGTTTTATTTTCATGTTTTTAATAAACCTTTGTTTTACACACTGGTTTTGTTTCATAAAGACCATAAAGTTATTGTGCTTTTTTTTTTTTCCACTCTAATGCAGCTGCCCTCAGTTCGACTGGATTTATATCTGGCAACAAGTTACTTAACTGTCCGATCCAAGAACTAACCCATAGTTGGCGCAACATGAATTATAAATCTGCATGTTAAAACAGGGATGGGATGGTATCCCTGATTTTGCCATTCAATATTGACACAGCTCTTGAATACGAGTTTACCTTTTCAAACCCCTTTTCACTTTAAAAATCATTTCTAAATGTTTCTGGTCACATTCTGCACGGTAGCAAGAATCAGACTGGCATTTCATTTCATAAAAGTATTTATTGAAATTGTACAATCCTGATATACTCCTTTATGACATCTTCCATGCAGAACTGATGAAGAAAAATGTAAATTCTTGAAATTCACATTTTACTGCTGCCGTTCTGAAAACATTAAGCCCCAAAAATAGAATCTATGAAAGGCAAATGTCTTAACTGCACATAAATCCATTTCTATATTTCACAGACACTGTCCCATCTACAGGTGATTTTACTCCAAAGTTAAAATGTCAGTACACTGTTTATGGTGCTTGAAAGGATATATTTTATCCTCTAACACTATTGGTCTGAGATTTTCTCTAGAACAGCTACGCAGGACAAAAAAAAGCTCACGAGTGATCACCATTTACATGTAAACAGTTCAGTGCACATTCACTGTAAGGGTCTCGAGCTCAAACAGGTGGAGAAAGTAACGTGAGAAGTGGGACAAACAGTAAAACGGGACGCTTACAAAAGGCTGTGGTCATTGATCCAGTGGGTACATTCATCTCTATGGTCAGTGTGAGCGATGGCATCAAGACGGCTGGAAAGGAGCTGCTGCAATAAAACATCAAGTAAAGTTCTCAAACCCTATAATTAAGATTTATTTTACAAGTTTATTAATTTCTCACAAACAATGCGTCATAATGCATTTCTTTGACAGGATAACTTAAAAACATTTTCTGTAAAGAGAGGGAGTCAGAGACCAGTTCAATTGCATAGCAATTTAATCCATGTCCAATAAGGACTCTTTCCCTGTCAATCAGCGTTTAATTGACCAAGACAATATCAATAAAACTTTTGATAACCGCTCACTATGTCTAATAGTGACCATATTAAACAGGCATCATAGGATCTTAAAAGAAGCCATTCCTACACTCCATGACTAAATGTCCACTGTACTTCCAAGTCTAAACCACCAATTACAGTAAATACAAGATGGGCAGTTTACTATTCAAATCCCCAGTTGTGTTGAATCGAAGGTGTCCAATCTCATGATGGACAGGTGGTACGGCAAATTTGTTGAAACAAAAAGAAAAAACATGAGAAACATGCATGGGGTAGGCTTTCCTAATGCCACATGTGCAGACAGGCGCAGCCCCTGAGCCCATAGGGTGAGGGCCAGACATCTGCACAGGAGCCAGGGCTGGAGGCTCCACAGAGAGGCTTCTACTACACATCACAATCTCTATCCACAGTTTGGAGTTCAGTCTCGGAATGTCAACAGCAGCACGTTTTGTCTCTGTCCTTTCGTTAGCCGTCACTGTAGATCACGATCTTCCAGGTACCTATACTCAAAGGTAAAGCCCTCCTTTTTCCTCTGGCCCCATTTTTCATAGTCAAAGTAAATGTAAGTGCCCTGGGGAGGAAGGACAAATATTGAGCAGAGGTCTACAAACTGTTCATCTGTAGAAGAAAGTATTCACCTGCTCAAACTCGTCTGTGATGGTCTTGGGCTCTTCGTGCCGCTGGAACCACATCATGTACTTTGTGTGAAACCTCCACGACTGCTTCTTCAGCGCCTTTGCAGACAGATATTGTGCTTTTGTGCCCTGAGACAGAGAGCCGCATTTACACACTGAGGAGCAGACAGTAAAGACACTGTTGTCACCAATGTTACCTCCAGGTAGTAGAAGATGAAGAACAGTGTTTCTGTGGACAGTCTCTGGTAGAACTCTATAGAGTCAGAGTGATGTGGCGGCACCTGGTGGTGAAATGGCAGCGTCGGACATGGGTTCCTCATCAAGTACTGCCTGTGGACACAAACGCGATGCACAAACGTTAGCATGTCATTAAGGGTCAAGGAGATTATGTTTTGGTCATGAATATATTGTAATGTTATAATGGAGATGTGTATTGAGTTCAGATTGCAAGACATGAATCTGGAGAGTGAATGAATGATCAGTGGTGCTTAAATTGGCAGCCTCCCTTAAAGGAGCAATATGTAATATTTGCATGTCAAGTCATCATTAAATGACCCGAATATTTCAAAAGGCATTAATAAATCATGTTCTTTTCAAACACATCTTTAACTGATAACAGTAGTTCATCCGAGATATTTGAATATCAAAATTAGTTTTACGACCCGTAAAAGTTGTTATTGTTTTGATTTTGATGTCCTACCCTCCGCCGTTTCGCCAATCAGGAAGTGTCATGTAAGTCCGTGATCGGGTTGCCAGAACTCCGTGCGGCTCATTAATCTCAGAGGTGAAATAACATGTGGCGCAGAACTAAAAGAGGTCTTGTTATGACTCTCAAATCATTAATGACAAAACAAAGACTAAAATGAGGATTTATATTGGGACGCCTTTGAACAATTGAGACAGCTGATAAAAGTTTACGTGTGATGCAGAATTTGCTAGTTTGAGTCCGTTCTTCACAGTGAGTCTAACTGTGTGAATCGTTGGTCTAGTGGTCAAAACTGTGTGCTTATGATGCAGGAACCCGGGTTCGATCCCGGGCTATGTCTTTTTGTATTTATTGCATGTTATCACATTCTATGACAGATTGCTCTAAAAACGGTAAAAGACGAAGGTCAAGACGTTTTTTTGCAGATTATAGCTTAATTGTAAAAATAATCATTTAAGACCACATGTACCCCAATTAAAATAATGTTAGTCTCTTTTTGATGTGGGACTTTTACATGTTTGTCTAAAAAATAGGGAATAAATAAAATTGAAAGGTGATATCCTCTTGAGCAAACCCTGATGTTGATACGCTGAAGAAATACGTTCCAACATCCATTCTTCCCACTCCTATTTTGGACATCAATTGCTTATGTATTTTGCATAAACTATGTATAATTACATAGCTTTTATTTTGTTTTTGTTTTTTATCTCAAATGTCCAAATAATAATAATAAAAAAACATGAATCAAAACATTCATTCAGCATTAGCACGGCTGTCATGGCAATGTGAATGGAGACGGACAAACAACTGATAAAATAATTCCCTGTGTTTGCTGCTGGATTTGGTGTGAATCTGGCAACCGGAGTCAGGGAGAGTGGGAGAGGACTACAAAATATTGACTGTGACTGCAGTACCACTTTTGGCCAGATTTTTACATATTGTTCCTTTAAGTCCAGCTTCCCAAGGGCAGCTGTGAGTACCAGGGTTTACCACAGGGGGCGACAAACGTCAGCAATAAACAAGTTAAAATAACAATCACAGAAAGCATGAAATGCATGAGAGCTCAGTACAGAAGACTCTTCCGTCTTGGTTCAGGGTTCAGCGGTTTCTGCAGATCTGATTGGCTGTTCAATTGCAACCCCCTAACATGAAGTTGCATGAGTTTGAAGACATTTTATTTATTTAATGTTGGCTAAAGGTTGCTGCCTGACATACGTTAGTTGTATTTAATAGGAAATGATTGGCGTTTGTTTCCAATTCCTTAATTCTAAACAACGTGAAACAATAACGCAAGAATACAAATAAAACATGTAAACATATTTTAAACACCATAGAACTCTAACCCAGCGATATTTGCCCTGTGCCACATATTCCATAGGACATGAGAGAAGAAGCACCGGCGTTGCGCCTGTGAGACAAACCCTTTATGCATCAGAAATATACCGTGTTTTGGTTTTAGTGCCACAACTGCTGTAATGGAGATTTTCCCACAACATGAGTAAACAGTTTGGTTTAAGTAATCTTTATTTATATACCACCTTTTCACTGCAGATCTGAGTCTCAAAGCGGTTTACAATTGTAAATTTTTTTTTTGGGCATTTGTCTCTCACTCCACACAGAGATGGGAGCAGGGTCACCAGTATAGGAGGCGCATGCCAGAACTATTGGACATATTTTTAGTGGTAGGGGAAACCGGAGTACCCGGAGGAAACCTACGCAGACACGGGGAGAACATGCAAACTCCACTCAGAAAGGCCCTGGTCCGACCGGGATTCGAACCCAGGACCTTCTTGCTGAGAGGCGAGAGTGCTATCCACTCAGCCACCGTGCCACCGTGCCGGTTTGTGAATGTAGTGCTGTTATTACCAATTCAACCTCATACTGTTAAAACAACTGTACATTCATTGAAAAGCTGTCACCTGATCCTCTCTGAGTCTGACGGGTGGGGCATGTGTGTCCAGGCCGACTCCTGCATGGCCTGCTGGTAAAGTTGGTCTTTGGGCAGCGGCGTGGGGCCGAGGGGACACACCCCGAGCGAAGGGGGTATGCTGACTTCAGAAACGGACGGTTGAGGAGCAGCGGGAGTGCCGGGCGCTGCAGAAGAGCCGGAGAAAATATCTGAAAGATAATTGGATGATGAGTATGTTGTGTTGTACTGATTCTGTGGTCAGGTCTGCATGATGAGGAGTTCAGACCTCTGTCTGTTAGATGCAGATTACTGATCTCTCCGTCCAGACCCGAGCCGAGAGCTGCTCTCTCCGCCATCGCCTTCAGAGAACTGAGAGGCTCCGGAGCCTAAGACACAAACAAGGGAGTTAAGGAATGTCAAAAAGTGAACACACGCTGCAGCTACAGGTGACATCTGGGACTAAAGCAGGACATGTAAACATTACATTGATGTCACTTAGAAGATACTCACATACTGTCCCTGTTTATCTGTGTCCCCACACAAGGCCAACATGTACAAATCATATTTGGCTTTTTCTGTTGAAAACGTTAATTCTGATTTATTTTTAGAAATACAATGGACATTGTATGGTATTTTTTTAATGTTAACATTGTATATTTTGGTTCTCAAGCTGATTATCCAATCAGAAAGCTGAAATAGCATTAGCAAGTCTCACATGGGTTACCAGTTTCTGTGGTGAGATCCTGCTGGTTTGGTCTCTGCCTAAAGCAGAGACCCAGCAGGTGAAGCACATCAGAGTAATCAGTGCTGCTACATGTGTGTGTGTGTGTGTGTGTGTTTAAGAGGCAGCAGCAGGTAACAGGTCAACATACATTTAGTCTCATGATAAATTCCCTTTTGAAATATATTGATACAAATAATACTCAATACAGACATTACCTTTCTTTTATTTCTAAATAATGCTATTGCACTAATGTTCACTATGTGAAAATAAAACATTAATATATAATTAGAACAAAACATTAACACAAAAACCTCAGTTATGTACAATAATTAAAACTAGTGGTAAAAAGTGTTGTTCAGAAAAATACACAAAAGGATCAAAGTGAAGACTTTTACTCTTGCACTAGAAGCGTGTGCAAGTGCCTCACAGCTGCGGTTTTCCGTGTGGATGTAAAGCACCAAAGGCAGCGACAAGCTGTTTGAGCCGCAGTCGCACTTATCTATGTTTACCCTAAAATGCTGGAATTCTTCCGGTGGCAATTTTTGGTTCTTCGGGTTTTTGACATTCCTTTGAATTTGAAGAAAAATCATGCATTTATGTAGCCTACATTTACTGCATTTGCAAAAAGGAAAATTCAATTGTTTTACAATGCACATACTAGTAAATATTAGACCGGGTCACAGTACATGAGGAATGGGACTATAGGTACAATGCATCTGTGTGAACTTTCATGTGGATCCATGGTCCCCCCGCCATACACACGGGTAGCCAAAAGTGTGTGCTCTGTGGTGCTTTTTGCCCTGTACATTTATAGAAATCTTTCCTCTCCTTCCTTTGCAGAGTCGCAGGTCTGAGGAACACTTCAGCCCTGAGAGCTAGTCCTCTGAACTAATCACAATTTCATGACTAACAGTTTGTCAATTTTATGTTTCTGGAGAATTCAAGCATGTAAAAGAAAAAAAAATATACTAAATTTTACAAAAAATCTCTGAAAAGGTGAAACCCCAAAAAGGTGAACAGTGTTATAGCAGGGACCACTGTATTCTGATCAGATTTCTCATCAGGTTCTTTGTTTTCAATTCATTTTCATGAGTACATTACTTCATATTTAAGAACCAAAAAAGAAACCAATAAAAGTATCAATACCTAAGCTTTTTAAATTAACTTTTTCAAAAGTCTTTTTAGGCCCCGTCCACACGTACCCGGGTATCTGCTAAACTGCAGATATTTTTCTTCGCTTGCACCTGTCATCCACATGACAACGCAAACAAATAAAAAAACTCGGGGCAAAGTGGAGATTTTTTACACATTTGCGTGTAGACAGAGATAACCGGAGCTTTGCGTTTTAGCACGTCACAGTATGCCCCCAAAACAACAACAAACAACACGTGCGACCTCTGATCAGTGAAAAAGCATGGATCTTACTGCCTTAAAAACTTCTCGCTGCTGCAGCGGTTCACAGCAGCAAACATCCTCGCTCCACATCAGAGAGCAGCAAAGTGATCACGGGGACTAAAGCTCGGAAACAACCAAAACAGGAGCTAAACCAGGACTAAACCAGGGCTGAGGACGGGGGTCAGTGTTTGTAAACATAAGTCTTCACCCCGAGTTTCTTCTGTGACTGTAAAAGTGCAGCTACAGAAGCACTGGCGTCTGCATCAAAGCTCCGCTCACTTCAGTGTTTTTCCCCCGACGCAGGACGGTAGAGTGATTGAAAACGCAGATGTTCGGTTATGTGTGGATGCAAATTATTTTATAAACGGAGGGGGGGGGAAATATTCGGTTTTAAAAACACCCGGCTAGGTGTGGACATGGCCTTAGTATTAATAGCTAAACTATCAGTCTTTTTACCTTGAGGGCTTCAGAGGCTTGAGAGTAGGAGTGGGGTCCGTTGAGTAGACTCCCTCCACCAGGTGTGGTGTCTGAGAAGGATGGGGACGGCGAGCTGGGCGGCAAGGTGATGGAGCTGATTAAACTGGGCCCGTTGTCCATCCTGAGGAGCAGAGAAACGTGCTCAAAACAAAGTCAGTCACTTTCCCACAAACAGAAGCAGCAGGAGGACGTACGGCTGACTGTTGGAGGAGCTGAGTGATGAAGGCTGACTGCTCTGCGACTGGCTCGTGCTCAGAGCAGACTCTGCAGAACTCTCCGCAACAACCGCGCTGTAACCTGAAAGTAGCCGCCAACACTACTTTTTAATATGTTTGACTTTTATATCTGATCTTATGTCATGACATAGCTCTGAATGTTAGCATCACTCACACACCGACAAAGTGATTTTCATAACAACATACTTGCGCTACCGTTTTGTTTGAGTCCGCTCGGCGGTCTGGCAGGCGCAGAATTGACTCCTACTCCGACGCTGCCTGTGTTGCCTCCCATCAAGCACACCACACCAGGCGGCGAGCTGAGCGAACTGGGAGGGACCTGAGGGCTACCAGGGGCCACACTCTGTCCAGGGACCAGTCCCAAAATGCTGCTGCTCAGAGAGCTGTGCACAGGGCTGTTTCCCAGCAGCCCCAGGCCTGTGCTTGTGCCGTTGGTGGTGACGCTGGAGGCCGAGGTGGAGGTGCTCTCAGCTGAAATGCTGCTGTTCAGGCCTAGTGCTCCAGAGGCCGCAGCCTGAGCGTAAGGTGCCGGTGTGGAGCCAGAGATGAGGCTCGCCATGGAGTTCAGCGAGGGGGCGTGGCCTAAACCCAGTCCTGGGATCTGAGAGGAACTGGTCCCTGTCAGGCCTTTGCTCAGACCTAAGCCCAGCCCCAGACTAAGGCTGGAAACAGGAGAGGCAGAGGGCAGAGCTCCAGGCCCAGAGGAGCTAGGTGAGCTGGGCGAGGGCAGAGAGGGAGCACTGGAGGCGGGCAGGAGAGGATTCGATGGGGGGCTGGGGTCACTGTGTGGCGTCACTGAGGGTTTGGACTGAAGGGGCTGAGCCTGTAACGGCTGCAGCACAGGAGGATGCTGATGCTGTTGCACTGCGCTGCTGAAGCTACCGATGAGACTGCTGCTTGTAGGAACCGAAGGAATACCCCCGACAACACTCGCCATGGAAACAAGAGACGAGGACGAGGACGAGCCGGAGGTCGACGAGGAGGAAAACGAAGAGAGCAGCGATGGGGTACCATTTTTCACAGGTGACTGTAAGCAGCAGAGAAAGTCAGATTAGAACCTCCAGCAGTGGTGCCACAGAAGTTTGGCTGCTTTAGTGTCAAAAGCAGTCAAAGCTTTGAGGGGTGAAGGGTTCCACTAAACTGTCCCACTCCCACACAGCACAAAGACCTCACCTGACTCACTTCACAGTCTGTCGATCGCCCCCGTTTCTTATCGTCCTCCGAGTTCTCCTGCAAGAGATAGTTTGGTATATTTGACAATCCATTTTGCAATCAGTGGATCAAACAAAAAATTACATCTGTACTTTTACTTAAAAATTATACATGTGTTAGTAAAGGTATGCATACAATGTGACAAAGTAATCTAAAAGTTTTCTCTCATTGACAATTATGCAAATGTACCACTTTCTTCTGAATTCCTAATGTAACGTTTGCATAACATAAGTTGCCTGACTGATGCAAAATATATGACCATTATCATTCTCAATCCAAACTTTAGCAGTGATCATTAAGAATTCAGACTTACAGCTGTGCAGGTGGCGGGCGATGGAGGAATAGGTGACGAAGACGTGGTGGAGGTGGGAGTGCTGCTTGATTGGAGGAACATCTCATCCTCTTGACCTGACGGAGATGTGGCTACTAACGCTGCGGCTACAGGAAACACACACACATGAGAAGGTCAGCTGAGAAAAAGCAGCCCTCTTTGTTCCCCTTATCAATTATGCAAAAAAAATATGGCATGCAGAGCGAGCGCAAGGGAAATGTAAAGGTTTTCTTTTGTTGCTTTTTTGATTTCTCATACTATATATCGAGGACATGTGTTTGTAGTATGAGACGAGCTGGAGGAGAGGTTATAGTAAAGGCAATGCAATAGATTCTCATAAAAGTGGCTTTGATTTATCATCTACAGCTTTGGAAGTTTAGAAAGTAACATTTCCCTGTACAGACTGTACAAATAGACAGATTATCTCATAGTGAACACATGAAAATGGTATTGCTTTATTAATATAAATTCTAGTTTAACCAGTATTTTCTGCTGTGACGTCACGTTTGCAGTCATAATTGCACAAACCAGGCAAACAATTTCAATGCTTTCAATTCAATTCATTCTTGTATATCCCTAAATCCCAAGAGTCACAATCACTCAGAGGACTTAACAAAACCGTTGAAATCGCCAACACAGATCAGAAAATCCAACACATAAGTATTGGTCTATAGGGAGTTGAACAATATCCATGAATTTGGATAAATGTCCAAAAATGAGGGTTTAACAGACCCTCCTGCATTGGCAAGGAAAAAACTAAAACGCAGTGGGAGAAAAGTGAGAAACCTTGGAGATCCACATTGAGAGAGGGATCTGCTCCACACGGACGGATGGACGGGCTATAGATCCAGGACCTAAGCTACAGAATGAGGACCAAGGCCACGCAGCGGTTGTAGAACGTGGACAGGCGCGGTGGAGGACTGAAGCAACTTCCAGGCGGGAGTTTTTATCTAAAGATAAAGGTACACTTTACTGATCCCCGTAGGGCAATTCATCCTCTGCATTTGACCCATCCTGATGCCGTCAGAGCAGTGGTCGCCGTAGTACAGCGCCCGGGAACCCATCTCCAGATGTTGATGCTCGGCTTGGTCACGACTACCGGAGCTGGAGGATTTAATGTGCATAGTTTTAGTGGTAGGGAAAACCGGAGTACCCGGAGAAAACCTACGCAAGCACGGGGAGAACATGCACAATCCACTCAGACCAGGATTCGAACCCAGTACCTTCTTGCTGAGGCGGGAGTGCTATCCACTCAGCCACCGTACCACTGACAGACTAGTGCATTTATAATAATAATAATAAAAGTAGTGCATAATAATAAAAATATAGGGATTTTTGTTTTGGACACTCAAAGACACAAGACTCTACTCCAGCCGCAGCAGCCCTAGCGCAGACTGAATAAAGTGAGGCCACTAATCAATGCCATCTGCATCACAGACCAGACACACTCATATTAGGCAATGTGTTTGAAGTGCTTAGCCTAAGGACACAACAAGTAAGCACTTTACAGCTGGCCAAATAAGACACACTGTTACCAGAGGTCTCCCATCACAGTACCAAACAGGCCTTGTCCTGCTTAGCTTCTGAGATTTTAAGTGTGAATCTAATCTTCAGACAAAAAAAAGGAGCCAGACTTTACATTCCAGACATAGCAATATCTTCTGCATAAGACAAGCACATGACCACTATGAAAGTTACAGACTGCACCTTTAATTCAAGGTACTACTACTCTGCAGCGTTCACCAGTTTCATTGATCATTTTACTCACGGATGTCTTCTAGGTCCAAGTCGTCGTACAGGAATTCATTCTCTTCAAAGTCGGGGTCTTGAGAGGAATCTATGTAGTACTCGACATCGTCCTTGATCTTTTGAATCGCATCCACTGGTACAGAGTCGTTGTCAAGCATCCGTAATATGGTTTCTAACATTCGAATGTGAAATCGATGCCTCTCAATTAGCCGCTTCAGCTCTTCAATACGGTCTTGTTTCTGTTTCTCAGGATTCCAAACATTTCAGGATAAAAATAATGAACCTTTCTAATGCATTGATTTTAAAATACCTCTTTGTCTCCTTTCTTTTTTCTTGTTTGGACCGAGAGCGATTCGACTTCACTTTCAAATTGATCCACCTGCATATTTAGTGTGTCTATTGTATTCTAGGAGAAAAAACAGAAATCTTGTCAGAACTTATATATTTTTTAAAGGTTCTACATGTCTTATATGCAATCAATTAACAATCTGAATCAAGAATTGCGTATATAACACTTAGCACATCATTAAAATAGCACAAAAAGGTAACACTGCTTAAACTATAAAATCATCATAATTTTATGGTATTTATTTTCTACCTCAAGTTACTCTGTTGAGTAAGGTGAAAAACAGTAGTTCATATTTAAGAATTTGTAGCAGTCCAGACATATTCTTCATATTCAGTATTACAGTATTGGCTGGACTATTAAGGGAATCTGTATATATAAACCAGAAAATGTTTTAGGAGAAAGTAGTTTTGTCCACATATAGGCTGCCCTTTATTTTAAGCCAAAGGTTTTCATGCGTCACTTCACCAACAGCTAATGCACCGTTGCAATAGAGAAATACAAAGCTGATCGATGACTGTTTTAACTGGTCACAACATGATTCACTAACAAGGTGTCAATAACAACGCACTGTTGACTCGTGATGGACAAAGCTTGGTATACGAAACAATAAAATCTTAGGAAGCAAACATTCACTCGTGTTAGCCTTCTTCCCTAACTTGTTTTCGCTTCCATGCAGCAACTCATTTACCAATAATTTGATCTATTTTGACAAAAAATGTGCGTCCTATAGTTATAAAAATAACTTCAGACAAAAAGGCCATAAACAGCCTCACTAAACAGGCCACTGGGTTCAAAGAACATGAAAACAGTAGCGGCTTATAGTCCGGCAATAAGGGTGGTTTACAAGTGCGTATCTCAACAATCAGAGGCCAGCGCTGGTTTTTCCATCACATAATCTAACAGGGAGCATTAGCGGCACACTTGCAATTTCTCTGAGAACAGGTCGCTCTCCAATTAGAAATCGGTGATCCTCTTTTACATATCAATAGCTGCTTTTGCATAATTTATACTCAGAGCCTGAACCAGCATTTATTTTCTATCTCTCCCTTTTTTAATACAAATACAGTTCATTAGTTGTGATGTTTCTTCTCACAATAATCGTATTGCAACAGATTGATTGTGTGACATACCTATTGCGAAGTCAGTGCAGTGTAATAGAGGGTCAATTACCGTTAACCACTGCCCCGTCTCCTCCTTTTCCCTCTGAGCTGGATCCACTTTTTGAGCGAGACCTAGGCCTTCTTTTGAGTAGGCTTTCGTTTTTGTCTCTCGCTCCACCACTTTGAATCGCTCCATTTGCTACGGAAAGAAAAGAATATTACCTTTTCATAAAACAGATCTATTGATAATTTAAATCTCTTACCGTTTCTATTAGTTTGCGGTTTTCCACTAGCTGCCGTTTGTCTTTGATCTCATTTGATGCGACCCATGTTTTTATCTGGTCTCTTAGTCGCTGAAGAAAACAGTTTACAATATGAACATAAACATTGACATGCCAAATTATGAGCGCTAAAATTCCTTGTTGGCTTTACCTGTAATTTTTTAATCTCTTTTTTGAGGTCAGCCTCATACTTTTCCTTTTGGTTTGCATTGGCTGCATTATGAAGCTACATACACAGGGAAAGTAATTATACAAGACAATTATACAGAAATTTAAACAAAAAGTAAGCAATTTGTACCTTTTGCCAGATGTCTTCAAACTGTTCAACACCTTCTGCTACTTTTTTCAAACATCTATCAATTTCACCTATAGGAATTTAAGAAGAGTTAATTAATGAAAGAAAAAGCATCACAAGAAGGGTGTCTTTTCAGCCTTATTTATTTAGAGAATGTCCCTAATTTGATGTCACTTGAATTGTACAAAAGTAGAGGTGTGGACAGAAAATAATACTATTAAATACAGCAATTGACAAGATCAGGGACTCAAGACAATGAATAACTTTTTTTTTTTTAATAGTTCCTCTAATAGAATCACTTTTCTGAGCACAAATCACATTTTAAGTCATCATTGACATCTCCAACACATACACTACTGAGTATTTTAGACCAAATGAACATTTCTAAATCAAGTTGACAACATCACAAACTCGATCATGGTCAAACATTTTTTGCATGTACGCCTGTTCACTTTGTAAACAAGACAGGACTTTTTAATACAGAATGGAATCATTCGTCATATGTATGAAGACTTGAAATGACTCAAAACTCAAAGTAGACCTTGACACCAAAGACTAGAGAACTTATTTAGACTTGATTATCACCAATTGCCATTTCGTCTCAGTGTGCACTGATCAAGAACCACACTGTTGATGCATGGACATACATTTCTTTCTGTCCCTTCATGTACCTCCACATTCAACAATATAATAGTCCCTCTTTTTGTGCAGTTTCAGGTGGTCACCCTCTGCACATGGATACAGCACAAGCTACTAAAGCACATGGTGAGAGAACTTCAGATGTGGCGAAGTCTGAGTTTTACCTTGTAGTTTTCTCTTGTCAGCCATGGCTCTGACTACGACAATGTCCACATTCCGTCTGTCACACAGTAAGATGCGTGGAGGTAACACTGTCTGAAGAGAGGCACAGTGGACATCCTTCAGTAAGGCTGTTTTAGAGGCACCGTGACACGAACATGTTAACATTCACTTCATCTTCGTCAGACAACGCCACTTTCCCCCGATCATAACACGGCCACACGCCTGACACTTCAGAGAGATCACTCATTACATGCACAGTTGTTATCTACAATAAGAAACCTGATCAATTAGCATCAGAAAGCTAGCGTCAAAGCTAGGCAGTGCATGAGCTCGTTTTAAACCCGCTTCAGCCCAGGATCAGAGCTGTGCTAATGATAACCCGTGTTTACATGCTCCGATGTTTCTGCAGCTCAACAAAGACACTGTGCTGGGTTATAGAGATGGGGAACTTACATTTGATATCAACCCGTTCAAAACGAAATCCTACGAGCTAATTTAGCTGAATGCCTGACTCGCTAATGCATAAAATGCTAGCTAGCAGCTTAGCTAGTCAAATTTAGGAAAAGGGGAAATGGGTTACGCGAGGATCTATGCTGTATGTTTACGACATTTACCTAAGGTAGGGGCTTTCGTTTGTCTTTTTTAAATGACAGCCAAAACTAATTCCAAAAAGTCTTCTTCACTTCCAAATTGTGTTTTCTTTTCGACAGCTCGCTCTATATTGTAGCTGAAGATGGACGGTAACTGAAGTCCCACCTCTTCCTCATGTCCCGCCCCAAATCACATTTTCGGTCTTGATTGGAAAATACACACGTCTGTCAAATGAATGGCGTCTGATTGGACGATGTTTATGCCTGTCACTTGGACACATCCGCTGAAATCTGCCCGTTCCACACTCGATCAACAAGACTGTATGTGCTGATAAATACAAACCTCCATTCATTTTTTAAAAAGAAATATTAAACTCACACGCCTTAGCTTTGCACAACTTTTACAATTTATAAAAATAAAATTAACTAATATTTGAGAACCAAATGACAGAAATACTTTGGATACAAAATTGATCAAACAGAGTTAGCCTATATTCGTTCACAGTTCTGGTATTAAAATAACATAATGACTTAAAATCACTCAGGCAGAAAAGTAAATTTACATCTGGAACCATTAACCATTGTGTGGTATCTGGACATTGGCAGCGTAGTATTAGTCAGTGTTGTAGCAGTGTGACAAAGACGGAGGACTGGTGGTATCTTCAAACTGGGTCTCAGCCAACGCTGACATGTCTGCTTCCACCTAGAAAAATACAAAGATTTTTTTTTACTTGTAATTGATTGACATTGCACATATTAAATCAGAATATTATAACAAGATAGCAAGGAGCAAGAAGGTAGTACTTTGCCTTTTCTGCAAGTTCACAAGTTTCTGTTCTACAAAAGTTGCTGTGACTTATTTGGTGATTGGTGATTTGGTGATCTTAAAATAGATTAAAATAAATAAATAAAAATCAATACAAAATTAAATTACCCTTGAAAAATGTGTGTGTAACGGACATAATGGTTGCAGTCAATAAAAAAGAAAAAAAGAAAAAAAGATTGTTATTACATTTAATTGGTTTACTATATGAAGGTAATCACTTTGTTTCTACTCTTTAGAAAAAAAAATCTATTAATCAAATGTGGACATCTGAAAATATGGAACAAACTTCCGCTCATTCTGTCAAAGGCATCACGTCTGTGACACACATAAACACACAAAAGTTTTCTTCTAGCAACTACTAATGGACTGAAGAGGTTTTTGGCTAAATTAAACACATTAATAATATATCTTCCAATTATTAAAATAAAATTTTTGGCCTTCTGTCACACTTTTTTACCCTTTAGTATGAACAAGCCCTATACCAAATTATTATTTCCATGATCTCAATGATCTCCAATGATATCAATGAATGCTCAATTATATGGAATATAAACTGGTAAATAAATCCGCTTCAGATGAATGTATTGCCATATGGTCAAAACCTGTTCTTTATTCTTTTCTTGCTTTGGGACACGATGTCTCCTCTTCTTTTGTCCCGTGCTGTTTTGAACAGAGCCGTTCAGCTTGTCCTCCTCTTCAAGAGCATTCTGGTCCAGATTTAGACCGGACTCATCCTAAAACACATAGTGAATCAATATATGTATATTATGTAACGTCAAGTACCCGAGAGCTCTACCTCGAGCAGAATGGTGAGCTGGGCTTTTCTGTAATCGTCTCCATGAGCATCAAGAGTCTTCATGAGGAAACTTTAACATAAAGAAACATTTTATTAAGCACATAATGTGTTTAATAAAGTAGGGTCTAAGGAAACATCCTGGAATTACTTTATTTAAGATTATTCACCAACAGAGTAAAATAGAGTTAAATGTATAATATCTTTAAAGAGAAGGTGACATTAAGAGAGAAAAACTAATAACAATGACAGGTGTAACAACCTGGAAATTGTATGTGATTGTGTGGACAAAAGTTACCGTCTTTCTTTCTTCATTCTGCGTGCAATTCTTTGGACTTGATGAAGGCGTCCAAGAATCTTCTGATTTACCTAAATAATGTAATTCAATCAGTCACTTTGATTGAGGCACAATTTGACTTATTCTGTAATGTGTGCTGCAACATTGAAAGTTCACTACTGTGGGATGAATGAAGTATCCCTAATCTTGAATTCCGAATACAGATACTTTTCAAAAATATAAAAAACATGTGACAAAAAGATTTTTTAGTACTCTGCATGGACCATGTTAGTTACAAAATCTATATTCATGCAGGTATTCAGTACCTGAATGTATTTCAGATATCCTGTCATTTTTCTCCACTCATCATTTGTGGTTGTGTCTAATAAATATTTTGACATGATTCATTCAAACGAAGGCTAACACCTGCCTCCAGTTCAAACGCTTCTTTGTGGCGAAAAAAGCTAGCTATTCTTCTTTTGCCACAAAGAATGGCTAGCTTCACCCTCAGAGACGATAAAGAATCTCATCCACAACAACCACAAAAGACTGTCATGATAGATGTCAAAAGAGCAACACATGCTATTGAAAGCTGGAGGATGTAACATTTATGTTTTTGCCAGGGTGTGTACGCTTTGAAACACGACTGCGCGTTTTTTCCTTCAATATGGACCTTTCCTAAAAGCCATTTTGAAGACAATGCCATTTGACGACATGATACCATGAGCACATTCATGCCATGTTTGTGTGTGTGCATTTATAGAGACAAGCACCTGTTCGATTTCTTTACATCGCCGGCTGAGGGCAATGCATTTCCTTTTATCTAGAGCCCTTCTCTCTTCATCTTCTTGTGCTGTGCTCTCCAGCAGCTCTTTGTCCCCTGAGCTCAGCTCCACCTGTGATGTGCAAAACATTCACGTGTTTTCTCTCCACTAAAATTTTTATAAATAATAATTCTGATACTATTTTTTTCTTCCGTATATAATCTTATATATTTTGTAACACAGAACAACAATTATTTTACCAAATACATTTGACCAGTCCAAATAGCTACAGCTAAAACTATAATTCAATGTACCACTGTAGCTCCAGACTGAAGTGTATTCAGAATTCATATTATCATTCTATGTGAATTAGAGATATGACTGCATACAAGAATATGAGGGAAAGCTGGTACAATACTTGGACATAAGAAAATATCAGGGGGTTATATAAATATAAGGTTAAATAGATTAGAATTGGCAACAGTCTTGTATGTTATAAATATACTATAAATTAGGAACTAGACAAAAACATATCCTCTCAACAGATACATTTCACATGCCTCTCCAGGTCCCAGCTGCACCTCGCCCGGCTCCAGTTCTGCCTCCAGGATGTGTCCCCCAAACAGTGGAGGCAAATCCAGGCCAGAGAAATCCTCCATGGTTCAAGGAGGAGATGATTGCAATCACATCACCATCGTTCTACCATCGACGAGAAAATGAAATAAACATGGTAGTACAATTAGACAGTATAAACTGGGTGTGGAATTGATCTGGTGGTCCCCTCTGAGGCAATTCACAATGATTTACTGCCCAGGTGAAATCCACAGTCGTTCTACGCAGTGTCATGGCAAAATCTTTGTTTACTTTGCTGTTTAGTTATAGTTGCACAGTTTTAGACCAATTAGACCAGTCGTATTCCATATTTGGTTGAACGTCGTTTTGACCTGCTCAAGTCCAGATTAGTCCTGGTTTGGTCGTGTTGTTGCAATACTATTTTCCAGATCTGGTTTAGACTTGTTTTATTCTATTTTGAAGCATCATTCATTGGCCAAGTCCAAAAGCCAATCCAAATCTTCTCAAATATGTTATAATGAGGCATGGCTACTTACTTTGTTCTGGCGCTGAAGTAGTTTGTTTGTGTATTTCTTGGTTGTATTAGTTATTTTCCCAGTTTTTCATTCGGCAAACAAAAAAAAATACAACGCCACAGCGGCGCAGTAAATGTACGTAATATCCTCACTACATTTCCCATAAGCCATCGCGTTGTAGGACTACAGACAACATGGCGGGTATGTAGAGGAGTTATTCTACTTTTGTGCTTTCTATGACCAGAACACGCAGAGATGTGATTCGCTTTAATACGTCCGTACTGGTGTTACTTAAATATATTTTCACACGAGTGGTTGTAGTTTGTAAAACGGAAGTCACGTAGTTTTTAAACGCGATAGAAACGTGACCTTGGCGCATTGCTAACAACAGTAGCGTTTTTTACACTGTTTTTACAAAGCTGAGTGTGGCTTTAGTAAAAATCCTCAGATATTCATGTTTTTTTTTCATAAAAACGCTTCAGTAGAATCAGAATGAAAAAAAAAACATTAGCTAACCTAGATTCTTTTGTTAGCATGTATCTTTAAACCATTTGTTATTGAGAATCATTTAGCCACAACAATAAGTCAACATTTTATTCCAAACAAACGACGTTGCTGTGCCCATCACTGATTAGACAGAGCTCATTTATACCCTCACCCACACTCTTCTCTAACATGCCACATTGGACGAGGCTGGACAGAGTAAAGTCCCATGTTAGAGATTCGCATGTTCTGTCTCCAAACTAATGCTCTCTGCTGTTGAATAACTGTCATAATCGCGATGTATTACGCAGCCAGCCTTGATGTTTATTCATTGAACCTGGATTTCTCTATTGTGAGATTAATAAAGTGTCTCTCTCACATCTCAGAGCAATATAGATTTCAGAAACTGAATTCATTTGTCTTATAATTTATTTTCAGCCATGCATCTGTACTTGTTTTGTACCACTGATTTCATCATTTCTAATGAATACAGAAGCTTACTACAATACCCTAGTCTTAACTTTAAGTCTTAAATAATGATCTTTTCCAGGGTTCCTTGGTTTTCTGAAAAATGCTTGGAACAAAGAACCTGTTATATTGGTATCCTGTGGTATTGGCCTTCTAGGTATGCCATAATTACACTTAAGTTATGTAATGTCATTCAATAACATGGAATTCTAATTTAATGTTTGTAATATTTTTTTAGGTGTTGCTCTTCCACTTATCAGCCCATGGACAAAGTACACTGGAATGATCAATCGAGCTGTACCCTTAAATTACCCCGGTAAATTTGATCAGATTACATTGTATTATTTTTTTCATAACTTTGATTACATTTGTACACCTGCATCTCTCTTGTAGTCCCAATACGAGATGATGGAAACATGCCTGACATTCCGGCTCATCCCAGTGAACCAAAAGGAGAAAATCTTGACTGGCTTAAAAACTTTTGATTGTTTTTCACAAACCCATCACCTGGGCAAGTCTGTGTTGTTTAGCTTCTCTGTCATCCAATGTTTGAAAATAAAGAACTTTATTTATTACACTTGTGTCTTCACTTTTGTTTCTCTGTTTTCTTTTCATAAAATGCAAAACTGTAAACCTTTGTTAGAATGTTTGGATTAGAATTCTTGCTAAAACTTCTTCAAGATGATCAGTACGTTCTTAAGATCACAAACTATAGGGCTAACAATCATGTAAAACTTGTCAATTTAGTAAAAAAAAGCGTTATTACTTAGAGCTGTGGTTGCTGCAAAACTAAATATACTGAAGATCTACATTAACATCAATTCTAGGTTGTGTTGTCTTCATTTTACATCACATGTTGAAAAATCCTTTTCTGGTTATGAAATAAAAATGGTCACAGTGGAAAGGACTTTCTAACATAATAATTAAATGTTTGTGGAAGAGGGTCCTGTTTCGATTCCTCCTCCAGACCAGGTCTTTCCGTGAGGAGTTTGCATGTTTTCCGTGTATCTGCATAGGTTCTCACCATCTCCGGTTTCTTCTACCACTAAAAACATGTAACAGTTCAGGATGTGTGTGAATGCAACTGTGGGACAGCAGATGATATTTGGCCCAAGGATACAATCCTGTGTGTTTTTAATACACTGTCCCATCAAAATAAACTAACAAACTCAGAAAGGCCCTGCGCCGCCTGGGAGTTGAATACAGAACCTTCTTGGTGAGAAGCAAATAAGTTAGTAAATAACTATTTAAAAATATGTTGTATTCATGGGTGTATTGGTTGTAACTTGTATCTTAGAAAGAAAATATAAGTGCTTGTAGACTAGAGTGCCCTCATGTGGTATGTAACCTGTAGGGAAAAGAGGCCTGTGACTGTGCCAGACCAAAGGCCTTTTATTGGTGTCTTTCTTAAGGCCTGGCCGCTGCTCCTTGTTCTCAACTCACCTGCTGTAAAATTTGTGACTGGAGCTGGACAATGTATCACACAAACTTCTGCAATGGAAGAAAAAAAAAGGAAGATTTGCATATATAGCTACATCTTTGTGGTTAGTTAAAAGTATCATTTTGAACCTCAACAAGTTTTAGAACTATGATGATTGCCAAATAATTGTCTGAGGAAAAATATAAATTGAGATAATGCTTTTTGTCAATATCGCCCACCTCTACTTAGCTTATGATGAATTATATTATTAATAGATCCTTTATTTGTCTCAGAGTGGGGACATTTTTGTGTTACATCGCAAGTTACAGAACAGTGCGAATGAGGAGGACACAACACAATATACGTGAATATACCACAACCATAAATTTGAAAATGAAATAAAATATATATTGTTAGCTTAATAACGAGGCAGTGTGCAATACTGTATACTCTAGTACAATAAATATAGACTTGTATATGTACACATCTGCAGATAAATCTCAGGGTTCAAATGTTCACAGGCATTAAAGAACTGTGTTCTATATGACAAAGAATCTCAGTAAACAAGCTGATTGTTATGCTTTATTTGAAATCTCTGATTTTGCACACCTCACATATCCAGTTTCCAATGATTTGTTTTATACAGAATAGTAACAACAGTGAAATAAACACATTTTATTAGGGATGACTTCTATAATCTGATTTCAAAACATTATCCTACTTTATAATATGTTTATGACATGTGCCACCATAAACATCACTTTCCTTTTACTTTCTCCGTCACATCCGTAATGCACCTCAAGGTTTACTTTTCTTTCATATCTTTCTGTTACAGTCACACTTTCCATGACATGCTTTCTAACACCTTTCATTTATCATAAAAAACACCTTTCCCAATATCAGTTCATCACCATCTTACGGTTTACATTTTAACATTATACTTTATACTAAATGTTTACAGCAGAAAGTGAGACATGAACTTTATACAATCATTATGACAACTATATTTGTTTTTATGTTATACTTATATATATTTCAGAGAGATTCATTCAACAATTCTTATATTTTTACAGATATGTAAATTAGCTTCCAAACTACTTCATTTATAAGGAAAAAATTACGTGGGATTTCTTCTTCTAATTCAGGCATGTCCAATCTAAGGCCCGCTGACCCAAAGAAGTCTTTGAGATTATAAACACGGTGTTCACGGTGTCATTCAGCCAACTTCAGCTCAGTCAGTATAGGCATGGTATAACTTGTTGTAAAGCTCAGAACCTCTGGAGTTAAGCTGTTGACTTTATTTGTATAAAATGACATTTGTTTTTGATTGTGTCACAAATTTCTGTTAATTCTGCTATTGTAACGGGTGAGATCAATTATCATTCAGCCGTTTTCGTCCCTCTGTTGTCCTAGATCAACATTCCATTTCAATTAATACGTTTGCAGTATGATGCCTTTTCTTTATGTAATCTCAAAGCCAAGGTGCTAGAAAATGTTAACGTCCTTATGTTTATGTAGCTAAATGCCTTGTGTGTTAGGGACCAAGCTGGTGATAATACACAGTATTACAGATATTTGTAAAAATCCCATCCATGTTTAACAGCTCAAATCTTGTCAGTTTTACAAGAAAGTGGCCTTCTAGCTAAAAAGTTTGGACACCTCTGGTCTAATTACCGCGAGTATACTGTATATAATATTTATGAAGAAGGAGCCCGTCCTCTTCTCAGTACTTTGATTACATTTATAACATTAAACACTAAAAAGCTAACATTTGGAGCCAGTTCCTCCCTACATCACCTACAGAAAAATATTATTCAATTTTAAGGTCTACAAAGAGTGAAAATATACCATCCTAATATTTTTCACATCTAGTTTTTTTATATATATATATGCCATGAATGCAAAATCCCGTTTGTATCCAACTGATTAAAATACAGTTTAATCCAACAGCTGGTCAGATTCAGGAGTCGACCTGGTGGTGCTGAGGAAATGAGCCATGGAGTTTTCTTCAAATCACTCACTCAATGATGGGGGCAGAGCGATCGTTGGTGACAGTTTTTTTAAGTCGGATGTGGGCAAAAGGATTTGGCCTGAAAACAAAACAAATCAGACATAAACGGGGCGACAGTAGCTCAGTTGGTAGAGCATTGCCCTTTGAGCTGGAAAATTGTGGGTTCGAGCCCACCTCGGGACCTACTCCAACTGCTCCCATTAATGTCTGCTGTCGTTGTGTCCTTGGGCAAGACACTTAACCCCACATTGCCTGAAGTGCCCGCTGAAAGAACAAGGCTGTGGCACCACTGACGTAGCAGCCATCTTCCTGTGGACTCACCACCACCAGCAGAGGATCAGTGAGGGACTGGTGCTATGAGCATTGGGTGGCAGCTCTACTTGTCCCCCCCCCCGAATAAAGGGGCAGAAAATGAATGAATGAATGAATGGATAAGACATAACCTCTGTCAGTAAATTGCCTGTAGGCTGCACGTTTCCTTCTCTAATCTGGGACTAATAAAGGAAAGTAGGGTATAGTAGGGAAGAGGTAGGGCCATAGCAATACATGTCAAAAGTCCTGACAGAGTCCCGTAAAACTGATGGCATTTTACACATTTACAGCAATGTTGATTCATATGTATCGTCCCTATTCAATTTAACTTATACATAAATAAAATAAATCAGACAGAAGGAGCCCCGTGAGTCACTATTTGACCTTTTGGACTGAGAACTGAGTGAAGGTGACTTTATGACATATTTATGACATATCGCAATTTTTGTGACTTGAAAGCTAGGTACCCCAGCTTTAACCTAACGCATACATTTAAAGTGAGTCCCATAAGCTGAATTGAACTAAAAGTACTACCTGGTCGGTGATGGAGGGGGTGGGCCCAGTGCGGCGCAGATCTATCCGAGAAGAGGAGAAAAAGCATTGATATGAGTTCTGCTGATGTGGCCAAATGAAAGCCGTGTGTACTTACCTTGTTGCCCTCGGCAATGCTGTAGGGGCGCGGGCGGAAAGTGCTGATCCTCGGGGGAGCGGCGCGCTCCTCCTCTGGCGTCAGAGCGGGCAGCACGGACGAGCACAGCGTGTCCAGGTGTCCAGTGCTGGTGCTGTTGGCTTTGGACAACGGTGGAGAACTGCAAGAGAAGAGGAACAATAAGGGACAGGTTTAGAGGCGTAAAGTAGGTACAATGTTCCTGGGTCAGTAATGTGACCAAACAAACATATTTTACATTTTTATATGGTCCTTTTGGTATACATCCATTACATAAACATACTGTACATAATATAATGTATAACATTGCCATCTCATCCTTTCCTAATACAATCACCTGAGCACAACAATTATGTTGTGTTTTTTTTTTTTCCCATTCTTTCCTTGTTAGAAAATCTTTTAAAATAATAAAAATTAAAGCTTTATTGAAGCTTTATATTTGAGGCATTTGAATACATTTCTAAAGTAAAGTAAAAAAAAAAAAAAAAAAAAAAAAAGTTATGGGTTAGGGTTATTTCAGTGGGGATTTAAAAAAATAAATTAATTTATATTGTGCAAAAAAAGGATAAATAAATATTGTAAGGAAACAAATATAACTAGAAAAGAAAAATGCTAGAAACTTCTTTTATTGGACTCTTTCTGTGTCCATCCTTGACATACCTGTCAACGTTCTCAACATCACTGTTGTGAGGTTGTGTGTAGGAGAAGGGAAACCAGCCTTTTCTGTAAAATATGGTAAAGACAGATTATTATCAAAACAAAATTAGTGCTACCATTCACAGCGTTCTGTCTGCAAAGGAAGTTCCTCACAAATAAATAGTCATTTGTGAAATTATTTGAATGTTTCTACATGAAAATCTGCAGCTTTGCTTCAAGTGCGGCTTGAAGTGTAGATGCAGAGGTTACGGTTTTCATACAGGTGTACTTAATAGTCCAGGAAGTACTGTAGTCTAGCATTGTCAACATTTTGTTTCACTTAACAATTAACAATTAACAAAATTACCCTAATATTCTGGGTAATTTGAAAAGAAAATTCAACTCTTTCTTTTAATGTATTGTTCTTCATCAGTGTTTATAGCATTACCTTCACTTTTTCATTGACAGTTTGAGTTTGATTTCTGGGCACATGCAAAATTTACAAAATTTGGGAAATGCATGAAGTCAGTATTTTATTTGAGTACATTTTGAGTGTATTTCAATAATAAATTCCGGATTTGAACATGTAGGTTTAGTCAAGAGAAAAGTTATTAATATATAAGATAGAGCTAATCGTCAAAATATACTGAAGTCAAGATGAACAGTGAAGCCCTAAATAACTCAACATTGTGTTAATACGTATGTTAGACACAGATCAGGGTTTTCACAGGTAATTCTGATGATTCTTTCATAAGAATTGAACATCTTGACATCCATATGATTCTATAACATGCAATAATGAGGTTTCAAATGTTCTAAATAATTACTATATCACTATGTAGCACCATGTGTCTTCTGTAATATGTGAGAGTGCAGCTCTACCGTCCAGTGCGGTCGTTTTGCCCATAGTGCCAGCCATCTCTGGGCTCAGAGATCAGCAGTGTTATGTTGTCTCCGGGCAAAAAGGGCAGCAGACAAACCCCTCCGCTGACCCCGGCCTGAGACTCTGGGGTGTGAGCGAACAGGGCTTCCACATGAGTCGGGCCTAAGAGAGGCAGGAGGCGAGGGAGAGTGGAGCCTGTAACACACAGGGACAACTTTTGATTTAAAAATGAATTCATTTCATTACAATACTGCATGTAATTTCTCTGGTGGATAAAATGGAACACATTTGGGTGAATACAATGTCCAAACAAATATTTAACCTTTGTTCTGTGGTAAATGAATACACCTTGGCCCCAAACATAGTCATCGCTTAGCCTGGTTAATTTAGAATAGAAAGGGGGTTACGGAAGACCCAGTTTAGTCATCTGTATGTTGCAGCACCCATCTTTGGGTTAGGTAGCTCATTGATCCAGTCCTAATATTCTTAGACCCCATGGAAAGCCTGTGTATAAATCATTGCATGATTTACCCTGAAATCCGCTGTGCCTGCTCTCTGCCCCGGGGCGTCTGGGCAGAGGCAGTGTGGAAGTAGCAGACATCTCCACCCCCTTCAGGAGCCAGGGGACGTGATGTGAAGACGGGAGGCCAGCCCCGGGACCCTGCTGCACTGGGGTCATGGATCTGGACAGAGGCGCACTGTGAGGCAGAGGAGGGCTGTGTGGAGCACTGTGTGGGATGGGTAGAGTCACCCCCTGAGCAGAGCCTGAGGTCACCTGGCTCAGGGGCATCACCGTAGACGGGATCAGGCAGGGGGACAGGAGGGACGTGTTTGTGGGTAGGAGCTGCCCTGAACCACTAGAGCTGAGAGCAGACAGAGCAGGGCTCGCACCGCCTGAGGAAGTCACAGTCAAAGACACAGTACATTAGTTCATATCATATATGTATTACTTTTTGCTCTTAAACATGATCAATCCAACAAACTTTCTTGTTTGTGATACGAGTCAATACTATTTACACTGCATTGCCCCCATTTGTTAATTCTACATTTGACGCCATTGTGTCATAGGACAACCTTAGCAAGAGAATTTAGTCTGCTGTGCATTTTCGGTCTACATGGCACATATTCTTTTTTGGTCATGATCCGGCCCCTAACCCTAACCCTGCACAAGTAAATGTTGACGCTTCATGGGCCCCACCTTCAGAGAGGGGAGTGCTGCAGTGCTGTGGAGATGCTCCAGTTGATGAGCCCCCTGTTACTCCTCCAGAGTCAGAGGAAGAGTGAGCCATTTGGGGAGAGTCATGGGTCATAGAGGGCTCACTGTGGGAGGCAACAGAGTGATGCTGCTGCTGATGTAGCTGCTGCTGCTGCGGAGGTCGCCCCGAGTCCCCATTCTGCAGAGGTGGCACCTCCTGAACTGACAGCCTCTGGAAACATGCAGAAGATCATGAAATATTGTGAGATTTTATAACACTTTAAGCAACTTTTGTTAAAGTTAAACTCATCATTCTATCAATGTGCAGAAGCCAGTACTTTTCCCTTGTTTTGTCTATCTGAAGGCCAAGCTACATGGCACTGTGGAAGCTGCTGATTGGAGGACTCCATGCCTCCGCTCTGTATAATACACTTGCATTCTGTTGTTTGTGTTGTTCGTGCTGTCTCTACCATCGACAATAAAACATGTCTTCTGTCTGAATTAAAGACGCGATCCCAGACTTTGTCATCTTCTTCAATATAATGGTGTTTGTGAAATGTAAGTCTCATTTCAGTTCATCGACAATAAACCACCTGAAAGTATAGACCTACTCACATATGTCATGACTTGAGAAACAGATGCTACAAAATGATAACTGGTCTAGAATTAACTGCATTAGGCTGCACAGTGTGACATCTTCTACTGGGTATACTTGTGCTAACACTGCAGACCTTAGCCATACGTGAACTCTGGTCAATTATAATTTACCTATTAGTACGAAATGAAATGAGCATGATTGTATGGTAAGACCAGGCTACACAGACCTGGTCAGGGCCTGGTTTGTTATGTCTCAGTGCGTCTGCAGAGCTCTGAGGGGCCGTGTGCCGCAGCAGGTTCAGGGCTCGCTCGGGGAGTTTGGTCGGCTGAGAACAGGACTGTTGCCACGATGACAACTTCTGAGCCAGGAGCTCCTTCACCTGATCACAGAGAGGCAATACACACATTTCAGTTATGGTGTTTCACCAAATGAAGAACTGCAATTGATCTCAAAACCTTTTACCCAAAGTTAAAACTAATGTGGCCTTCAGAACCCCACTAAAAATCATCTGCAATTACAGATCTAAATTTTTGTAAATGTCCGTTGTGTATAGGAATAAGCCAAAGGCCAACAAAAAGGTGGGATTATGTACTAGAACTAGATCCCACACTCCACCAGAAGGAACATTTTGAAAGTTTAAGTAAATCATATGTTAATCACAAATCTATTAGTATACTTCCTTGCATAATGTAATTTACTATGTGTACCTTTGAGTGATAGTTGATGAGTATTTTTGTGACAGAGCACTGTCTGTCCACCAGGAAGCAGTATCGCCTCCTCTCCTCAGTCAGAGCAGACTTGTAACCAGTGGCAACCAGAGAGTCCAGCTCCCCTTGGCGTCGGCTCATCAGCTCTACAAACTGAAAACAGACGTCAATGTGGAAAAGTGTGGCTTCCAAGCAAAAATCCCAAGGAGTAAAATGACTTCAATTAGGATGACAATCTAGGTCTATATTATCGTCCTGATTGAAGTCATTTTACTTCTGTATGTTTGGGTTGTAGATTATCTAGCTGAAAATTTTTAATTTAAAATAGAAAAATTATAATTGCCAGCCCCAAAGTCATGTGTATGGACAGGGAAGATTATGCATAAAGATGAAGTGCTCTTTGAGGACAGCTAACTTTTGGTGAATAATGGCCGTTTTTTTCCCTATAGCTTAAGGCCGTTCGACGCTTTGTAGCTGTTGGTTAACTGTGTGTTCAAGCTTTGAGCCATGTGACTATGTTCATCTGAATGTATGGGCTCTGCTTTGGTGGTTGCAGTTGTTGTGGGATATTCCATGTTTTCCATGTTATTTTCATAAAATTAAGTAATTGTGTCTAAGTATGAATCGCGTGGTGAGTGAATGTGTGGCCCCTTGAGTTCTGACAGTGAACACTTTGATGTCCTGAAAGCTGCCTACAGTATATAAAAACTTGCTTGTTTGACCCTTTTTTTTAAAACTAATAGTCACAATAAACAAATCTGTAAAAAAAAAGTTGCACATGTTTTTTCTTTGTCATAACTACTTAACACAAGTGATCCAGCCATTTGAACATCTTTGTCAAAACGTGTCTTTGCAGCAGTTCACAAAGTTCATGCTGTGCTGCACAATGCCCTGACCTTTCCTTTGAGACACGTGATTTACTATTGATCTAATTGAAAACACAGAGGTTATTTATTTGGAGTTATACGCTTGTTTGAACGCAGCTGAAATCCATTCAACTTCTTACAAGATTGATATTTCTGTGAATGAACATGTACCATTCTGTAGTCACGCGTTCTTTGCTAAAGTAATCTGTCCGATTTAACCAGCCCTATAATCTTCTCTGTAAATAATGTAATTGTAAAAATAACGAGAGGCATAAAGCATAATATTTAAGGTTTTCAAAGCTTGTTACTGATTAGTACTGATCACGCAAATTGACCACTGTGTATTTGTCATTTATGAAATTACATGTTTTGATAAAAGGATTTAGTGCTTTTAATGAGACCCAATGACACTTTATATGAGTTTTGTTCACTCCATATACAGTGAAGATAAACTGCTATTGTAATCACAGCAGCCATGGGGCAGATTGACAGAAGCGAGGCAACCAGTCTGTGCCATCAGCCCCTACGACCACCACCAGAATTCTCGCACACACCATACTCATACTGGCTATGTGGGTGAAGTGTCTTGCATAAGGGCACAATAGTTTGGCACTTTACAAAGGTCTCCCATCACAGTACTAACCTGGCCCTGTCCTGCTTTGCTTCTGATGTCTACTGATGGTATTACTGCAGAATTTACACATGGCAGTCAATAGATTTTACCTTATGAAATGTCATTCTGTTCAGTAGTATGTGAAAGTTATGTCACTAATGTCCCCTGGATTTTTGAGGCGATTGAAGTGATTGTGGAAGAGACTGTACCTTCAAATCAAGTCTAAACACAGGTGAAAGTCATACGAAATGAATAAATCAATAATAATAATAATTGGGGTGAAGTTACCTGCATCTCCCGGTCTCCGTACTTGTTCGGGTGTCGACTAGCTTGGCTTTTCCTGCGGAGTTTCTTCAGCTGAGACTGACAACGTTCAATAGACTCGGACTTGGACCGGCGCTCCCCCTGGTACTTCTTCAACGTGGCCTGAAAAAGCAGGGATGTAAACAAATCAATAGGTTTTTAAGTTATATCAGGTTTGCAGATTATTATTAGTGATTTTTTCCAGACGCATTTTTTTATATATTTTGGAAAAAAGTCCTTAAACCCTAAAAGTAGTCAAGTTATCATGTGTTTTCAAATAATAATGGAATTGACCAAATGCCTATAGTCTCCAAAAATTAATGAAACCTTATTTGGGGCGGACCAATAAACAAAAAACCAATGGGATTCCTTAACCCCCCCTCACCCTCTTACTGTTTCTCGCAAGTGTGCGCACCTGAGTTATCGGATTATTTTCTAAAACCTAAAACGACTGAACAGAAAATGCCAATTTCATGTTTGCCACCCACTTTCCCTGTTGTGACAAAGAAAATAAAATGCTGGATGTTTGGTTTAGTGGAGAGGGGGGAGGGGAGGGGGGAGCTGGTGCTACGGCTAAGCTAACAAAATCGCTTACTGCATCTTTAATAGGATCTTTAAAGCAAAAAATAAATAAACAAAGCATTGATTTCAGGAAAAGCTGATTTAAATGTCTTTATTAACATTTAAAGGTGCAGTGAGCGATATTGTTAGCTTAGCCTCCCCTCGCCTCCCACCAAACCAAACATCCAGCATTTTATTTTCTTTGTCACAACAGGGAAAATGGGGGGCATGTTCTCATAATTCTATTGAAAGGGAGCAGTCAAAATGACAACTCTGGGAGTTCTAGTTGTTTCAGAATTCAGGGCGTCCTAGCGTGAAGTGAACTTACAGTGAGGTATTTGATGTCCAGCTCCAGCTTCTGCTCCAGTTGAGCAAGTAGTTCAGAGTGAAACAGCTTCAACTGTTGCAAATGAGAATGCATTATGCAATCATAATACTCAACATCAAACCCCTGTTAACATCATCAAGTGCTAATACAACTTTCAGGGGGATACATCTTTGCCATTGTACTCTATTAGAATTACATGGAAAAAACTCACCACATCTTCCAGCTGCACTTGGATCTGTCTGTGGACCTCGGCCATTTGGAACAATGTGTCACCTGTGAAAGAGATTAAAGTTTAATTTCTATGAACTGACACATTGTAACTTTTGTTTTTACAGCAAACACAACTTTGAAGTCTAAAGTTTAAAGAGAATATATTGAGAAGTTGGATTAATAATAATATTGCATCGGTTTTATATAGTACGTTTCAGGACACTCAAAGACGCTTCACATGTCATTATTCTTTCATACACAATGGTGATAAGCTACTACTTCAGCCACAGCTGCCCTGGGGCACACTGACAGAAGCAAGGCAACCAGTATGTGCCGTCGGCCCCTCTGACCACCACCAGCCATTCACTCACACACCAGACTCATTCTAGGCAATGTGGGTGAAGTGTCTTGCTTAGGGACACCACAACAGTTTGGCACTTTCCAGCCGCAGCCGCCCCACTGAGGCACCTGGTGTTCCCAGTGGTCTCCCATCTCAGTACTACCCAGGCCCTGTCTTGCACAGCATCAGAGGTCAGACAGGATCTGGCTTTTGCATGCAAGTATGACCATTAATTATGCAACAACAGGAGAGCAAAGAGGGTACAACATTCTGTCCCAGTGGAAATGACGGCCTCCATCTTGTGTTATATGAGCAGTGGAATTCAGAAGGTAAATATTACTGCTTAAAAACAGAGAGATTTAAATGTGAAAGTCATATTTTGCCTTGTCATTATTTTTTAGAATCGATAGTTAATAGTTATTACAGTATATAGTTCTGATACCAGCTTTATATCTCTCAATGCTCTATACTTTTGACAACCATGGCATTTTAGACTAGATCCATGCTCCATGTTCAAACCGTTCTCTCAGCTCTTAACCAGCCCTCACTCGGACAGAGCTGCATGTTTGTGGTCACAGCACATGCACTGGTCAGACTGTGGCCCTCTTGCTCCGCTGCCACCCCCGCTGTTTGCAGCATTTCAATGAGATCATGTGGTGTTGTTAATCTCTCAACAATGACCCTACTCACTGCACTTCCCTCTGCTCACTTTCTCCAGCCACATTTGTCCTTGTTGTCTTCATCTCTGGCACGTTTGTCATCTTCTTCACAGCTGCCAGAGTTCTTAAATCTTCAGCTCATAACCATAACTAACAGCATATGCTCATAATTGTCTTTTTATTCATGTCTGCTGGGTGAGCCAATTCCTGCCAAAGTTCCTCAAGTCTATTTCAGTGGTCCCTCGATTCAACTTTCACCTTTTTACAGCTTGCTTTTTATGCGTTGTGTGTATACTCCAACAACAACATATACATAATCATATAACCCGGGTTAGTATAACATGCCAAAACCTTTGTGGCAGCATGGGGATTAGTTCAGAGGACTACCCCGGTCCTGTTGAAGCCCTCAGTTCTGCTCCTGCCCCTCTGGGTTAGGGTTAGGGCTAGGGTGTCCTCTGCAACTATATTTTACAATGTATGCACGGATTTTGACAGCTGCAGCAGTGCTCCGACCTACAATGAACCGGTTTGATATCTCTGAATTCACACTACAGCAGTCGTGAATTCAGGTGGTTGGAAATGTATATAAAGTGTGCAGTGAGGGGTTTTACAGCCTTAAAACATATAGTTGCTACTTTGAGGATTTCAAGGGACCCCTGGTTTGTCTGTTAGAGCTAACAAATTAAACTGTATGTGCAAAGTTCTAATGGTCTGGATTTTTAAAGACTGCCTTGCATGCGTTCATTTAATGTAGCGTTTTTCCAGCATTACCACTGTTCATTCTTTGTTGTTTCACTACAAGTACAGTAAGTGTTATTTCATTTCAATGACCACAAATTGAATCTACTGCGCTGGTGGATTTTTGTGTCAACTTCATGGAACTGGCATAATGAAACAACCTGTTATAGATAAAGAAGCACTGAACCTTTGATTCAAAGCATAAACTCACCCAGCTCTTTAGAGCCTTGGCTGTCGCTGGCCAGCTCCCCGAGTTTAACCAAAGCATCAAAGTATCCCTTCGCAGCTACAGTCACTCCTGCAGAACAAAACAGTCTGACATGAGAAACCAGCGACTCACTTCCAGGTAAACAAAAGAGAATATATGCACTCGAGAGCCAATTTCTCTCAAATTAAATTATACTAGTCTTTTTGTGTGTACAGCATTGTTTACTCATGAATACGTGATGTTGAAATTGTCAATAAAGTCTTTAAATTCACAGGATATGTTACACAATGGAAATGAACCACTTATGTAATTCATTATTATCCACTTCACCGAATGGACATGCTGGTCCAGGAATATTCCACAATAAAGCAATAAACCAAACATTCTCTCATGGTCTGGATTCTATGATTTTGGTATGCCCTGTGCTCTTTCCCTCTTGTTGTCAGTCCATTGTGTTACAGTCTGCGTTCCTTGTGTGCACTTTAGTTCTGTCTGTGTTTTTGTTAAATCAAAAAATGTATACAAGTTTTTCATTTTAAATTGTGAAATGTTCAAGACAGAGTTTGAACTATGGAACCATTCACACAGAAACGAGAAACAAAAACATTTTTTCAGATTAAAGTTGAAAACTCCATCAGAGACGTTACATTCTTCAGGTTCCAGGTTATTAGTAAGTAAGAAAGTAATCTTTATTTATATAGCGCATTTTTCCAGACCAAGGTTATTACCGGGTTGTGTGTAACAAACCTGTGAGAGCTTTCTCGTAGTGTTTCCCCATGATCACAAAGTTCTTTAAACTAGGATTGAATTGTTCTAAAATCCCCTGTGGGCAAAAACACACAATTATAAGGTTAAAAAACATACAAAACATACGGTTAGGAAATAACTATGGTTCTATGCTGCTCTTCTGGACTCGTTATAGCAGCGATGTCCAAACTGTTTAGAAGGAGGGCCACTTTAGTTAACCGGACTTGTCTAGAATTTGAAAACTTGGATTGTAAACACTTTTTTTCATATTGATTCATGTTTGACTGAGCTGAAGATGGTTGAAAATACGACAAAAGCATAAAGATCATAATGAACAACAGTGTAATAAGAAATAATCAGGGTCAGTTATGTTCAGAGTGTGCAATAATTCTTTAAAAACTTTTGTTTTAACCACTGCCAGGTAGTTTGGTAGTGAGTTAGCAACATAACTCAAAGTTACTGGCAGATTTTGACTACATTTTCAGTAAGTCTCAGAAATGGGACAACAAACATTTCCAAATTGCTCCTTATCTGGATTATGATCTGGATCCAGGGTTTTTTTAAGAAATGGAACAGTGCCTCTTGGCATAGGTCTGTGCTCAACTAGTGCTTTTTTTCTTCTACGAATCTGTTAGTTTATTTAGGAAAGTCAAGATATAGTTATGAAGTAAGTTTAGAAACACCATTCCTGTAATAGGCAATGGGACACAGCCTATAGTAGAGGCTCATGAGAGCAAATGAAAAGCAGTGTACCTTATAGACATTCTCAGTCATCTTGTTCACCTCTTCAGTCCGAGACATACTTCCTTCTTTCTTATACTCCCAAATGTGGCTCAAAATATTCTGCAGACAAGTTCACGAGGCTACGATTTATAGTTGTCAGAAACCTAGAAAGAGACAGAAAACACATTTGTTGAGGCAGAACTCAAGATAAAAAAAATCATTCAATTTAGTGTTCTAAGATATGTTTGCAACAACAAACAGCAAATTCACATAAAAGTCTTATTTGTCTTTCACTTTTCCAAGAATGTTCATTTTATCTGTTATAGTGACTTTTTAGTGCTTAAGATCTTATTGAAAGACAACTACTTACATCTCAGCCAGATTTGCATCAACAAGTCAAATGTACCAATATACCAAAATAAGTATTAGGTTTAGGCTGAAATCCCAAGTTCACGGAAAAATACAGTCAAAATAAACATCATTTTAAAGAGGAGTGGATTTTGTTCCCAGAGAATTTCCCGTCTGGATCTGTGGCCAAAAATGTGCTGCACTTCTCAGACTTGTGTGTTTTGACAATGAGATAGAGAGAAAATGTTGCCCCGGATCTTCTAATCGAATGTGACATAATGAAAACAGCTTCAGATTCCTGCTCATTCACACCGAGCGGCTGCAGTTTGTCAGCTGTCACAGGAAGCTCTGAGTGAAAAGACAACACTTCAATGTTTTAGAGGAAGAAAAGATTCGTCTTAGTTTTGATTGTAACTTTAGAGTGGCAAAGTTCACACCATATAGTCTGAATGCACTCTTGTTCTCGTTGGGTCCTGGTTTAAAGCTGGGGTACTTTCAGACCACACAAATGTAATTCATTTGAAATCAATATAAATAGATCCTTCCTCACCCTCAAAATAGTTTGGTTTTATCACTAGTTTTCTATGAATGTATTTTTGGCCTTTGTCTTTAGATCATTCCTCTGTTCATATTTCATTCATCCATCCATTTTCTTCCCCTTAATCCTTTTCTGGGTCGGGTAGGTGGCAGTCAGAGCACCTCAGGCAAAGTGGGGTTAAATGTCTTGCTCAAGGACACAACGACAGCAGACATCAGTGGGAGTCATGAAGTAGGCCTCGTGGTGGGCTCAAACACACAACCTTCAGGCTCAAAGGCCGAGCCACTGTCGCCCCTATTCATTCATCTGTTCTGATAATTCACTGCTCACTTAACTTCCTGCTATTATTATTATTATTTGTAATTATTCTGGTCTTATTCTCTGTTGCTAAAGTACAATACCAACCATCTGTAAATGTGAAACCTCATTACTGCTGACGGCAGAGTACTGTTTACTCCACAAGTGTACTTACACTTGGCCCAAGTGCATTTAGCACCAGAGTTTATTATCTCATGATTCTATTATTTTATTATCTATTATCTTAAATAATAGATCTGGTTGGATGTGTGTATAACCTGAGTGCTCTTTTTTCTCCTTGTATTATGCTGTAATATGCACAACTACAAAAGTGAAATTTCCCCACTGATGGATGAATATCTCATCTTTCAGACAGAAAAGTGAAAAAGAGAGGACCACTCTCACTCTCACTCACGCCAATCAGCTCTCAGTCCTAATATGCAAAAAATAACATGTTTTCTAATAAGATAAAGACATGTGTTGTGGTCTCATTTGTTCACAACATTTGACTTTGAAAAGACTGTTTCTGTTTTGACAAACAACATGTACTATTTGTGAAAAATTAAAGTTACTCCAGCTCCGTAGATGAAGACTTGGTTTGACTTGGGTTTAGTTCTGGTTTATCCCTTAGGTCAGGATTGGTTTTGAGTTCAATGATAAATCGGATTACATATACAAGTCTTGTGTCATTGTGTTTGAGCCAAGCAACATGACAGGCTTCCTAATGAGAAAAGATGACATATTTGTGTGATTTTGTGTTGTAATAAATCAGCTTTACTTTACAGACTGCAGAGCCAAAGATATCAATGTGCTTACAATTGAATAGCGAGTCTAAACTGTAACAACACATATTTAGAATAAAACAACATAGAGAAAACAAATCTATAGCTAATACACTTATGTCTCTTTCCACAGATTTATAGATGCAGTTTATTACAGCCTCAAAAGAGCACATCCTGCAGGTGCCAACACTATGGTGCCAACACAGCAAATACATTCCAGGCGTTGTTTTGTTTCACTCAATTTGTATACAACTTCAAACATCCAAAAATACACACAAGCCAACAAGGATACAGACAGAGAAGTTATGACCACCAGAAGTTCAGAACACACGGTATAGAGACAGATTTGGGACTGCATCTATGGCTCCTACTGTGAAACAGTTCACATCTCTAAACATCTATACAAAAATTCAGAATTAAATAAAGTTACTTACCTTTTTTGACCTCATTGTAGAAGGCTATAAAGACTTCCTGCGCGTCTCTTGTGAGTTAAATGAGCAGTACAATACGTCTTTCTTGGGCTACACTTTCCCTCTCCGTTAGTTGGTTAGTTAGTGGGGGGTTGCTTCATTGCGCACTAAATCTTCGCACTCCCCCCACCCCTTTTTCACATGGCCCTTTCCCTTTTTTTCTCCAAACTTTGCACCCAGGAATTGAGGTCAAATAGTTGGTGCCACTCGGAGCTACCTCTCTTCATCATTACTGAGCCGGATTATCTACATGCCATCGAGAGAAGGAGCAGAAATGCGGCCATCCCGAGCGCGTTTTCTCCTTGTCCAGTCCCCGGTCCACGCACCAGGCTCCCAGCTCCAGGCTCCCAGCTCCAGGCTCCCAGCTCCAGGCTCCCAGCTCCAGGCTCCCAGCTCCAGGCTCCCAGCTCCAGGCTCCCAGCTCCAGGCTCCTGGCTCAGAGGCTTGGCTCTCTGCCTTCGCCTCTGCGGCCTCTCTCTCACTCGCCTGGGCAGAATAACAATGAGGAGATGGAGCACAGTTGAGTTCAATGGGCAAATGAAAAGAGTGTACTCATGACTTGAACTTTAAGACAGGATATATGCACGTGCAATGAAACAAAAAAAAGTGGTTTACAAAATACACCATAAAATAAGCTAAACACTGTCTATTCACAAGACTAGGAAACATAACTTGATTGTGAATAGTTCAGTAAAAATGAACTGTATTAAATAGACTTCTTTTAACTTGGAATGAAAATTTTAAAGCTGGGGTACGTAACTTTTGTTAGAGGAATAATACATTGTGTTTGTCTCAAAAGATAGAGTCTTGTAAAACAGAAAGCAACAGATTTTCGTATTAGAAAAAAATTCTGTGAGTGAGTCACTCGTTGACACTTTGGGCCTAAGATCTGATTGGTTAAGCAAGAGTAGGCCTCTCTTTTGAACTTTTACGTTTGAAAAAGCTGATCTAAACATGTGAAATAGTCCAAAAAATACATGATGGTGAAAACCAAACCGTTTCAAGAGCGAGGAACTATTTAGGTTATATTTTTTGTACTTTTCGAAAGATAGGTATCCCAACTTTATAAAGTTCCAAATGCTCCAAATTGTGATCCAGATGTCATAACTTCTTAAAAGAACAAATTCCCTCAAACAGTATTTTTTCTCTTGCAGGTTAACCTTTTCTGTTGGCAGGGTAGTTGGCATCTCTCTGGCCCACATACATCCATCCCATGGTGCATTCTTGGTCCCCATTTTCTCACACAGGGCACACACTGGAGGAGGGGCCCCGGGGAGCGCAGGGCTTTTCAACAGACTGCAACAAACTGGGAAATGATGAAAGAAACAATGGCGCACGAGACTCGCGTGATTTATAGATGTGACTCAGAGTTAAGAATCTATAGGAACTAACGACGAGAGTGGAAACGTGTAGATTCCATTTAAGAATCTACACATTATGTACATGCTGTGTCTTGGTAATCTGTTTTGAAGTATCGATTATGTATTTCCAAGGAATAAGGAGAGTATAGCCTGACCAGCCACTTTAGTGCACCAAATGGTTCTCTCCACCAGAGGGCGGTGTTGTCTCGGACACTTAGATCAGACGCTCAAACTTGAACTCTGCTTGATCACAATCGACCCATGCTTTCGGATACGGCATCTTTTTCACTTTGACGTCAACATTATTTAAGTTACATATATTGTTAGGGCCTAAGCACTCCACTTGTGTTCAAACAGAAGTGGTCCTGTTGCTGAGGGAGAGAGGTCGGTTTGGGGCCTTCTCATATTCGACAGTCCAGCAAACACAGGTTTGAAGATCCTTGTTCACAGAGCAGCAGTCAGCAGTGCAATTCCGGGACAGAAGAGAACTACACAGTCCATTAAAAAATGGCATTTTCAAAACTGTACGAAAGTGCTCTGATCACGGGCGCATGGCTTTTTAATGTTCAGCCAGACCAGAGAACGGCATGATTCAACAAACTTCAGACATTTTTTTGGATCAAACTTCCTCACACAGGGGGCATATGCTATATATAATTCGTGTTTCTTTGAACTAATCATTACCACACAAAAAAGGGTCCTCTTTGTTTAAAAATCCTCCCATGGATTTCCTATCAGATGCTCTGGAATCCTGCTTGCACAATGATATAAGACAGGTCTAGACCGCAGCGTCAGGTGCAGCAGCCGCTGCCCAGATCCAGGACATTGGACTAATTGGCTTCATTAATTCCTGGTCTCTTCCAGTTTATCTCAAGAGGCTCAAGGTGAACGGCAGATGGTCGTGTTTAGGTCAACTGCAACCACGGACACTGAGATGCAGCATTTGTTTTGACCACAGATTTATATTATCCTCATCAACAATTAAGAAGTTTGAAACAATACAGGAAAATACATACATCAATTGATTTAAAGCTGAGATACCTAAGTTGTGTTTGTGTGAATTCTAATGAAGTAATCTATTTTATAGATTCAGACAATATTTTCTTTGTTAATATTTCATTTCTGGTGAGGAGACAACAGCAGAAGACCATGGAGCGAATTTCTTAGACTCAACTTAAAATCTGACATAGTTGTCCCTAGTTTTAATAAAGTGACAGTTACCATAGTGTGAGGGTTAAACGGAAAAAGCTTCTGACAATTAACTATTGATAGGAAAATAGATAGTTATGGAATGATTAGTATGAGATAACACATATTTCTTGCTGAATACATGTTAAATGGTCAGATAATTGCTTTTCTCGTTTTTGAAAGTGGGATTCCATTTTAGAACCCAGCATTACTTGTATATGTACTGTATATTTTGTTAAAGATGTTCTTTAACTGTTACTTGACCGATGAAGCTACAAATATTATTTAGCTGTGATTCTGTCCCATCATAAACTCATGGTGTAGAATAGAAAAGGCTCAAATAAGCACAGCTTCTGCCTATTCATTTTTGGTTGCAATCAATTATTTCAAACTGTAACTTTGTTTATGTGATGTACAAAATAAATAAATAAATCAAGCATTAACTTATGTAAAAAAATTCTTGGATTGAGATTTAGAGCGGAAGAGGGAGAGACACATGAGGAGGACAGAGGAGTGGATTGAGACAGGCTTAAATCTGGCTGATCAGACGCTGCTGCTGCACTCACCACAGCTCCACGCTCTGGTAAGGCTCTTTGCATTTCTGTATTAGAACTTACAAGCTGAATAAATAGTTCAACTGCTTTTTATTTAGAATCCAGATGATCAGATTTAATTTCATTTCATTTACTACAATGTAAAGCAAGTTTAATTTTATCGGACAGGTTTTATCAGGTTTTCAAAACTAGAAAGGAAATATTCAAATCAAGGTGCATAATTACCACAACTCATTTAATTTTGTAAAAAGTAACAGAATCTTCTAAACAGCTTCTGCTCATGTAGAATGTTAGAAGAATTGCTAATTACAGCAACAGTCTGTAAGGTATACATGTAAAGTTCTGTTCCATCTTTCCACCTTGTTTTGTTCGTCGCCATGATCCGTAGTATGACATTAAGTTTCTATGTTACACAGTTAGAGCGGCTTTTTACTTAAAAACCTATCATTAAAGTAACACCAGTGAGCAACATTACTTCATTACAATGACATGATTATTATATCCAAATGGGATTTTGTCCGCACTCTCTCAGTTGTCAGCTTTTAATTTAGCACTAATCAGCCTACTTACTCTGTGTGGACCATATGGCACACCAACATGCACTTCACCAGGACCACGCACTGTTAAAACGGCTCATTATAAATGACTGCATTTCTATCTTGTTCATATTACTGTTTATTCAATTAGCAAGTCAACATGGATGCCCATATTCCAGTGACACATACAGTATATGAAGAGCGTATTGGACCAGTATTATTATATTCGTTTTCTATGACCATACAGGTGAGACTAGGACAGTTAGAATATCATTCAGGAGATAATCTTTTTCTGAAATTCAACTTGTGAATGTGAAACCAATATATGATACAGACTCATTACATGCAAATGGACATATGCCAAGCCTTTGTTTGTTATAATTTAGATGATTATGGTTTACAGCCCATTTACTAAGTATTCTAATCTTTTGAGATGTTTTCATTGGGCTTTCTAAAATCTGAGTATCATCAACATCATCCCCAATAAAGGCTCGATATATCTCCATGCTGAGTTTGTCATATATTAGTTTCACATTCAAATCCACATTTCATGAACAAAAGAGTTTCCAAAGAGCAGGAGAAGGCAGTGAATATAAGGAAACAAGCAAAAAAACCAGTCAAATCAAAATTGAGAAATCAATTAGATGTAAATATTGTTGTTAAATACAGAAGTAAATGGACTTTTGATCGATATTCCTTTCATGTGGTGTTTATGTATCTGCTAAAACTATGTCATAATCATTGAAAAGGGTTTCTACTTTTATATTAAGATATATTTAAGACACGTTATATAGACAAATGATAAGCAAAGACACTTTAATGGAATCCCACTGTCCATCAAACATTATTATATTGTATAGTGTGCGTGTGTGTGTGTGTGTGTGTGTACGGTATGTGTTTGTGTGAGTGTGTGGATTAGCTTTACACTTGAGAATTGAAGTAAATAAGCTCTTTTATCAGCAGCCGGCCACCACAGCGCTGTAATTAGGTTAATAGTGTGACCTGTAGACCTTAATAAACTTAGCACGAACGGTGGAGATTGGTTGCTGCTCCTCCACCATCTGCTTCCTGTTAAGCCCCATCGCACAAGTACGACCTCTGCAAGGACTTAAGGCTTGAGAAGCGGCAAGAATAATAAAAGCAGCAAATGGCTTAATACATGCATTTATAGACCCAACCAGTATTTGGGCCCAGGACACTCCACTTTCAACAACATTTATGGACATTTATGGTCATCAGCCCCTTATGGACCAATACCACTGTTTTCTGTCATTGCATTTCTTGTGTTTGAACTGTTTGAGTCTCTGATCTGTATTGGCAGTGAAAGGTCCTCCGAGATAACTACTGTTGTGATTTTACTGTTGGCTATACAAGAATACATTGAATTGAATCGATATTCTGTGACAATACAAGATCCTGCAAATATTATCAGTACATGCCAGCCGCATATACAAATACAATGCAAATATAATTCACGTGAGCCTGGGCTTCTATACCATCATTAGTTGAATGTGGACTCCTCCTTCTGATTATAATGGCCACGACTTACATCAATTATTCAGTGCAAGTGCGGGTTGTTGACCTGTGCATTTACTTGAAAATTGACAGATTGGTAAGCGAGAGCTGTATGTAGGGTTTTGTGCTGGACGGGTTTTAAAGTTTTTAAAAGTAGTTTCTACTCTCCTAATTACTTTGGTGATGGAGGACTGTTGTTTTGAAACCCATGAATTAATAACAGCCATGAAGAGGATCTGGCTCGCCTGTGTCTGTGTGGCCTCCTTTTGGATGCACTAATGGTCAGACGAGCTGAGAGCTGGGACCAAAACACTATCAAGTGTTAATCCTGCACTGTAACCTTTTGTTTTGTCACTTCTTAAAGCTGAGCATGTGCAGCAGGTGAACATGGCCAAAGGCAGTGATCCACCTCAGTCTGCTCCTCCTTAAGAAGTCGTGTGACCTAAATCTCACTTCATGACAAAAAATACACTTTAGAAAGACTTGTATCTACTATTTTCTTCTCAGCTTTTTGACCTGCTGTTCAGTACTTAGGTCTACTACTTGTGGTTCCTCCAAGGTACTGGTACAAGTTCTTTATTATTAAAGTTGGGGATTGTGTTCAGGCCTGTCACAAAAAGAATTGATGGCCAACATATATTTTCTAAGATATAATGTTATAAATGATCATACTGAAAAGACTTCAGGCCACTGACACACATGAGTACATTTACCTGTATTTGAATATTACCTAGAAAACTATTCTATATTTTAGCTGCATAAATCTGATATGCTGCTTCCCCAGATTTAATCATGCTCTTGTTTTGCAGGGCTTTTCTCATGGAGTAGACGCCAACATCTTTCACCCCACAACAATACAGGCCAACGTTATTCTATGGCGTTTTAGCCCTCATGCAACTCCACCATCTCCTGTGCAGCCATCTCGTCAACGCGGATTACACGTTTGGAAGTGAAGCCAATCTCTTTAGCGCCTGTGAAGAAGGATCATGAAGCTCTCTGCTCCCTGCACGCTTCCACTACGGTTACTTCTACCGCTACTTTGCCTTTCTGCCACCAGGTCGACCAACACACCAGACAACCTCTCAGGGCAGCCCCGTTTCATATGCACCCCTCTCCCGGCAGACGCAGACCCCTCTTGTTTAACAAATAGCAATTCTGGGTCGAAAGAAGCAAGTTCAGGACCAGGGCCTCAATTAAATCACAATCCTGGGTGGTGGGGAGCGAGTGAAGAAGCCAAAACTACAATCCTCCACTTAAGAGAAAGCCTAGTTCAGCAGAAAGAAACCATTTTGGACCAGAGGGAGACTATTAGAGAACTGACCGCCAAACTTGCCCTGTGCGAAGGATTTGGACATAACAACAATAAGGATCATCACCACGGCCTCAACTCCCATCATGCATCAGGGGTTGGCCATCACAGTGACAATGGGCACTATGGTAACCATCACTATGGAAGTTATATCCCGGATTCACCGCAACATCACACAACTGGAGGTACTGCGCGGCATTGTATTTGTAGTTTGGGCCAAATTGCCTTTACTATTGTATTTCTATCAAATGCCTTAAAACAAGTACGGTTGGATACTGTATTTGTCCTCCATCCATCCATCCATTTTCTTCCCCTTAATCCATTTCTGGGTCGGGGGGGTGGCAGTCAGAGCTACATCCAGTCCACAGAGCACCAGCCCCTCACTGATCCTCCTGCAGGTGGTGAGTCCACAGGAGCTGAGATCTTTCAGTGGGAGCTTCAGGCAAAGTGGGGTTAGGTGTCTTGCCCAAGGACACAACGACAGCAGTCATCAGTGGGAGTCGTGAAGTAGGTCTTATGGTGGGCTTGAACCCACGACCTTCAGGCCCAAAGGCCAATGCTCTACCAACTGAGCTACTGTCGCCAGTTCCTAAGATTCCAGGAAATAATAGTATTTATCCTATTATTTAAAAATAATAATAAAGTTAGAGTTATTATCTCTTACAGGCATTGATAAGAGGTCAACATAGGCTGCCATGGGGTGTTATACATCATTTTAAAGCCAATGTTCTCAAGAAAAAAATGCTGCATTGAATTATTTTAAACATTGAATCCAAACCACATTTAGTAATAGTTGAGCTAAATAGGCCTACAATAACGACTTGGTTCAATACAAGCTGAACTGATTTCAGTAAGTAACTTCATAATGTAAAAATTATAAAAATATTCAAAACCGCACAATGCAAGAGAAGAGCCATAAACAAGCTTTTTAACAGTATAGTGACTCGACCGGCTCACATTATAAGAATCCAGCCCCAAACCCAAAAGTTTCTCATTCTCATTCATGATACCAAGCAAAACAACAAAACTAGCAAAGAGAAAAAATGTTCCCTAATCTTATGTAAACTATTAACATGATGAGCAAGCCAATAATACTTAAAATACATTATGATTATATCAGGAAAACTTATACATTTAATAAATTATGCATCTTCACTACTCCCTCAAAAGAAAATACCCTTATATCTAAATTGATGATAAAAATATACAAATAAACGAGATAGAAGAGAAAATTGTTTGCTTAATTTGCATAATGAACATGAATGTTGTTGCAGTGAAGGACAGACACGTGACTGCGGGGGACAGCAGCTCTTCTCCCGAGCACAGCGAGAGGATGCTGCTGGCGCTCAAAGAAAGACTGGAAAATCTGCAGGTGAGTGAAAAACAAACTACTTCCTATTGTCGGTTCCTCTCCCTTTAATCAGATAAAGAGATCAGATTACTTAAGCAGCTTGCAACAAAAGGACAATCAATTACTTAATCCCCGTCTTGGCATCGAATAAAATAAATAGTCTGAGAGTTCACCGTCATAGTCCAGTCAGGAAATGAAAGAGACGGGAAAGTAACATTTTTTAAAAAATGGGGCGACAGTAGCTCAGTTGGTAGAGCATTGGCCTTAAGCCCAGAAGGTCGTGGGTTCAATTCCCACCTCTGCACCTTCTCCACCGACTCCCACTGATGACTGCTGTCGTTGTGTCCTTGGGCAAGACACTTAACCCCACTTTGCCCAAAGCCCCCACTGAAAGATCAAGGCTATGCTCACACTCAGAGCAGCCGTCCTCCTGTGGACTCACCACCTGCAGAGGGTCAGTGAGGGGCTGGTGCTATGAGACTTGGGTGGCATCTCTGACTGCCACCCCCCTGACCCAGAAATGGATTAAAGGGTAGAAAATGGATGGATGGATGGAGCTATTGTTCACTTAACGTGTGCCGTGTGCTCCTCTTTCCTACTGTTCAATAACTTGTGATGCAACACTGAAATTTCCCTACTGTAGGACGAATAAAGGATCTCTTAATCTTAATCTACAGCAAAATGCATGATACGGCAGCTCTATTTCTTTCTCCACCGACGCTCAGAATTTAACTTTTTTTTTGTCCGCCAATTGAATTGATAGAATGTATAAACCATAGACTGTAAAGTATAAACACAACCATCAAACTCCTGAGAGAGTGAAAGATCAAGATAAAAATGGCATTCTTTCATTTCCAGTCAAATCCAACAGGCAGGGAAGAATCAAGACCAGTTCAAACTCCAAATTCACAAATGTAGTAATAGAGTCAAAATGTTGATGATAGAAACAGATGACGGGGATATTTCAGCTACATTGTTTAAAACAATAACAGCACAAAATAAGAAAGTAAGATTCCAGAAAATGTCTTGGTTTAGTTCTAGCATTGAACAAGCACTTCATATTGTTCCAATAAAACAATATCTATATTATTGTTCTTGAATGGAAGCAAATTCCTGTTTTCCTCTAATCGTCTGCTTTCCTCGGCCATGTTTCAGAAAAGGAACTCCTCGGTGGCGTACTCCAGCTCTCTGAAGGAGCTGCTGCAGAGGAAGATCATCGCTCTGGAGACGCAGCTGCACCACCACACGGGGGCACTGTCTGACCGCCACAGCGACCACCAGGGCGATTACCACAACAACAACGATCACCATGACAACCACCACGATGATCACCATGATAACCACCACAGTGATCACCATGACGACCACCGCGATGATCACCATGACGACCACCATGATGATCACCACGACAACCACGACGATCACCACGACGATCACCACGACGATCACCATGACAATCACCATGACGACCATCACCCTAACAACGAAGCAGACAACGGGTTTGTGTCTCGCACCGCATTCAGACGTCCCGGACCACGTGCCGGATTCCAGGCCAACAAACTGGAGACGATGTTGAACCAGCTCCACCAGACAGGTACAGACACTTATCTCTACATTATACTTACATTATGCTCGGATTTTGATCAAAGTATAACTTCATTTTAACTTTTAACTCATGTAATTGTAATGTCATACAGTTAGCATGTTCAATAAAAACTGTATACATTTTCCCTCTCCTCAGGGTCGAGTAGAGTGAAAAGTCCCGATGCCTTTCTGATCAATTTTCCGATGAGGACAAACTACATGTACGGGCGTGTAAAGAAGACACTGCTGCAGGAGATCTTTGCCTTCACCCTGTGTATGTGGATCAAACCTGGGATGGGTCCAGGCCTGGGCACACCCTTCTCTTATTCTGCACCGGGACAGTCCAACGAGATCGTGCTCATTGAGTGGGGCAACAACCCCATTGAGCTGCTGATTGATGATAAGGTGAGTGAGACTGTTTAATACAGTGCCACATCAAAGTGGTGAAGGGTTAGCTCAATGTTTTAATGTACTTTTACACAAGAGACTGGTGTCATAATCGACTCTACACTTTCAGCCTACTCTTTTTTATGTGTGAACATTATGTTTCTTGCAATCACATTGACAATGTCTGAAATGAACTTAAACTTAGGGGGCCAAACCTGAAAAACGTCACACAACACAGATGCAACCAGAGATATTTGTACAGAGTAGGGCTTTATTACATCTTTTCGTTATATTCTTGCGTAACATCACTTTGCTTCCTTTTGGTGAAATTCATATACAATCATTTAAACACTGGCCTTTACCATTAAGAGATTTAATGGTTGTTCTTCAGTCATTAATCCAAAAAAGCACAATTTAATAAAGACTTTTTTACAGATGAAAAGGATAAGTTTGTCACTTATGATGCCTATAATAATTGTTGACCAGATAAAGCAATCTTCTTTCTGATACAAATGGTGTGTCCGGGTGGTCAGGCTAGAACAACATTCCTCGTTGTGGCTGTTAAACAACCTCTTTAGATATGATCTCTACCACAAAGTCCTTATCCTCTGGTGGGATAGAGACAGGTCAGGTCCAGGGGTAAAGGACAGTGTGGAGAGAGATGGGTAGAGATGGATATTTCTGCACATCCAATAGCAGACATGATCAGATTGCAACTCACTGGTTATAACTTCCCAGAGTTAGCGTTATACCGTCCACACCACCGCCAACGGGCTTTGTCTCTTCTTAAATGAAATAAGGAAGTCAATACCTATGAAGGCTTGAAACTGAACCATGGCATGTTGCACCTCAGTTTAAAGATATTTTAACTAGTAATAATGAATGGAAAAAGACAAGTCTACAATAACCAGTCTTCAAAACAATAGCCATATACTGCAGGATGCTGTGTTTTCCTCTCCTTCTATTTCATTATTTTTGCTTATCTAACACAACAATTAAGTAGCTTTCACTTTGTTCAGAAAATGTGTTTTACAAATATGTTTTTCTAAATTAAATGGTAACTACATAAAATGGAACTGGGAGTCCACAAGAGTCCAATTAGTACATTTGGTAACTAAATCAAATCATCTGGTTTGGAGCATAATAGTTGGTAATTTCTGAAAGCAATAAATCAGGCGTCCACTTTGGCAAATTATTTTTTGTTGAGAAGTAAGTTGGATATTTGTGAAAGTATGTATTAATACAGATTTGGAACAAAAAGGGACTTGATTTTCTTTCTTTGCGGACCACGTCTGTAGCGGTATTTTCAGCAAGCTCTAATGTAAGTCTATAATTGATTGTGTCCTTAGGCCGTGACGCTGCCATTGTCGCTGATCGACGGGAAGTGGCACCACGTGTGTGTGACGTGGAGCACTCGAGACGGGCACTGGGAGGCCTACCAGGACGGCCAACAGAAGGGCTCCGGGGTCGACCTGTCCTCCTGGCACCCCATCAAACCAGGAGGCGTCTTCATCCTGGGACAAGAGCAGGTGAGTTCTGGAGACACCCGAGACACTGCTATCACTGTGTGGATGTGTCCTTGTCCTTTGGCTTGTTCACCCGGTCTGCACATCACATAGAAGCCCCAACGATTTCCACACTGGATTTAACATTTAAACAAGGTTATCTTTCTGTATTACAAGGCAACACAAAGGCTGCAGGATGATTCTTAACCAAATGTGCTCTTGTAAAAATGCATCAAGAAACTTAAAAGGGATCTCCTGAAATGTTGTAGTGCAGTTATGTAACTATTTGGCCAACAAGTAGAGAGGTTTTTATGGTACTGTGAACAAAACAAAAAAAGTGTTCTAACTGAGCCAAACTCATGCTCCCTTTTTGGCAGTAGCCTTCTTCCCCACGGCAGGACATTAAACATATAGTACAGAGTTTTCCTCCCTCCTCTGCAGGACACTCTGGGCGGCCGGTTCGATTCCACTCAGTCCTTCATGGGGGAGATGTCGGAGGTGCACCTGTGGTCCCATGTCCTGAGCTCCGGCGACATCCAGAGCCTCTCCTCCTGCGGCAGCCACCTCCAAGGGGACGTGTTTGCCTGGACAGAGGCCGAGGTGGAGCTGCACGGAGGGGTCACCAGGCATCCCTACGACCCCTGCCATTGACACACCGCTGGGTGCCCTGGACTCTAACCAAGAATCAACATAATATTCTTTTGTTGACTCAGGGCACATTATCTTTCTTTGTATTTTCTGAACAATTGCCTTCCACTCGAGGCTGGACATAAAAGGAGACATGATGGGAACAGATGAGTACATTTGAATCATCAAGTGGGAGAGGGGAGTGGTGTGAGAAATTGTATATTATGATGAACAGAAACACTATTTAGAAAGTCAAGCCCTAAAGTGAAATAACTAGTAATAGAATAAAAATTATAAGAAAGCAACACATGTAATTGCTATTTAGTGTCGGCCAAGTTTAGCATTCCTTATCAAGTTCATGTAGGCAAGATTGTTGCTTTAGATTTTGTTTAAATAATTGCCTAACAATAAATTGGATCCTTCTATTCATTTAAAGGTTTCCATCAAAATACAGCTAACCAACCAAAGAAATTCTTTTGTGCATTGTTTTTACTTTTTTTATTTGATAGATGTTTTGATGTCACCACAGAATAAATGTAATGTTTTAGCTTTTGTAAGGTTTGTCTAAAGACCCAGTGTCATTCATTTTTTTGTATAAATTGTATATTTATGAAATGTATATAAGATTGTTTTTTTTAATAAACATGTATTTTGTCTGAAATAATTTGAACTTGACAAACTCAGCTGCTAACTGGTCTCATTCAATTTAACTTGTCCTTTGTTCCATTGAATAAAATAGGACATACAATTATATGCATATTCAAGAAGAATCAAGTCAAGTGTGAATGACAGTTAATCTACTTGTATCCTTGGACCACATATTAGGCCTCATTTTATCTTGGTTAAAAATATCTCCTAGTATTTTGCCACGAAAAAACATTACAAGAATGACATCATCCAGAGAAAGGAGAGAAAGCAATGTCAAAGGACACAACTCAATCTTTGCTAGAAGGGCAGGTATACATACATATATACAGCACAGACCAAAAGTTTGGACACACCTCATTCAAAGTTTTATTTTCATGATTCTGAAAATTGTAGATTCACACTGAAGGCAACTATGAATCAACTCATGTGGAATTATGTACATACTAAAAAATAAGTATGAAACAACTGAAAATGTCTTATATTCTGGGTTCTTCAAAGTAGCACCTTTTGCTCTGATTACTGCTTTGTAGACTCTTGGCCTTCTCTTGATGAGCTTCAAGAGGACCTGAAATGGTCTTAGTTCCCACAGATGCTTAGCACTTGTTGGCCCTTTCGCCTTCATTCTGTGGTCCAGCCCCAAAACCATCTGGATTGGGTTCAGGTCCGGCGACTGGTCATCTAGTCCAGCACCCACCATTCTCCTTACTGGACAAACAGCCCTTACACAGCCTGGGTGTGAATCTACAGGCAATAGTCATGAAAAGAAAGGGCACCCATTGAATGAGAAAGTGTGTCCAAACTTTTGGTCTGTACTTCGTGTGTGTGTGTGTTATAATTGGTTGAATAAGGGCTTATGCATACTACTGGTGCACTAATGAACACACACTTTTGTACATTAGCTGAGTGGTTAGCACTCTTGCCTCTGAGCAGGGAGCTACGGATTTGGCTCCAGGGCGGCCTTTTAGAGGGGAATTAACATATTCTCCCTGTGCAATCTCATATTAAGTGGAAAGTTATATAGGATCTGAATATCTCTGGCGCCCTCTGCAGGCTATTCCCAGACTAATCACTTAAAAAGGCCAAGGTAAACTCACAGTTCTGGTTCAACTTTATTAGTTAGACAATGAAAACTGGCATCAATTAATCATGGTTTTACTTCTGCTACATTTACAGATGACCTCCCCGTCTTCTCCTCACAGTCAGTACAAATAAATACAAAATAATAAAGCCATTTTCTGGGGTCCAAGAAGTGAGAAAAAAAAGCCCAGTGCAGATATATCAATGCTAGTGTTTTTACGGTTACACATAATCCGTGGAAATTGTTGAAGTGTTGGCCACTTTGCACACGATCACACAAGACCACACTGTTAAAAGTAACATCTAGCATGGGTTGAATTGACAATATTCTCCTCTATATCGATCTACTAATGTTTAGGACCAATACCATTTAACTAGCTTCATGTTTCAGCCTTCAAGAAGAACTGAGAGGAATTCAGAACCATTTACATGAAACTAGTCAAATTGGTTTAACAAATACACACATCCAAACCAGTCAAGTATTTTAAGTGGTCTAGATATATATTTTAGCAGTGAATAAATTAAAGGCAAGTGGAATATCAATTTTACAGATGAGATTAAAAAGGCATTTTCTTTAGGTCCATATGTATCGATGGTTTTGTCCGAGGTCTCGCAGCGATACTTCTTCAGGCTCAGGCAACACAATTCGTCTGGTTACAACAGATACATTATTTGCAAAGAAGGGAGATTCTACATGAGTTATAATTACTTCAGAATCAATCATTGTTTTGTGTTACATCAACATTTAAAAAAAAAGGACAAGTTGTAAAAAGTCTCAATTCAAGAACTTTTTCAGTGAAAGAGGGCGAAAAATACATGTTTAGGGAGTATTAGTACTTTTGGGTATGAAAATTAGGTTTTACAGCTTTAATTTAGTTTTGGGAAATGTACGCTTAACGGGTATTGACAGAACAAATAATGCATATTTGGTTCAACTGGTTCTGCTCAAGGGCTAATTGATGGTTAGAAAATCCATGTGCAGTTCAGTTAATACAAATGGAAAATATATCGGAGATCCCAACCTTAGAATGGTAAAATATAATGAACTAGAATCAAAGTAATTGCCTTTTAACTAACAAACACTAACCTCCAGTCATTCTAACTCATGGAGCTTTCCATTATTTGCAGAGGTTATGTTCCACCAGTGAGTGTGCTACACAGCTGGATTAGTACCGGCAATTAACATTTTCTCCCAAAAAAATAAATAAAGTGCTGATAATAGCTCATAATTAATCATAATAAAATCAACAAACTGGCTATCGATGGTGAACTGGAAGCCAAATCTTTTACATACAAAAATCATCAACGAAATGCATTAGTATTCACTGTTCCCTATTCCCTGGTTTTTGTTATTATAACACAAAACTTTAAACAATTACTCTATTATTGTATTATTATTTATTTATTTAAAGGATTACTGCTACTGTCTGGTTTACAGTCAGTAATAGAACCCTGTATTTTGATACCATAATATGAATTTCAACAGCCTTTTAGTTCTTATAAGCCATTTACAAAACAACCAGGGACGTCTGAACAGGGAACGCTAACACTTCACACAGACCCGTGCACTTCAGTTTTTCATCAACATGCACTTCTACAGTAGTTTCTAAAGCTCTAAAATAAGACAAAATGATAAAATAAAAACAGCCTCTACGCTCTTCATAAACATTCTAACATCTATGTACAAACTGTCCGTAGTAATAGTAGTAGTAGTAGTAATAGTAGTAGTAGTGAGCTGCCATCTTGTTTTCTCTCGTATTAAACAGGAAGAGACACAAGGCTTTGGAAACTACATTAGATTAGTGTTAACTGCAATAAAACTTATTATCACAATTGATTATTTTTTTCAGTACTTGTACCAGAACTAGATTAACTGTATTTTAGTCATTTTAATAAAAAATTTCCGAATCCAAAAAAGTAAGATAATAATGGTCAAAACTAGTCGATCCATTAGCGTATTACGAAATCAGGTCATTTAAGACACACTGTAAAAAAAGTGGGGGGGGGGCTCGGTAAAGATGCCATAATCCACAGTGTGGTCTTAAAGAACACTCATTGTGCATTATTTGTGTGCATTTTGGCTGCTAAACTTGATTAAAAAAAATATTTACTCTAGCATTTCATGTTTTACAATGTGAAATAATTGAAGTTGAAAATATAGGGATAAATATGACCCATGAAGTAAGAATGTGCCAACGATGCCATCTGGAAGCAGAAGCAGGAAATTATACCCCGCTTTTAATCTGAATCCAAGATGATGTGGTTTAATTGAACGCAATTTGTCATAAAGTTTAAAGATTTTTTTTTTATGAGGGAAGGTCTGTTTTGCATAATATCTGTTTTTCAAACTTAACACGTGCAAGGATGCAAAATTTAAGATACTTCTGAACATTACAAAATGAATAAATGCAGGAAATGCTACAGTGCAGAACGTTCCAGGTAAAACAATATCTCCAATCTCCATGGCAACTGCCGTGTAGCGGGTGAGAAAGCTACACTGTTGCTTTAAGTAAGTTATATTATGCAAAATCATCTTTGAGTTTTAAACAATGACAAAAATATCCCTCATCAAAAACAGACTGAATGTTTTCTTTAGCCTCATCCACAATAATGTCCGCAACACGTCCCCCCGCCCCTTCTGTCTTAATGCTGCAGTCGCAACATAGGTACACTGCTGGTGGAAGTGGACTAACATGCAGAGGTGCTCTTTTCATTCTTTATACTTGTTTTTCTATACGTTTTCTACTTCATTCAATTACATTCTAAATCATGAAATGCCAGTGTAAAAGTCTGATCACGTTTAAAGGCCAAAACATATACACAATTACTCCTTTAAGTCACGTTCTTCATAATTCATCAAGACCTATTCAAGAATAACTATTACTATTTGTAGCTTATTATCTGTTCAACACATACAAGATTCTGTCCGGTCCAGTAAGCAACAAGTTTCTCCCGCAAACGTTCTCCTGAGATGTTAATACTATCAGTAGTTTCTATCAAAAACCCTCCGGAGTCATTTGTGCTGATAATAACTGTGTGAAGTTACTGGATAGTTTCTGGACCAACATGAGAAGAGATTGTGTCATTATGGGTTGATCCGCGCCTCCTTCATTGTCGGTTTCTGCCAGCATCAGTTACAGAGTTATTGTATGTAATGTTGAATTCACATTTTAACTCGGGTTCAGCGTCATCAGCATATAAAGTCAGCCGTGTAAACAAAAGAAAACGAAAGAAAGCAAGAAAGGCCCTGTACCACAATTGGCATGTAGAGATTTAAAGATGATTCACAGTAAAGAATGAGGAACTATATGCAAGATTAGGATTTTGAATGACATGAACGTCTTCAAATCTATTATACGTTTAATAACAAATCTTAATTAAATGTTTATAATGTCCAGTTTATAAAAAAACAAGTTCCTTCATTTATGTTGTATTTTGTGCCAAATTAGTTTTAGATAATCAATCACCGAACATAATCAATACAAGTGGTACAGGGCCTTTAAGGTTTCCTTTGAACACTCTTTTATAAATGTTTTTCTTGTGTACAACAATTTTGGTCCAGATAAGCGAAGGCAAACCTTGTCACTCAAATGCAAGAATGAAAGAAAATGGCGATGCTTCATCGATAGGGCATGCACGAGCTGTTCCAGACAGCAAAGACCTTTTATGAGTGCTAGATTATCACAAGACTCAAATCTAAAGGTTACCACTTCAACGACTTTTCAAACTATTGTGGACAAAAGCAGAAATCTATTATACAAAATGAAGAATACATTTATGTGGTCATTAATTAATACCTTGGTCACGTTGCAGTCTCCACACTCCCTCATGAGAACTGTTCTTTTTTTCTCTAAAATGCAGCATTAAAACGTCTTGTAGACGGAGTGTGGTAGAGTTGGGAAGGAGGTGGTAAACTAATACAAGGTCTGAGGACAAAATCCTCTTGTTGGAAGGAGAAATAGGAAGACAGAGGCTGAACTTTATGGCTGCTCCTCTTTTTTCTTCAGTGAAATCCGCTTCTTTCTCGCAGCAAGCATCTCATAGAAAGGATCCACGCTGACGGCAGATCTGGAACGAGAAAGTCATCAGTCCGAGGACAAGCACAAACTGATAGTAACTGTTTAAAATTATATTACAGCCTGTACAATATTACAGAGCGTTGTATTCTCAGACCCACATAATTAGGGACTAACACAAACTGTTAACATGAATGAGGTTTCCAAACACACTACATTTTTCAGGTGCTGAACTGAAGCAGAGAGGACGGACAATGCACTGTGCAGATGGTACACAGTGGTCTGATTCTGTTTTCCTGGTATGATCCAAGACTCTAATGATGTCCCAGGGGATATGAACTGTATTGGCCGGGTTATCATTCTGAACCTCAAGCTACGATTTAGTAACTAGGGATGTAAAAAACTATGAATTTTCATGACCGACCACCGAGCCTCATTAACCGGTTGAAACCGGTTAACCGCGTAGTTTAAAATAGTCCACGTTCTTTGAAATAACAGCCATTTCGAGCCGCGTACTTTTCATAAGTGCAGCTCTGCGTTCTACTGGATCAGAGTTGAGACAGCGGCGCCCAAACCCGCAACAGCTCCGGCACCTTTGCGCACAGAGAACTGCTTTTTTAATCTTCCCATTCTGCTGTGCTGCGGGTTAACACCAAAACTTTCTAGCAGCAAACGACGGCTCGTTCACATGGTCAGAGCAGCGAGTGACGAGCCGCGTCTCACAGGTCTTCACAAAAGTTTAAATACAAGTGATGTGTGTGGAGCTGATCCCGAGGACCATAAACACAAACATGTTCCATGTGGTTTGACTGGAGCCGCGTATTTGCGCGAATCCTTTGGGCTCCGTGACACAGAGGAGCGCGACAGACCGGTATGTGCGTGTGTATGTGTGTGTGTATGTATGTATATGTGTGTGTGTGTGTGTGTATGTATATGTGTGTGTGTGTAAATGTAAGCTCCAATGTAGTTCTGACGGTAACAGAGGGGAGAGATGATGCGTGTGGATGTTACGTATGGAGAGGGGGAAAGTGTGTGTGTGTGTGTGTGTGTGTGTGTGTGTGTGTGTGTGTGTGTGTGTGTGCGCGCGCGTGCGTGTGTGCATATGTGGCTCGTGCGGCGTGAGAGTCGTCCCGGAGTTTATAATACATGGGCGCATACAGCTAGATACAGACCCGCTCGTCACACCGTGCAAATAGGGCTTAAAATAGCGTTATTAAGAGACCTCCCCTCTCCCCATTTTCTCTTTTTTAACCGACAGCTTTGACCGGTTAACGCTGTGACGGTCAACCACCGGTTAACCGGTCGCCGATTTACATCCCTATTAGTAACAAAGCAGTCTTGCTATGGTCCTTTCAGATGCTTTGTACTTGAATCACAGCGGCTGAAGGCCAATTTTTCTGATATTGTGAATAAATTGTACCTTTATTTCACGAGCAGTTATTTTGCTGAGGAACCTGTGTGGTCACTCAATAGCTCAAAATAAGATGAATGTCCGCGCTGCTGTTAAAGATGTCCAGAGAGCGGACCATCAGGACGTGTTTCGAGATTCACAAAGTCTTTCTCAGAAAGACGCAAATATGAAACATGAATTGTGATACAATGTGGTGCAATGCACAGTTACAGCCCTACTTTACTTTGCAACATGACATAACAACATTTTAACTGAAGTGAATATGTTTTAAACTCACTTGATGCTGTGGATCCATTCGTCCTTTTCTTCTGGTGTCGGAGCAGAAATGCGGTAAACCATATGATTACCTTCCACTACTCTTCCATCCGCCTCAGTTTTACACGCCTTAATGAGCTGCCCACGGTTGTTCGGGATGTACAGCTCAAAGCAATTCTGTTCACAATAAAAGAAAATAACAATTAATAGGGATGCACCGATGCATTGGCTAAACATTTTTGCCTTGTTAACTACCATCGGGCGCATACAAAGAGATACCAGCAGAGGGCAAGATTTTGCAGTATCAAAAAAAGATCAGCGTTATGCAGTGACCGTGGGGCACTTGCTGTCGTTTACAGAACATACTCGAACAAGATTCCACATCCTCTGTTGCTGCAGCGTTCTGATCCCGGAGCAACTGCGGCTGCTTTGTAATGACGGAGGTTCCCTTATCTAGCGACTGTGAGCCGCTTTGACAATAGCTCAGCTTGTTGAAAATGCGAGTCTTTGCATAAACTGTGCCGCTTCAAGAAACATGTTGGCTTATAAAGCCTCAGGCTTGGTCCATGTCTCCCCTGAGTCTCCTCCAGAAGCACAACTAAATTTGCTAAATTAAAGCTAGGGTACATTATCATAATTTCCTAGCATTGACAATGACATTTTACTTTTGCGTACAACCAACATGCAATCAAACTGAACAAACCACAACAATAGGCGTCTTGTTTTGTTTTTTTAAATTTTGAATACATTTTTTTCTTCTTCTCACGTTATTTTGGGTCTTTTATTAACTGTCCTTTGTGGAAGTTGTGTTGTGTTATGCTAAAAAATATATATATATAAAAAACATCGGCCAAACATTGGCCTTTGACCAAGTGGTTATGTTTAACATCGGTATCGGTCCAAAATTTCACAATCGGTGCATCCCTAATTATCAACTTTTCAATGCATTTGGTATACATGTGAATCCATTTACAAACCGGTTTTCTTGGATCCTCCACTTCACGTATGCTGAGGTTTTCCAAAGGAATAATTCCCCTGGGTTCTTTGTCCTTAAAAGAAGAGAAGGAACAAACATCACATTTGTGCTAAACATAGATTAAATAAAAGAACGGCCAAAGAGTGATAGTTCTGCTTTGTCTGATAACTGATCTTTAGTTTTGGCAGAAAAAGCATGTACAAAGTAAATAATCCAAATAAGAGGGGAGCCTTAAAATGTTTTATTGACAACAAAGTCACACAAAACATTTCTATTCAAACATTTCAATATTATTACTGTACATCAGCAGAGTGACTTACTGTGGTGTATTCGAAGTAATATAGACAGTTATCTGTAAGAATAAACCATCGTCTTTTCCATGTTTTTACGCGTCCCCCTGTAATTGAAAGTGTATTGCATAAAAAGAATGTCACTTTAGGTATGGAATCTACCTGTGCTACTGCTGAAACTACAATAATTCCATACATACCTCCTGAGCAAAAGCAGCAGCAGCACAAAGTTGAAATCACAGAAGAAGCAAAGATGCAGGGAGGAGATTTAGAGGCAGGGCAAACAAAAATCGTCAGATAGGAGGGAAAAAGAGACGATTAGTGACACGTAGATACAAGCCCCGCCATGCAAAAGACATCATTAGACTGCCCTCACAAAGAATAGTAATTATTAATGATTTGTTTGGTCATTAAGAGCAAAGCATCACATGAGGGGTGAACGAGATGACAAAAAGACGCCATTGTGTCAGTTTCGTAGTCTATTTTTTGTCATATCTCCCACCTCTACCCAGGAAACATTTTGTGATGTCTTAGGAAATGACATCCATCTTGAGAAAATATAGGGATAAATTGACAAAAAAAAATGAGAGTAGTAATTGTTTAAATCCTCTCACCGAGTTTGAGAAGCCAGCCTTCTCTGTCCGGGTTAAAAAATGTGTGCGTCAAGTCATTTCCATCGTCCTCTGGTATTTTAAAGGGCTCATTCTTAATACTTTCATAAAGATTCTAAACACAGAAAAAGGAAGAAATGTGTTAGATACTAAATACATCTTTATATGAGCATTAAAAGCACTATGCAACTTCGATGGGGCCCTTACGCCTGCAGGGAACAGACTAATTGCAAGAGGCATTGTTATACTTTTACAACAATATGAATTCCATAAAATAGTTGAACCGACATCCGTTTAGCATCCTGAAGCTGAACTTACTGAGCAGAAAAAGTGGAATGTTAATAAATGAAATGACCCTTGGGCCTTTGACAGAATATTCTTGTTTTGGGATTGATATTGAATCACGCTACATTAGAATAAGCTTTTGTGCAATACCAATCCTGGCCACCCGACATTCCAAATCTGCACACCACATTCCATCATCACATCACTCCTTCCCAGCCAAAGCAAAGTCCAATTTACAACAACCTGTTAAGCAGACAAAACTAGCCCTGATCATCACCACCAATGATCAAAATCATTCAATATAATTTTCCACATTCTTTCATCTACTTTAGAGTCTGTTCAGATTAGGGCTGTCGATTATTCTAGAAGGCGACAGGTCAACGATTACTTTTTTGATTTGTTAATAGTAAACGACTAATTTGTGTTAAAGAATTTGTTGCTACAGCATTCATGATTCATGACTCGTCTGGACTGGACTCAGGATCTTTAGACCCATCTTCCATGGACCCAGAGCAGAGAGCACAGCCTCTGGAAGGATGAACTGCGCTGGACTGTTTGGCCGCATGTATCTCCTTGTTGTAGTTCAAATTCAGTGCAATAAATTCCTCCAAAAATGAATTTGGTGATGCATCAAAAGCTATCTATGTAGTCGTAACGTTGCATCTCTAAAACATTCTTTTAGTTACTCACTCTCAGCAGATCCTCCGGCAGGTCGCCACCCTCATTGATGCCTCGATTCATGGTGATGAAGCGGTCCACTCCAGGCTTGTCCCTCACATTTGGGTTGTGAAGACTCGTATTCAGCATAATGATTGAAAACGACAACACGTAGCATGTGTCTGCAAATATGAAAGTTGAGAACAAATGTAAACATGATATTTCATTGAAATGGACTTTGCTACACAATTAAATTTAGTCTTTGCCTCCGAACCTCATGTCAAACAGTGATCTGCACAATGGGCCTCATTCACGAATAACTTCGTAAGAAACTACTCAACTTTCTTCTCAAGTTGTCCTTAAGTAGATTTCTAAGAAGTCCCCACGTGGGATTCATCAACGCACTCGTAAGGCGCTGAATTGTTCGCAGCTGTTCTCTCAGATTGATGAATCCCATTTCCTCGTAAGTACAGCGCGCGTGCCAGGTGCCTCATTAGCATAGGTACTTAGCATAAGTAACCGCCCACTAATGCCCATATAAGGGACTGCAGGGCCGTGTGCAGACGGCAGAGGAAACAGCAACAGGCCTAAAGCAACAGGCCACGGAGCAAAAGATTCACCCTTTTTTCTTCTTTCACCAGACTGAGAATAAAGTTATAAAATGTTGACTTAAAAGTCGAAATATTATGATAATAAAGTCGAACTAGCAAAATTATGAGATTAATCTAAGAATATGATGAGATTAATCTCAAAATGTTATGAGCTTAATTTAAAAATATATTATTTTAAAGATGAATCTCAAAATATTTTGGACCCTGGGAGGAGATCCAGCGCGGACCAGCGCTGAGACCAATGCAGACCCGAGGAGAGACTGGAGTGACCAGCACACAGAAACCAGCGCGGACAGGAGAGACCGCATAGACTGTAGTGACCTGACTGGAGAGACCGGTGCGCAGAGACCAGCGCGGACCGAAGATAGACCGCATAGACCAGACTTGAGAGACCAGCGCGGACCCGTATGGATCCAGGAGCATGCAGCACGGACCCGTATGGAGAGAGACCAGTGCAGACCCGTATATGGGAGAGACCAGTGCAGACCCGTATAGATCCATGGGAGAGACCAGCGCAGACCCGTATAGATCCATGGGAGAGACCAGTGCAGACCCGTATAGATCCATAGGAGAGACCAGTGCAGACCCGTATAGATCCATGGGAGAGACCAGCGCAGACCCGTATAGATCCATGGGAGAGACCAGTGCAGACCCGTATAGATCCATGGGAGAGACCAGTGCAGACCCGTATAGATCCATAGGAGAGACCAGCGCAGAGACTCAGCGCGGACCCAGTAACCTCCTGCAGCAGCAGTATATATGCCGTTGTTCTGTGGCCCGTGGATAAAGAAATGCCCCCTATAAATAGGAAGGGGTCACTAATACACGGCAAGATTTCCAATGTATTTGATAAAGCGTTGGCACATTTCATTTCAAAATGAATTAAAAAGTAGGCCAGATCTGCAGTGAAAAAGGCGGTATATAAATAAAGATTACTACAAATAAATAAATACATACATCGATATGACGGCACATGGAATGTTGTATTTTTATTCAACTTCACCAAAGAGGACAACCCCGGCGTGTGAACATGTCGGCACTGAATGCGTACGAGTGCTCCTGAGGACTCGTAGGATTTGTACTTGCCCAAGAGAAATTCTGGTTACGAGAAATATTTGTGAATGCCACTTTCTTCGTAAAAACCGCGTAAGTAGGATTTACGTACACATCTGTTCCTAAGAACCGTTCGTGAATGAGGCCCAATGTTCTTTGAGGCATTCAGTGACTTCGTAGGCAAGGCAAGGCAAGTTTATTTATATAGCACAATTCATACACAAGGCAACTCAAAGTGCTGAACAAAACAAGAAAGCATTAAAATCATAAATAATCACAGAACATTAAAAAGACAGATAAAAATATAAAATCCCTCAGTTGTATGCACAGCTAAACAGAACTGTCTTTAACCTGGTTTTAAACATTGTCATTGAGGAGGCCTGTCTCACATCTTCAGGAAGACTGTTCCAGATTTTAGCAGCATGAATCTGAAAAGCAGCCTCCCCATGTTTAGTTCTGACTCTGGGCACCAGCAGGAGTCCAGTACCTGTGCTCCTCAGAGTCCGGGCTGGTTCGTATGGTACTAACATGTCACTAATGGTGCAAGGCCATGGAGAGACTTGTACACAAGCAGAGCTGTTTTAAAGTCTATTCTCTGAGCCACAGGAAGCCAGTGCAGAGACCTGAGAACTGGACTAATGTGGTCGTACTTCCTGGTTCTAGTCAGGACTCGAGCTGCTGCATTTTGAATGTACTGCAGCTGTTTTACCGCCTGTTTGGACAGACCTGTGAGCAGGCCATTGCAGTAGTCTAACCTACTGGAGACAAATGCATGGATAAGAATCTCCAAGTCTGCTTTAGACACTATGTTTTTGATCCTGACAATGTTTTTAAATGGTAAAAAGCTGCTGATGTTAATTATTTGATGTGGCTATTAAAATTTAAGTCTGAGTCCAGTATTACCCCTAGATTTCTGACCTTGTTTAAAGGTTTTAGGGAGAGAGACTGTAGGTGACAGATGACGCTCTCTCTTTGTTTCTGGGGACCAAAGACAATAATTTCAGTTTTGTCTGCGTTTAGCTGAAGGAAGTTGTTTTGCATCCACTCACTGATCTGTTGGATACAGTGAAGGAGTGAGTCCACTGGTCCATGTTCTCCTGCAGTCAGTGAGACATAGATCTGAGTGTCGTCTGCATAGTTGTGATAGGACACTTTGTTTCTGCGTATTAACTGACCTAACGGCAGCATGTAGAGATTGAACAGAAGAGGTCCCAGGATCGACCCCTGTGGTAGTCCACAGGTCAGGGCCATATGCTCTGAGACACAGTTTCCAATCTCCACAAAGTACTTCCCGTCTTCAAGGTAAGACCTAAACCAACTTAGGGCGGTGCCAGCGACGCCAACCCAGTCCTCTAGTCTCTGTAAGAGGATCTCATGGTCGACGGTGTGAAAGGCAGCACTCGGATTAGGGCTGGGCGATATGGCAAAAAAAAAAAATCTCCGATTTTTTCACACCAAATCCGATTTTCGATTTTAATCGATTTATTTTTTTCTATTTAAAAACAAACTACAACTGACAAAGAAATAGATTTTCCTTTATGCAGTTTAATCTAAATCCCCATGGAGCATAAGTGTAACAGGAATTAAGCCTTAAAACATGCTTGTAAACGAGATGGCTCTGCCATTGTAAACAGTGAAAATGTAGCTTAACAGTTTTATAATAACTTCACTTACAATGACACTATGCACCTTCAAAATAACTTAAATCACACAAACAAGGCCCATCGCAAATATATCAATCCTATTAAACACATGCATTATTTACATGAAATATCACATTTTTAAAACTGATTACTCAAAATAGAAATGTTGTAACAGTCTTTTCCAAAAGCCTCCTTGGGTTTTCATGCTTGTTCTTTCAACTGTGCCTGAGTAACTGTGCTGTAGTACAACGCTCGGTCCAGCTGGTGGCGCTAATACTAACTTCAGTGACTGTGCGAGCTTCCTGTTTACATTCTGATGCTGTAGCTAACAGCTACTGTAGCAGCTACTGTAGCAGCTACTGTAGCTAACGGACAGCGGGGAACACGTTGTTTGTATCAGAGCAATGAGAGCAATGTGTGAGACGTGTCTTTCCCCAAAGTGCAGCGGCTCAGTGGGACACGAGTGTGTGCGCGCCACGGACACGGGAGTGCGCTTTGGAATAACGAGCGTGAGAGAGCGTGAAAGATGTGGCGTACGACCGGAGCCTGTGTGTGTGTGTTTGGCGATTAAATAAAGTCTGATTCTTGAACGTTTGAAGTGTTATTGCAACAGCACCAACTGTGAGAGCGAGCATCAGGCCAGAGGGAGACTGTTAGCATTAGGTTAGCTTCAAAATGACTGCTCAACACCATAGACCCGCGGTTAGCGCGTTAGCGCTGTAGTTCTGCGCTGGAGAAAATAAAAATCGAATTTTTAAAAAAAGAAATCGCCCTAAACGTAAAACTTGAATTAATGATTAAAATCGATTAATCGCCCAGCCCTAACTCGGATCTAACAAGATTAAGATTGAGACTTTGCCTGCGTCAGTGTTCAGCCGGATATCGTTTGTAACCTTAACGAGAGCAGTCTCAGTGCTGTGGTGGGGTCTAAAGCCGGACTGAAACATATCAAATGAGTTGTTGATTATAAAAAATCTAGTAAGCTGTAGGTAGACAACTTTCTCAAGGACTTTCCCCATAAATGGCAGATTTGAGATGGGACGATAGTTGTTAAGTACCGTAGCATCCAGGCTGCTCTTTTTTAGCAGCGGCCTGATGACTGCAGTTTTCAGGGCCTTTGGGAATATCCCAGAATGAAGGGACATGTTTACTATCTGTGTGAGTGAAGGTAACAGACTGCTCAGAACAGACTTCAGAAATCTAGTGGGTAGTACATCCAGGCTGCATGTGGAGGAGCTCAAACTGGAGATTATCTCTTGGACAGTTTGATCATTTACAGGTGCAAAGTGAGTTAGCTCAGAGAACCTTTTTGGCTGTTGGATGGTTATCTGTGGATTGGAGACAATGGCATTTTTGATGCCTGGAACCTTGTCATTGAAAAAATTAGCAAACTCATTGCTTTTACGTTTGGAAGTAAGCTCTAATGGCATCTGAACAGGGGGGTTTGTTAATCTATTAACTGTTGAGAACAGAACACGCAGATTGTTGCTGCAGCCTTCAATCATTTCAGAAAAATACCTTTCTCTCGTACTACGTAGCACCCGGTTAAACTCGCACAACTTATCTTTGAAGATCTCGTAATCAACCTGGAGGTTGGACTTGCGCCACTTCCGCTCGGCCCTCCGGCACTTTCTCTTTTGTGCCCTGACCGAGTCTGCTTTAGCCCACAGCGCCTTCTGCTTATTTTTCACTATTTTAACCTTCACAGGGGCAACGGTATCCAGAACATTCAAAACACTAGAGGTGACAGAGTTAAACAGTTCATCTACAGTAGAACACGATGCATTCTCTAAGTTTATCATTCCCATAAATAGATCACTCGTATTTTCATTTATGCGCATTTAGTTGCCACTGGTGGTTTGTTAGTGAAACACATGTCAAAAAAAAACACAGAAATGATCCGAAAGAGCAACATCGACCACGTTTACATTTGAAATATTCAACCCCATAGTAACCAACAGATCTAGAGTGTGCCCTCTGCTGTGGGTGGGGCCACTCACGTGCTGAGTGAGACCAAAGGATTCAAGTACAGAACTCAGCTCATTTGCATTTCTGTCATCAACATTATCCACATGAATATTAAAATCACCTGTAATAACCAAACTATCAAAATCTGTGCATACAACTGAAAGCAACTCGGTAAAATTATCAATACAACTGTGACATGACTGCGGTGGCTTGTATAGGACAATGAAGAGTATTGGAGGAGATTGTTTTTGTGTTATTTTAAAAGACACATATTGAAATGACAAAAACTTCCCAAAAGACATTCTATGGGAGACAAAGTGGTCTCTAAAAATAACAGCTAAGCCTCCTTCTTTTGTTTTCCCGTATTTCGAATAAATGGCGTGTAAAGCGGCATGTGGACAACAAGTGGCGTTTAAAACGGCATGTGGGCAACAAATACAGTTGAAAGCAGCCTGAACAAAAGACAACAAGCAGCATTACTAGAGCTAGTGGTCCAGTGGCTCAGATGGAAAAGCACAGGTCTACGGTGTTGATGGTTGCTAGTTCAAATCCCCAGTGACTACCAATGACATTTGCTGATGTTGGGTCCTTGGGCCTAACACTTCATGAAGAATGTCAGAAGTGCCATAAATTGTTTGAAAAATGTTGTTTGAGTAATAATAATATATGTTATTGCATAAAATTTGTTGAAAGACTTAATTTCATGTATTATATATAGTTTAAATTCCACATGACCTGCGTTATCCAGTGGCGCATTTGGTTTATAACTGCCTCTCATGCGGAAGATACCTGGTTCAAATCCAGGACAGGTCATTATTTTTTCTTTGTCAGATTATATATATATATATATATATATATATATATATATATATATATATAGAAAACAAAAGAAAAAATCATTTTATTTCTCTCTTCTTTAATAAAACCACATCAGAAACATGGAACAATAAGAAAGCGCATTAATACATATATTTTTTTTAAAGAATGCAAAGTATAAGACACAGCTTAAACGGTCCAAGAACAGAAATGAAGATTTTAACAATATAGAGATGAAACCTCATGTTCCAATTACACAACTTTCTGCTTGTGTTTTTCAATAAATCACTCTTCACCATCTTTGGTTGGCTCCATTCTTGATGAAATGTCCTAAAACAACAATAGAATCTTTCGTTTTTTTCTTTGCCAAAACACAAAATAAGTGGCGCAGTCATTAAACATTCGTCTATAGTGCGTGAGATTGGCAGATCGAATCAAAGTACTGTTTTTTTTTTTTTAATGGCAGTTATATAAAAACTGTATATATATATATATATATATATATATATATATATATATATATATATATAAATAAAGATATATATAGATATTTATAGATATTTATAGATATATATATGTATAAAGAAATAACCGTCATAAAAAAGTTTTTGATCTTGGCTGGATTTGAATCTGCGAACTCTTGCATGATTGGCAGACACACACCAGCTATACCACTCACCAGGTGGTTTTAAGTAAAATTGTGTCTTGAGTGTTTTACACATCATTTAGTTTTACCCTAACGATGATGCAATATTAATCCTAATGCAAGATTACTATTGGAACAACACATAACCATATGTATGAAATATATATTCATACATATTCAATTTGTATTTAATCTGACAAAAAAAAAATAAAGACCAGACCTGGAATTGAACCAGGTATCTTTCGCATGAGAGACAATTATAAACTAAGTGCGCCACAGGAATATACAGCTCTTCAGAATCTACACCACATATAATACATGAAATCAAGTCTTTCAACAAATTTTAAATTTAATTTATTATAACTCAAACTACATTTTTCAAACAACTTATGGCACTTCTGACATTCTCCATGAAGTGTTATGCCCAAGGACCCAATATCAGCAAAGTCATTGGTAGTCACTGGGGATTTGAACTAGCAACCATCAACACTGTAGACCTGTGCTTTTCCATCTGAGCCACTGGACCACTATCTCTAATACTGCTGCTTGTTGTCTTTTGTACAGGCTGCTTTCAACTGTATTTGTTTTACACGCCATTTATTGCCCACATGCCGTATTAAATGCCATTTATTGTCCACATGCCGTTTTAAACGCCATTTATTGCCCACATGCCGTTTAAACGCCACTTGTTCCCCACATGCCGTTTTAAACGCCACTTGTTGTCCACATGCCGTTTTAAACGCCACTTGTTGTCCACATGCCGCTTTACACGCCATTTATTCCCCACATGCCGTTTTAAACGCCACTTGTTGTCCACATGCCGTTTTAAACGCCACTTGTTGTCCACATGCCGCTTTACACGCCACTTGTTGTCCACATGCCGCTTTACACGCCACTTGTTGTCCACATGCCGCTTTACACGCCATTTATTCCTCACATGCCGTTTTAAACGCCACTTGTTGTCCACATGCCGCTTTACACGCCACTTGTTGTCCACATGCCGCTTTACACGCCACTTGTTGTCCACATGCCGTTTTAAACGCCACTTGTTGTCCACATGCCGCTTTACACGCCACTTGTTGTCCACATGTCGTTTTAAACGCCACTTGTTGTCCACATGCCGTTTTAAACGCCACTTGTTGTCCACATGCCGCTTTACACGCCATTTATTCCCCACATGTCGTTTTAAACGCCACTTGTTGTGTACATGCCACTGATCAGCTGTGGCAGGTGCCGGTGCCACAAAAGGAGCCTGCCCTTTCTCCGATAAAGAGCGACTCAGCTGCATTTGACCTTGACTGAGACGCTACTGCTGATTCATCTTCCAAAAGTGGTGAATAGCGGTTCCTTGTAATTAAAGATTTTTGCTGTGGCATTATGACACTCTTGTTATCAATAGCTTTGCCTTGTTTGGGCTTTGCACCATATGTGTTCCAACAATTGTCTCTGTCGATTTTGGGAAATGAAATAGCGTCATCATAACTTACGTTCTGTTCCTTTGGTCCATTTCCCTTCACTGGTATTGTTGTGTTCAGCCCCAATTCTGATTCAAGCACAAACATTCGGTCTGGAAGAAGTTTTAGCTCCTGTTTGAGTGAAAAACAGCCGTCGCAAAGTTTTGTTCTTTTTTTCCGTCCTCCCGACATGCTGTAAATTAGGTAAATTCCACAAGTGTTGTGTTGAAGTATGCAAAAAGGAGTAATCCGTGTTTTGTGGAATAAAAATGTAAGCAAAAATGACTGAAGGAGATTAAAAAGCAGCAAGCGAGGAGCAGCAAGAGAATGCGACTGCACTGTCCAGAGCAGGAAGAGTAGTAATTTGCTAAAACTGGAGCTATAATAGCAGGGATCGAACTTCTTTACTTTGTGCCTCAGATTACAAATTAGGGGTTAAATAACTTAGCGAGAACATCACAAAAGGAAATTTGACAATAAGCTTTTTCACATTATCGAGATACTGGACAATTTCACTTTTGCCGCTTTGCTTGTCTGCCTTCTCTGTGCTCACCCCCCACCTCCTTTTACTTCCCCCTCGGCTATTTTTGAATGAAGAGAAGGCAATATGTATAATTTCTTCATTTATTTCACAGATAAACTATAATTTTGTAAACAGGAAATTAAAACAAATGTGACAGAAGCCCTTTGTTCCTACTTGAACTCTTTGAGGTTCACTTGAGAAAAAAAAAAACTTTTGGAAATTGGCATGTTTGTGTTTGCTGTAGTTTTTGGGCGATCGATGTGGTGTGAGCAAACTAAAATGTCTTTACCTGTGCTCTGGAAGACACCTGGGTTGCAATGACAATATCTCTGGGCAAAAGCTTCCATCATTCGATCAATCTTTTGGGCTTCACCAGGCAAACGGAAGCTCCACAGAAACTGCCTGGAACCAAACAGATCAGTTAGAAGTCACATAGTAAAAGTTGTGACGATTATGGATAGATATAAAATATAAAATAATAAAAAAGGTGTACAATACCTCAAGGCTTGGACAAGGTTAAGATCAGTGAATTCATGCAGATCAACAAAAGCCTGTAGAACTTTTATATTGAAATCATCCCTAAAATGCGACAAAGATCATTGTTACAAAAAAGACGTACGTAAAAGATGGAAGCTGATGTTGAACCTCACCTTTCTCCGAGGTAATCTCCTATTGCTGTTTTGTTGAGACCTTCACCTTTGTACAGGAACTGAGCAATGTCTTCAGATGTGTGTCTGAGCAGGTCATTTTCAACCAAAAACACAATACCCTGCAACATTATAATATATGTCAAAACTGCTATTTTTCTTTGTAAATCTATGCTAAGAAAATAAGTGTTTACCTTTTTGGGGTCCATGTTGAATTTCTTGCGGCCCATTGCCACATGTCTACTCTTCTGTAGAGTTTTACTGCAAATGGAGAAAACGTTCAGAACAGCAACTTAGGTCAAGCCTTATTGAGCCTAAGTGTGTTCAACTCTGAGAAAAAAATACATTGATATATATATATATATATATATATATATATATATCTTTAGAAGAAATAGAAGACTACTGAAGTGTGTGTGTATGTGTACTATATATATTATGTATTTATATATAATGTGTGTGTGTGTGTGTTAGGGCTGGGCGATAAAACGATAACGATATATATCGCAATAGACATGTGTTCGATATCAATAGAGAATGGGGTCGATAGAATGTTCGATAGTTTAACTTAACTCCGTCAGGAAAAACAGGAAGAAAACACCGGAAGTAAAGCCGACTCATAAGCGCGCGGCATTGTGGGGGATGTAGGCAGAGGCTTCTCGACCAATAACAGCCGAGCAGGAACCGCAAAACTTTCTGGGAAATGCAAAAACACCAACAACCGCACCAATGCGTAGCGTCCATGGATCTATAGCTCGTGTTTCAATGCCGTGTCAATGGTTATGCAGGTACGTGCGCGGAATAAGATGTGCGGCAGCAGAGGCAGTGGACAGACCCGATGTATTCGGCGAAAGCAAGAGATTAACTTTTTCCTCGGGAAGCATGTGCGGCACACAGAGAGCCGCACGGAGCGGTCACGGGGACACAAGACCCTCGAAAACAGCTAAACCAGGAGCTAAACCAGGAATAAAAAACCAGGATTAAACCAGGACTAACAACGAGGGACACAGTGTGAACATATTCCTCCAGCCTCATTCCCCTGTGACTGTAAACAAGGCTGCTAAGGTTGGTTAGCCCACACGACAAATGTATTTATTTAGATAAAAAAAAAAAAAAAACTCAATATATATCGTTATTGACCGATATGAATGACTTATATCGTGATATAGTTTTCAGCCATATCGCCCAGCCCTAGTGTGTGTGTAATATGTGGCCTAGTTGAAGAGAACAGTTCCTTTTGAAAACAAATCATACTTTGACCACAGCTTCAATGCTGCTTTCAGTGTATTCACATACTGAGTACTTCCTCCATACCTGCCCTCTGTGCTGGTCTCAAGTCCTTCCACTTCTAAAATGGCCTCTCGGAGCTCCTCTCGGAGCCTCTGGATCTCCTGCAGCAGGACTCCTTTCCTCCTGCGAATGTCCTCAAGCTCAGCGCGCTCCTCTGGGCTCAGGTCTACTGGGACTGCAGCAAGACAGTGGTGATGCATTAACATTATTACGATCATCACAACTATGCATTTATGCAAAGTGGTCTAAGTTAACAACACAATAATCAGAGATTGCAAAATAGACAGAACATGCACAAGGGCTTTGCTAACCATTTAGGAAGCTTTAAACATGCAGCAAAAATGTTGTATTTTACTATTAAATTCCATTAAAAAGATCTTCCAAATTCAATTATTAGCCATAGTATGGTCTGGAGTGAGTGAAGCTCTGGAGGAGCAGATACATTTAGGTACCACTAATGTCTGTCACATTAACATATTCACGGAATATTTGATGGACAACATATTGATACAGAGAGATATTGCGATGACCGATAATATAATACAATATAAATAAACAACAAAAATACAATTTTAGCCAAAATTGTACCGTAGTTCAAAGAAAGAGCAAATGATACAAAGGATAATTATTGAGCACCAAAATATATTGTTCCATCCATTAGTTTTAAGCGATCTATTGTACGCGGATGTAGGCACATAGTCACACATTTATTGTTTGACCCGAGATCACATTAAGCCTAAGGACACTTTTCTTGAAATAAAAGTCTTCTGGGGCTTTTTGTAAATCCTTCGACATGCTGAATGCGAGTGTATTTCTTCAGGCTGTGAATTCAACACATGCTTCTCTCTGCCAAACGAACATATGCCAAAACACTAACGCCACACCCACTGTCTGGATTATTTAGCTGAGACTTTCCCACCGAGCAGATGTCTCACCGAAAGCATTTAAAGGAGGGGAAAGCGCTAAAAATGTAATTACCACATGCTCAAGTAATAATTTAGGATCTATACGTTTGTAGAATCGATACAACTCATGATACACATATCCAATGAAGTGAAATGCGACTTGTCTCTCCACTTTGATAAGACGACTTGTACAATTCTATCTGACTATACAATATCTACATAAGCCTGTATGCTACTCAGATAGACAGTAAATTATATAGAATACGCCATTAATATAAACCTGGAGCCACGAAATTAAACTAACGCTTCATATTGATTTGCACACATCATTTGCATGAAGACTTCGCTTTGTCACATACTCAATATTCTAATGTTGCATGCTTTAACTGAGAACGTTTGAGTGTTATACAAAAGACAACAACATATTCAAGTCAAATGTGTAAACAAAACAAATTGCATTCCAATAGTAAAAGCAAATAAACCCAAGCTAAACTGCCAGTGTTAGCCACACAGTTAGCCACCTGCTAACACCGCTGCTATCACTTACTGTAGTCCAGGTCGTCCATTTTTGGCGCTTTACTTTTAGGCATAAATAGTTCAGGTTCGACAGTCATTCAATATTGAAAATGTGGATATATGTGTAAATATATCCGCACAATTACAGTAAAGGGAAGCTTAATTTTCCAAATCCTGGGCCCGAGACAAAGAAGGCGGCGACAGCGGAGGTGGACCGGCACACTTCCGGTCAGCGTTTTCTAAATAAACATCATGGATACAGAATAATAACATAAACATCCACATATTATAAACACATTTGTATGGTGTATTGTAGTGAATAGTATTTGGCCACATACAGTGGGTATTATGACATACACCGTATTATGTCTATTTACGTTACTCATCTGTGCAATAATAATTTTAATAATGTCAGAGTGTGCAAAGCATGTACAGATGTATACATACAACTGTTTTTCTTTCACTAGAATATTTAGTATTTTATATTTTAATATTATCTTTATTATGCTTTTGTGATGCATTATCGAAATAAGCTACAATACATGAATGTTTTATTGCATTGGAAAAAGCATAAACACGTGTGAGCAAGCTTGCATCTCTACAAACCTTACTTGTACTTGTGTCTGTAGACATGATGTACCTTTCTCGAAAAGTCTATTTGCCAATTCTATTTATTTAATCTAATGTGAAACCCTAGTCATTGTATTAAAATATGTCACTAAGCCATTGTATGTATTCATGTAAACTTAACTGGTTTTGAGGATAAATCAGAAAATGAAGAAATACTTGCAAAAAATGTATGAAGTTACATTTATTCAAAATCATATAACTATCTGTACATCTTTCATAGCTGTTTTAGTAATAATTACAGGCAGTCCATGACAAACAGCTTCATAGGTATCAGTCCCTAACATTGCAGCTAACACAACAAAGTAAACTATTTTCTCTTTACATAAAAGGTAAACAAAATGGCAATTACTTCAGTCTTTATTAATTAATGTTTCTATTTGGAAACTGGTACAAGTATACTGATAAAAAAAATCACATTCTGTAGCTGAGAAAGCACAGTGTACAATATTTGTGAACTAGCTGCTTTGTGTGCGGTGAAACAAAAGAATAAAGGCCTGAAGCAAAAATATGCGTCCATCTTTCTCCAAACAGAAGTGTTCCGTCACAGCGAGTTTCAGGACAAAGGCATCAATGAGGCGTGAAAAACAATTACAGTATGGTTATGATGAGCAATTAAAAAAAAGAACATTGTACGGAAGAAGATAGGCAGATATAATTTCTGAATGGCAAGATCAAGGCTGGTTTTTTTGAATGTACAGAAAGTGGGAGAATTTGAGGCAATTGCTGGTACTTATTGAAACAAGTTGACAGTTTTTGTGTGAAACATTGATTACGAATGACTGTTTTTGAGTGTACATTAGGGATGTCATGATATAAACAAAACATTTAGAGTTACGATTATTGTGAGTATAAACACTAAGGTTCAACAGATTTTGTTTGTCTAACATGTTACAATTCCTCTACTACACTGAAATAGTTAAATAGTGTCAAATTACTTCAATTTGGTGCATGATGAGGTAATGTTAAAGGAACAGACATAAAAAGCATAGTTGATTTTGTTCTCAAAAATATCACATCACCTTGACATCCCTAGTGTACATAAATCAATTTGAGTTAATTTCTGACAAATATAGGCATGTCTTAACATGTGTAAAAATTTATAATTTCTAATCAGGCTATACATTTGTTAGCAAACATTTGCCAATAGGCCTTTTCATTAAAGATTACATATACCAGAGATTGGAAATGATTCACTTAAGTCGCTTATCAGTTTAGGAATGATGCTGCAGTTTTCCGCAGAACACCGATTTACTCATTCTACTTAGCGATGAGTTTCACGCTCCTTACAACATTGTGCAAAATAAACAAATAACAAAAAAAGACATGCAATTAATTGATTGAGTTAATAAAACAAACAGTCAATAGCTACGGAAGGCTTGTGTTCAGACAAATAAACCATAGTATTTGCAAACATCCAGACGCCTGCATCACTTTAAGAGAAATGCATTGGACTGATGAATTTATCCAACAGGTTTGGCTCACGAAAATGATCAATTCAGATGGCGGACAGGACCAATATCACCAAAATATTTGATTTAATTTGAACTAAATTGGGTTGATATTGAATGCATCTTTTATTTCATTCCTTTTTCGAGGTTCACAAAGCAGGGAAACCCAACAGCATTTCTCAACTAAAAAGTGAAACACACATTATTGACCTGCCCACCACCTTCATGACATAATTTGAATGTATTAAAAGTACAAAATTGCTATATCGCTGCACAAGGACATTTAGGACTTCTGCAGCCCTCAGTGGGAATACGCTTGACAAAGTAGCACTGTCAGTCTGTCTAAACGTATGAGCCAAACTGGTCTTCATCTGAATTGATATTATGAAAAGTGACTATGGTTTAAGCATTTAATTTTCCTTTTGGAGTTACAACAAAGCAACAACATTGTCCAACAGCAAATAAGGCATTCAAGGAGGGAGCTCTTTCACGGAAATATAGATATGAAAGGCCATGGATGATAATTTAGCCTGGAGCGAACCCCAGAAACATGATTTAAGTTTATTTTAATACATTTCTAATATTATTTGGATTTGTTTAATGTCACGTTAAGGCAAACAACAGTTGGTGCTTTTCTGCATGCATACGGCTATTGTATACATCGGATGCATGCACTATTTGCACCAAGGGATATACACACGTTTGATTGGTTCACCCTCATTCTGTTCCAGACTGTGCAGTTTCATGCTTGTCAGAGGATGCGATGTGTAATCCTACAACTGTGCAACTTTTTCCATTTTTCATTAACCAAAGACAATGATCCCTGCTAAAAAAACAAAACATGTGGCTCGGTGGGTTATCCCTTTCATCAAACAGCAGTTTCAGCAGCCAGGGATATATTTTAAGTCTCAATTGGTTCACCCCCTTATCCCTCTGTTTTCTCATGCCAGAGTGGACATGGCAACAATGATTACATAATTCAGTAGACACAACGCTGCTCGACCAATCCCTGAGACCCTAGAATCGTGTGATCTTTACCCCCGAATCGCCGACGATAAGACGAGACAATGAAGGGTGAACCTGCGGAACACATGAGAAAACAACAGCCTGTTACACACTGCCATAAAACATAAAAATGAAAAAATAAATCACCATAATTGAAAGCAATACTGGTGAACAATCCCTGCAAAGCTATAACATCCAGGAGAAGTGCACCCCTTATTCTTTCTCCATAAGTAAAGTTACATTCAGATAAAAAAGAGGTGTGATAATAGAACTAAATACTGTACTTGCTGGATTGTTAAGCACATCTGTATGTTAACCACACTAGATACATTTTAAAACAAAGTATTTTTGTTCCTCATATGTGCCAAACTTGACTGTAACACTACTGTAACACCTAAACAGCTGATGGCGCAAAACAACAGCGATAGACGACCGTTTTAACTGTTTATGGTTTACATAATTTAATGAGGAGCTGTTTTAACGCACTGTGACTCGTGAGGATCAAAGGACTCAATAAACATGCTTCCCAACTCTACTAAAACTTGATGGAGTCAAAATAATACATTCATGGACATACAAAGGAAGAGGAATGTATTTCATCAATGAAATACAGTCACTGGCCACATCGCTCTATAGGCCCAGAGTCCAAATAACTTTAAAAAGTAGCTACTTAAAGTCCAGGATTTACAGTTTTTGAATGAATTTGACCCAGCTACATTTCCCTCCCAGGTTCATGATACTTTGCAAACACACACTTAAAATGGCTTGATTTCTGGTTTATTATTAGAAATTTTTGAACAGACTATCTTTTTCTTATATTGCCCAAATTATTATATTGGCTTGAATACCTTTTTAAAAGTGATTGTTACAAGAAGCTTTAGTTTAAATTAAGAAAACCGATTAACCAATAAGGTGGGTATCTTATCACGAACAGAGAGAGGAGACTTTGTACATGAATAAGTGCCTGTAGGATAAAACCTGATAAAGTGTGATGTGACCTTCCATTACATTAGGACAATTTAGCTTGAAATTTGTCTGAAATTTGTCTGAAACATCTTGAAGCAAGCAAAAACAATCTACCTTCATCAAGAAAACGCAAAGAAAACAAATACTTCCAGAAAAAAAGTAACTTTAAAATCTCTGAACTACTATCTCTGGATGTACCTAAATGGAGGTTACTGTGTGTTAGGCCCTTTGAGGGTTTTTGGTCCCATCCATATTTTAAACTCATTATATATACTTTTATTATCTTTTTAAAATAGAACCTGACAATACACTACACACATGAATTTCTCTGACGAGTGGCAAGCACAATAAGGCTAGCAAGATATAGTTTAAAGTCTTCGTGGTTGGGTTGTTTTGACTGTATGTTGTTACATATGCATGCAGTAGACCCTAAAATGTCATTAAACTCTACTTTTACATTGGAAACAGGCATTTTACCAATTTGAGTTTCAAGAAAAGCAATAATATATACATAGCAAGAGGTAGGTGTCGGCCCACTTCACTAAATAGGGTCACCACCTGGACAGTTTGAAGACATAATGTGAAAGGCAACAGCATCACCTGGAGCATGCAGTGTTTTCAAACATACTTATATCCTTTGTGCTCTGACCTGTGCTTGGAGAGGCCCATAGGGAACAAGTTCTCCATCCACTGTCAGTGTCCCCCGTGAGGACAGGGGCTGCAGACGGAAAGCCCTGCAGGTTACGTGGCTCACATACGGAGAACTGACCGAGTGATGTGTCCCTCTTTCCATCGCGAAGAACAACCGCAGCAGGGTGGCTCTGGAGATGCCCGCCCTCACAAATGTCAGGTGAATCAGGCCATCGTCAAACTTGGCCTGGGGAGCGGCGTGCAGGTCGGCCCCGAGGTGGGACTGATAGAGGGCCAATACCAAGACAAAATCGCCTTCAATCGTGACCCAATCTCTGGTGGGGAGTGGCTGGTCGAGAGGGGGTAACAAGTCGTCTTTCGGGAGATTTGAAGGTAGTGTCACAAATGGACGGTTTTTAAGTGGTCCTGTTGGCTCGGAAATATCAAAGTTAAACGAAGAGGACGGTGTGCGTAAAGGCGAAGGTGAGGTAGAGTTTGGGGTGTTGACGCGTGGCACCAGGTATGCAGAGGCGTGAGGGGAGGTGCAGGAGGGAGAAGAGGGGGGAGTGGGGGAGAGGGATAAGGACAAGGATGACAGTTTTGGGGGGAGGGAGTTTGACTGAGAGTGTTGCAGCAGGGACAGCGGCCGTGGACGGGAGGCGTTCTGATTCTGGTCGAGTGCTTTGGCCTTGTACGAAAAGGGAGAGTGGCGGAACGGAGAGGAGATGGTCAGCGCACGCTCACGAGGGTCCAGTGGGTACGGCTCCCTCTGGCAGTACGTCCCGTTTAGGTCCATGTCCTCCACAGAGTACAGGGCAGTGTCAGGCTCTGGTCTCAGTGGCTGGCTCAACAGTGCACTGACGATCTGACTGGACGGCGCTGAGTTTTTCCTAATGGCCGGTCTGCTGTCAGGGGGATTATCTTCATACGAAAACCCAGATGTACCTTCTTCATCTGCCTCTTGTCCCAAGTCAACTGTAAAGCTTTCGCACAGCACTTTTGAAGGTAACATGCCCTCACCTTCCTCCTCATCGCCGTCTTTGCTCCGGTCATCCTCGTCCATCTCACTAGAGTCCTGCTCTACTGTGCCCTCATCTTCTCCTTCATCCTTTATACCAACCAACCGTTCATTCTTTCCCATGTTACAATCTTCCCTTTCATTAGATTCTGAACTGGTCCCAGATCTTTCTGAACATAACTCCTCCTCAGCTTCCATCTCTCCCTCCAGCTCTCTCTCTCGGTCTTCTGCCAAACTGCTGGCCCTCACAACTCCCGTGCCTCCTCCCCTGGCCCTCTGCCTCCTACGCTCCCTCTCCCGCTGCCGTTCCTCTTTCTCCCGCTCTCCTTCGCCCCGTCGCAGGCTCCTCTGCTCGCTGATACCCATGTCTGAAGATGTGCGGTGAATGGGAGCTTTGCAAAAACCCTCCAGTCCCTCCGTGATACTTCGAGACAGAGGTCGTCGAGGTGGAGGAGGTGTGGCGTCTGGAGATGTCGTCATGACGGATGGTGGCAAATAGGAGAGCCGTCCTTTATAAGATCTAAGAGAAGCTATGCGCACCAGGGTACCCAAGGTGAAACGAGCTGATCCCAAGCCTCTATATCTGAAAGTACAAGAATATGAATGTATTAGACAAGAAAGAACGTCAAGAATAATATTTATAAATAACTATAGTACCTCTCACTCTCAATATCAACATCTGATACAAAACCCCAGGCAACAGACAGAAAGGAGAACAGTCTTCGGGGGGAGGAGTTGCTGTTGGGAGCAGGACTCGTGGTCACAGACACCAGGTCCATTGGACGAACTCCGCCACGACAAAGAAGGAAGCAGCAGTTTAAGAGGAGGGGCTCTCTGAGGCACATGTCATATCTGTGGACAAAAAACATTTATGTAAGCCATAAACCAAACTACAGGAACTTGATTTCAATAATTAAGTGCGCACCCTGCATGATGGTTAACAGAACCAGCCAGTGCATTTCCAGAGCCACAGGGAAGAATACCCACAGGTATTTTTATTGCTTGGTCCCAGTCAGGCCGCTCCATCAATCCATTAATAACCTACAAGATCAACATAAAATAAAAAAAACAATGTGTGAAATCAAGTGTTGACTGCTGTGTATGCTGAACATGTTTATAACAACAGGACTTGCCTCATGTAGCAGACCATCTCCAGAAATAATAATGATGCCATCCCATTCTGGTAGAGATATCTCTCGTATGAGCTCTCTGGCATGGTTCTGACGTTCTAAAGAAAATGAGCATGTGTAAGTATAACAATGTTTTGGTTCTATATAGCACTTTTTTGGACACTAAAAGATGCTTCACATTTTATTATCCATTCACTTCAAACATGGTGGTGATAATCTATTACTGTAACTGCAGCTGCCCTGGGACAGACTGACAGAAGTGAGACAACCAGCATGAGCCACCACCAATCATTCACGCACACAACAGACTCATACCAGACTCAGACTAAATACTTATGCTGTACAGGCTTTGGTAGTTTACTGTCTCAGATGTACTGACCAGTTTGAATAAGATTGTAGCTGATGTTGGCTTCTCTGATCATTGGCAGAATGTGGGTCTGACACCACTGCATTGCTTGGCCTCTCCCACTGAAAGGATTGACTAATAACAGTAGTCGTCTGGGACGAGGTAGCAGACTTCTCGAAAACTCTGAAAAGAAACAGCCAATCAAACAAACAGCTAGAAGCTTTGTGTTTCTGTGAATAAACCAGCTCTCTGGCCTTAGTGCAACTAATATGAGTAATACAACTGTACAACATGCTTTTGGAACACAAAAGTATACACCCTGGAAACCTGAGCTGTGAAAAGTAAGCCTTCAAGGTCTAGTTATCTGCTGCGGATAAAGGCAGTGAAATGCCGGCTTTAGAAACTTAATGATAGACTGTCTGTGCAGAAGAGATAAGACAGACGACGGTAAGACTACAAGTTTATAGCCAGAGAACACGTTAAATAAAAGACATTCCAGCATGTTATTTAGAAGAGATGGTTTAACAAGATTAACTCTGAGTCGAAAAGAACTGAAGTAAAGACAGAAGTGCAGGTGTGTGTCTCACCTGTGTCTGATGTTACAGCCACTCCCCGCAGCAGACACTGTACTGCAGCAGACCACCTCTCGGCTTCACTGCGGCTCTCAGACAGGTAGGCCCGCACCTGCCTGCGCCTGGAAACCCCTTTGCGCTTTTTGCCCGGTGGATACCAGTACAGCACCAGCAGAGGTGGTGCAGGGGCACGGGGACAGCTGCAGCCCACTAGCTCAGACAAAGGCAACAGCAGCCGGGCTTCTTTCCCGGGACGAGGGCACAGTCTCTGGATGTGTATGTGTGAATAAGTTAGGGTCAAGGCGTAGTTAGAGGCCGATGGGGGAGTGGGGGAGGCCGTGGGGGAAATCCCACCTGGACCCCCAGGACTGTTAGGGCAGCTGTTGTTGTTGCTGTTACTCCCAGATCCCCAGCTGGCAAACTGCCCATGCAGCAGTGCCTCTGATGGGGACAGAGGGGACGGGTCTGGTGATCGCATCCTCATCAGCTCCGCACTTTGGATACTTCAGCAGGTCCGTATCTCCAGAATGTGGACTCAGTGAGTCCAAAACGTAGAATATACATATAGTAGTATATTAAATATTCAGTGCTTCAATTGCTGAAAGTGTCATTTGGCGTTTTCCTGTTAGTTCACCGGAATCTTCATCATCTTCATTCAAACATGATTTGTATTTTGAGAAATTCACTTCATAATATAATTAAGACTAACCATTTTGTCCATCTTGTAAAATGATTACAATTTGTACTGCCTTTGACAAATAGTCACAAACAATACTTCTGCACTGTGATGATTACGTAAAAATACAAGTATTTATATCAAGCAGTCACAAACAAAAAATCCACTTTTAAATAATTACTGAAAGTTTTCCCTTAAATGAAATACGAAACATAATAAGACAATTAACTAACCTTTCTCATGAAAGGCAGCTATATGACAATTAATTTAATGCAGCGATATATGTAAATAGTTTAAATAAAAGTGCTCACGTAAATGTTATCAAATGCCACAAGATATGATAAGTGCAGACTGAGACAAGACCTTTGATGCTATTATTGCTATCTTCAATCTTAGTTATATAAAAGGAGGCAGCCCAATGTTACCGGACCGGCCTGGTAGGCTGTAGTGTTAAAAATATTAGATATTCTCAAATTCTCTCCACAAAAGGAGGATTTAAAAATTAAGACAAATCAACACAAAAACAAAATACAAACAGAGGCAGTTCTTGGTGGGGCTTAGGTCAAGTCATGACGACGTTTTTGGTGAAGCTTCACGTGCCCTCCTTTAGTTCTCTGTTCCTGTTTTAACACAAAAGAACTGTCATCAGTTACAGCAAAAATCATGGCCTGCTGATGTCACATTGCAAATCTTTGTATACTTAATTTGAGTGGACAAAGGTTGTTATAACTATATCAGACTTTCTCAATAACGGTGATAAAAGAACAGCGTTATGATAAGAGGAAGAGATTAGATAGGATACAACAACTACACTGTCCCTTGACCCGCAGTTTTGTATTGGTTAAAGCATGATTCATCAAAAGTCACACATCCTCCTCAGATAAGTTGAACAACCAGCATTTTCCCTGCGGTTATTAATAAAACACCTTTCTCATGATATTTCTCAATAAAAGAAAGTGGAGGCGTATAAAGCTGCAGGTTTGCTCAATTCAAATGTAAGATCTTTCAAGACCAACACAAGTGGATGCTAGATATGACCAAAGTTCTTCTATTCTAACCACTGCTTTTTGTGATTGCCCATATAAATAATATGTGTATTGATCCTAATGCTTATAGTAACACACAGAATATTGCAGCATAGAAATAAAGGTTTAAATTGGTTATGTTTTGCTTTTGTGGAAATATTCAGTGTACCTTGTGCAGTATTTGAACCTCAGCAGAATGCAGCCATTCTTTTTCTTCCAGCTTGTAATAGTAACAGCCCTTATTAATAAACTGCACACGTCTTGAGGGGTTCATAGAGGCATTACACTGGCTAGGTTTAGACAATGTAAATAGCTGTTAGTTGGCCGATGTCCTGGCCTGATAGTAGTGGAAACAAAAAGGACCAGACTGATGCCATTGTTGCACCTTACGTCCTTGAAAACCACTCCCAACTCAAAATAATAAGTCAGCTTCTAAATGTGTCTGTACCACACAATGGACAATCTGTGGAATGGTATTTCTGGGGCAAATTCAAGAAGACACAAACAATGGATTATTAATGGACAAACACTTCTTTAACCATATGATAAAGGTACATTGAATAATTTTTTGTTGGTAAAATATCAAAATACTACTGAAGTTATGAGTTACTTTTGTGTAATGTGGCTGTGTAAACATGACGCATGAGGGTGACTGAATCAAAAACATGACATAAGACAGAATGATTTCAACCCATTTCTAACACACACTCAGATACACAGACAATTTTAGATTTCTTGTGCCAATGGCTAGCTCCTGTAACCTCAGTGTCCAGACAGTTAGCCACAACTAGCTTCTTGGTCAGTGTTACCACGTATTAGGCCGTAATAACTCGCATGCAAAATTAAATTAATCGTAATGTTTATCTTTAACAACAAATGGGTCCAAAGTAGCCGCAAGATAAGGCTGGATTGGATGACAACCGCGCTAGCTTGGGGGAAAAATCTGTCTTTACGCAGAGGTAAATATGACATTAATGGGATTCAAAGCGCGCTGTGATGCCGATCTAGATAAATAGTGGTTTGTAAGTGTAAAATATATCAGTTTTACCTCATCTTGTCCCACTCTGACGGCAGTCCTGTGCTCTGGAAGCCTGACACGGCGCAGGAAAGGGTCCGTGGCTGGTTTGGAGACGCTTTGAGGGGCGCAGAGGAAATCCAATCGCGATAAGGAAAACAGAGTAACACCCACAGACATTCTCCAATCGCTGAAGCGCCACAACTTCCGCTCTGAGTCAATTCTTTCCAGGACAACTCATATCAGTACAGGACAATAACAAATTCCTGCTGTTTACGCCATTTTTACTGCAAGTCGTGAATGACGATACGTAACAGGATTTGGAGTCTTTGAATTGTTCCACCACAAACGAATACCTTGCATTTATTGTATGTTCCTAAACTATGAATTCAAGAGCGACATATTTTTCCAAGCTGCACTATCCACGACAAACATTTCAGTATGAGCCAAGATATTTTTCCAGGGTTGGTCGGTAACAAAACAAAAATTAAGTTTTCAGGAAAGTTTGGAAACTAGATGAATAGATTTTGTGTTTGGATCAAGGATTTTAATTAGAGTATAAATGCGCCATGGCACTTTAGACCTCTACAGGCTAATATGCTGAACATGTGTATAAGGTTATATACGTCATTATTGGGAAATACATTAACCATAACCCAAGCCTTTTAAATACTATACCTTATCAAATACAAGAAGTTCTGAAAAAATCTTAACTCAATGTAAAAAAAAAAAAAATCCTAAAAATAAAAGGCAAGACGTTGCAGTGCCTTTTAATAACCATAGCCAAATGCCTATAATACAGCTTCTTGTGATCAACTTCAAAGAAACAGTGCTTGGATTAAAACACAGACATGTAGTACAGCCAGATCTTTTATTTGAGAATGAATGCAACACAAAGACGAGACTAGTTCTTGTATCCACGGCTGGCTCTGCGACCACGGGCCCTCTCGAACTTCCTGCCCTTGGAGCGAATGTAGGGCCTGAGGGGAAACAAGAACAAGTTAAGATGACATTTTGGCTGCTTTCAAACATAACTATCCTTTTTTTAATTGACTTCCATGGAGACAGTAAGACCAGTTTTAGTAAAAAAAAATTAGAAAAAGTCACAGCAACATGTAATATCACCGATAAAGACACCTGTAGATATCAAATATTTAAAATCCCATTACTGAAATCAAACAAAAATGTGCATTATCTGCACCATTACTCTGCCAAAAGGTTAATCTCAGATCAACAATCACTTCAGAGAGCAAGGACACAATTGAAAGGTTCTTGCAAGGTGTGTAGATAAACTACTATATTTCAAAACCCTTCAGGGAGAAAAAGCATGCTTTAAAAAATACATTAAGTCAATGTCAAATCTACACAAGAGCTTTTAACAATATTAAATTTTTCCCCCATCTCAGTTTCCAGTGATATTGGCACAAATGAAGGCGCAGACTGCAATCAATAGTAATTTTAATAATGTAAATTATTCAGATTTTAAAATGTATAAGGATCCATAAGGGTCAAAAGATAAAACATAAAAAGCACATGTCTCCTTGAAACAATAGTCACTGATTTCATTAGACATCAATTATGACCAGGGTGAGCATAACTTAACTTTTGGGGTGGTGCATATTTTAAATTACACTTTTAAAGTTATCGCTTTAGCACAAAGTGAAATAAAAGCCACCAATAACATCAACACAGATCTGGAGCCATGGCATTGATATGCTTTTCACTGCATCAAAATAACACCTCGGCCAACTACATTTCAAGCAGTATTTATTTGCCTTGTAAAAAAAATAAACGTCATTTAACTAACTCCACTGTCCCAAATTTTTACTACAAAACTATGAAATCAGCCATCTTCCTTTCACTTTGAGGACCAATGAACTACTGTATAATGTATTCACCCCACAAGTTTACTATCCATAAAAAAATTACTATAACTCCATAAATACGGATGCATTTTTTTGTCTCAATATGTGAATACACAGGTGACTTCTGCACTTACTTTGTGTGGCTGTGAGGAGTTCCAGGTGCTTTGCCAAAGTGCCTGTACACCTGCCTGCCTTTGCGAGGTCCTAAAAATACAAACACCATGATCACATAATACCAAAATCAACATGTCAGTTTACTAGTTTTAGGATCATATTGGTATATATCCTAAGTAAAAAGATGAACTGTTTGTCCCAAAATGAAAGATTCTTGTAAAAACCAAAAAGTCTTAAAGATACAGGGAAACCCCTTATCTTTTAAGAACACAACTTTAATTTTTCTGAACTTGAGGCAATAAAGAATTGGATTGTTATAAATCTGTACTTTTATGTGGTAAGTAAAAGGTAAAGATCTTAGATCATAGCTTAAAAAACCCCCCAAAAAAAACCCGTTGACATCCCAAAAATGACCATAATCTGAAATCAAATATTGTTCCATGTATGTAAAAATCTAAACATCAAGAGATTGGCAATTTTAGATTTGCTTCCTTATTATGCTAAAGCAAAAGATGTTATACTAGCTTTATTATGCTGAAGTTATGGTTTATGATTAATACAATTTTAGTATAGTTATTCATCTTGTGCTCCTCATTCCTACTGTTCTGTAACTTTTCGCACTGTGGGACGAATAAAAAGGATCTCAATCAAATGTTGCAAATGTACAAAATAATTTGTACTTAAGACCTAAGTTTAGAACACTAAAGACTGTCAGGATTATGTTCAAGCAGTGCACAGAAATCCACTTTTACTGAATTACCTGACAGCAGCACGGTGCCCTGTCCTTTTGGAGAAGTCAGAGCGAGCTGATCAAAGGTCATGATCTGTCCGCCAGCCTTCAGAATCCTGCGGCGAGCTCCATCAGTTACTCTAAGAGCACAGATCTGAGAAACATATCCAGTCAGTCGCTTAAACGCAACCATTTTGAAACTTAAAATACAAAATTCCTCCAAGTACCTTGAGTTTAGGGATGTCCTGAATCCTGACATCATCAGTTACTGTTCCCACAACAACAGCAATTCTGTTCTCACGGCCATCGAGCTTCATCTTACGGATCTAAAAATATAAAGCCAATTATCACTCTGGAACTTGAATCTATGTGTCTGGGAATCCCATTAAAATAGATTTACCATAAAAACACAGATTCAGACTTTACATTATATCACAGTTCCAAGGTGTGTGATGGTCCTTACCAGGCGGGAGACCGAGATGGGGGGCCTGTTAGTTCTGCTCATGAAGAGCCTCTTCAGAACAACCTTGTTGAAGGAAGCATTTGAGCGGCGGGCCAGGAACCTGTACAACTAGAAACACACAGGTGGGTTAAATAACATTACATACAGTTTTATTGCCTGAATTGAATGGAATTCACTATGTTAAAAGAATGTCACAAGAAAACGTCTAGATTGTCAGCAGCATACTTAGTACGACTTATCAAGATTGTGATAGTTTTTTCCTAAACACAAGTTGATTAGGTCATAATTATAACCCTCAGGACCATGAATCTTAACAAGAGGGACCGTCAAGCATGAATGTTTTATTCTCAATTCAGAAGCCAATTGACTTCATCCCAAAGTACAGCCACTGCAAAAATACATTTAACTTCACGCTTACCTTGACCAGGAGCCGCAGATATATATCCTGACTCTTCGGCTCCTTCCTGTGCACCTTACGGTCCTTGTTGTGTCTGATGTCGACTCCCTAAACAGAACATTGTTTTAATTAGAGAATACTCTTTACATGTAGCAGTCACTATGCTATGCTACACGTAGCATAGGCCAGTATACAGAAGCTGAACTTATCTTATGACTGACACATACAACATACATGACCACTTAAGAAATGAATATTACAGTTATACAATTGCATTGTGTGTTCCGGTAGATTTTAGCAGGTAAAGGGGATATACTATTTCTGGTTTAGCTAGTGAACATGTGAAGCAGCCACATCAACACGGTCGGCATCAGATGCACGTCAAGCTAAGACGTGCATCTGCGGTTTTTCACCACAAATTATGACTTTATTGTAATAAAAACAGCGCGAGGTTTAAGAAAATAATGTTATATATAACATAAGTGGTGTAACATTTGAGGATGATGGCGGATAGTGCCAAAAGTCTGTAGATAAATCCCCGAAGCTGCACCTACCATTTTGGACTCAGAGCGAAAAGGGAAAAGGAAGAGCCAAGATCTCGCGATAAAAGACGTGCTGAAATCTCGTGCCGCTGATTGGATGCTGCGCACGAGGCTCTGCGGGGTTTGGGGACAGCGCCCCTTATGGTGATGCATTGTAAACACAAACAATCAGTGTGCACTCATTCACACCGGGCCTAATATTTACAGTCTAGGAGCCTACATTATTCATTCACATCTCAAATAGTTAGATAATGACTGAGTGCTGGGGAGAGATTACTTTGAAACTGTATGAAGTTAGAGATGACTGAATAACTGCTTTATAATGTATGGTTCCATCGATCTACTGTTTTCTGAATACTTGGAATACTTGTTGGCTAATTTGCATAATATGATGTAACAATGCGTCATAAAATGAGAACAGCCCTGTTTCAGTATTTGTTATTACTGATATTTACAAAAAGTATAAACAGCACTCATAACAATTTTCATGTAAAATGTACTAAAAAATGACGAAATACCATCAAAAAAGTAATGCAGTCACTAGAAAAAAAAGGATTATAACTTAACGCTAGGTTTATCATGCAATGTTGTATATATATTGGGTGGTGCAAAAGGGATGGTTGGTTTTAGTTTATTTGTTTTTATTCTATTTCTGTTGTGTATCACTGCCACTGGCTTTTAAATGGATCGCTCTATTCTCTGTATTTATGCATATATTTATTGGGGCCACAAAAGACGATATAGAAATACAACAAAACATACATCAACATACACAGGCCACAATCTTTACACAGAATGTCATAGCTATATAATTTATCATTTGTTTTCAGCTTTCTGTGATTGAATCAAAAAGGTAAGATATTTTGTTTGGAACACATAAAGCATTTTTAATTTCTGAAACTGCAACACCCTAATGACACAAGTGTTGCCTGATGTAATCTAGAAAATGTTATTGCTCTCTTGACGTTTCATGTGACACAAGAAGACTGTGAATGTAAGTGCAATTCCACCGAGAAATACAGTCCGAGCCACGGGAGGAACCAATGAGAAGTTTATGGCCTGAAAAGAACAATTAAAATATAAATTTAATAGAATTAAAATGAATTATAATATAAATTAAAACACTGCTATAATCTTACCTGCATTGTTGACCAATACACAATACCAGCCTGAGGGAGAAAAAAAAAAAAGAGCATGAAACAAGAACATTTTTAAACATTGATTTAAAGCCAAAACCAACCTTGTATGAGGTCCAGAATTTCTGTCTCCAGTCTTCAAACAGATCATCTTTCCTTTCCAGATAGCTCAGGCCTAAAAAGCAAAACATATGTATATTAAAAAGGAGCCATAATTTCATCTCAAGTCATCATTAAATGGCCCTAATCTGTCAAAAGGCTTTAATAAACCATGCTCTTTTTTCAAATACTTCTTTAACTGATAACAGTAGTTCAGCCGAGACATTTGGGTTTAAAAATAATTTTTACAACCCCTAAATTAGGGGTTGTAAAAATTATTGTTTTCATTATTTTTTTCCCTGTGTGAGATCCATAAAGTCTATCTTATCTTATCTTATCATTTCTATGTCCCGGTTCACAAATCAGAAAGTCTGTGATCCGGGTTGCCAGAACTCACCGCGTTGAGCTAATCTCACTGTAAAGCAACATGTGGTCACAGAACTAAAAGTCTCGCTATGATTCTCAAATCATTCATGACAAAACAAGGAATAAAATTGGGATTTCTATCTTTGTGAAAAAGGTGTCGGTTATAGATTTATTGTATTCAGATATTATGGTTCCAGGTGGATTCGTGGCAACCCAAGTCAGGGAGAGTGGGAGCGGTTGCAGTACCACCTTTGGCCAGATTTTTACATACTGCTCCTTTAAACATGTAATTGAAAACATTCAAATCAATCAATATCTATTCAAGCACATGAGCTAACGCTAAATCTATTCCGCAATTTCAATACATGATTATTTATGTTTTGTAAATACTTAATTTTCCATCACATGCTTATTACCCATGATGCTTTGCGCGAACGCCATGTTGTCAGTCTTTTGTCTATAGCACGTATCATTTGTCACGGATAATTTGTCCCCATGTCATCTAAAGCCACGAATTCGGCTGACACTGACCGCGTTAAGTATTTGACACACTGGAAATCTGTGAGGCAAGATCATTGGAGAAATTGAGAATGATTGGAGATTTGGATCCATATGAAACGCAGCGAGACCAGTGGACCTAGAAATGGCTTACTTTCCCTTAACAGTTTTACAGTTAAAAAAAGGTCATGATGTATATGATGCAATATTTCTTTCAATTAATAATTTATTTTGAACGAAGCAGTTGATATCAAAGGCCTTAAATCACTTCTGTCGACATCTCCAGCTCCAACAGATACAACAGAATGGACGCACCAGTGTAAAACGCGCTGATAGTGAGAGGGGCTGCGATGAGCTGGTCCAAAACCACCTTTGCCGTCACCATCTTAGGTCCGGCTCCTGGCAGCATCCGTTCCAGTGCTTTGAGCCAGTGGTAGTTGAAGTTTGCATGAAAACAGAAACCAACGGTCGCAACTCGTGCCGTCTGGTGCCAGTCGATGCCAGACGTCTCCCAGGGCTGACAAAAAAATATCACATTTTCACCATTACTTCATTAAAGACCACACTATTGTTCTGAAAACATAAACACACTACTGCTCTTTCTTCATTGATGCATTTTGCCACAATAATATTTCAGTGTGTGTTCTGGTCTGGATTTCATGGTGTGTATTTGTGTGTTATTTTGTACTTTGGTTTTATTTTGACATCAGCTCTGTGGTTTGGATTTACTTTTACTTCCTGTCCTGTTCCCATGTGTTGATTGTTGGTGTCTATACTGACACCTGGTGGATCTGATAAATCATTGCATCCAACTCACTGATTCAATGAGCTTTACATACTTGTCTGCACACAATATTACGTAACTGCATTGTCTGTGTTATTTTATTTTATGTGAAAATTAAAGTGATAGTTGTGAATGTATTCATTAAGCAAAATGTCATTGAGTGATGTATTTTTTTTTTTTTTTTTTCAAAACAATAAGCATGTCCAAAGTGCACTGTAAACCCTGGCAACTAAAGTATACTTGAAAAAACCTTTGACATTTTCTGCACTTCAATTTCTCAAAATTATTCTTCAAGACTGTGATGTCAACATAAACTTTTGAAGACCGACAGGGATTCGTACCCAGTTCTCTCAAACGCGAGGCGAGAGCGCTATCCACTCATCCACCATGCCTAACTAGATTTTGCGTTTCAAACTAAAAGTTGATTGTAGATAAAGCGTGAAATGTAAAATACAAACATTGCCTTATTTGCTGTTATTTGCAGTATCACACTGCAGAATACTTTCTTTTAGTTGCAGGTTCCATTTTTTATGCTGTAAAATGGGATGCTTTTCCTTTTTGAAAGGGTTATATTTTCTTTTTCTGACAGCGGTTCATACCGGTGACACTTGCAGATGCGGAACCTTTTAACCTTTGTGTCGTGTTCGTTTACTTTGGTGTTCCCGGTCAAATTTGACCGGACGGTTTTAACTGCTCTTACATTTACACAAAATAACTGATCATAACTAAAAAATTTTGTACTCTCTTTAAAGCTGTAAACAATACCTCAAACTACTGGTTTACATGAATAACTGCAGTGAATATACAACAAATACACATAGAAATTGTAAATTATATTTGAAATGTAACATTTATTGTAGAGAACGAAGCAAAAATCAAAACTGAGTACAAATTCACAGATCAGAACATCAACATGAACATATAATCTCTGTGTGTGTGTGTCTTCACACACAGGAGTGGCATTTTGCCATCAGGTCGGAGTGTGCCTTGCAAACGTAGGCATCACATTTGAAACAAGTAAGACTTGGTTTTCTTCTTCACTGTCCCCACCATGGTGAGCTTTCTTTTCAGCAGCTCCTGACCAAGCCCATATGATGTGAAAAGTTATCACATGTGATATTATGCCCCTTGAGTCCGGCTGTCATGTCCAACACAATACGCATGCCCTAATTTTTTTCTGGTTTTCCAGTAACAGGTTTTCCCGTGTAAACCTGCATATTCCAGGCATAGCTGCTCCTGGCATCACATGCTGCCCAGATCTTGATCCCATACTTGCCTGGTTTGCTTGGGATGTATTGTTTGAATGGACAGCGACCTCTGAAAGGCACCAGGCGCTCGTCCACTGTCACTTCAGGGCCTGGGTTGTACATCAGTGTTAGACGCTCCACCCACCTGTCCCAAACGTTCCTGATGGCAGCCAGTTTGTCATCTCGCCAGCGGAAAGGTCTTGTGGTTCTGTCATCAAATCTGATAACACGTGTGATATAACATGGAACTGTTGGAGGGACATAGTTGACCGGAATATAGGCCTCCCTGACTCTGCATCCCACAGACATTTTGTCGCTTCATTGTTGGACCGGTGAACTCCTGCTAAAATCAACAGACCCATGTAGGCTTGGAGGTCTATCTGATCCAATAATTTCCATGTGCCTGCAAACACACGCCTCCCCTCCAGGTTTGTCATCTCCAGTATTATTTCCACAATGGACTCTGATAAGAAGAGTTGGAAGCTGGACTTGATGTCATCCGCATGAGATGTCGCATACCTTGTTGGCCCTGGCGTCATCCTAACAATATTTTCCACTCTTGCTCTGCCTCCTCTGTCCTGGGTGGATGAATACCAGAGCAAGTTGCCATCCTTGGACTGGAATGTAGCCTCAGGTGTGTCTTCCCCAGTGGCCTCTTCCTCAGGTGCCTCTTCCCCACGTGTGTCTTCCTCAGGGGCCTCTTCCTCACCATCTGTTGACTTGTCATTTTCATTATAGTCCGGATCAAAATCAGGATTGTCTTCTATTTCTGAGACATCCTCCTCTATTTCTTGTTCGATTTGAATCCCCTCTTCATCGGTTTCAAAAAAAAGGTCAAGAGCCTCTCTGGCAGAAAACCGGCGCCTCGTCATTGTGCTCAGAGTCAAATGAGAGCAATGCACAAATAAAGCTATAAATAGAGGGTCAGTGAGAAGATATCTTTCTATTATGATACATTTTGTATCGAAAGGTGTGGTTCACGTGGGGGGACTGAACACCTGTTCAGTCCGAAAGGGGTTCACG